ATGCGATTTTAACTAAAATTTTAACAAAATTTCAAAATTTTACTAATGGGGTGTTTTTGCATATTTAGACGGAATATTTTGCACTAGAAAGTATAATCTGACTATTTACTTTTTTCTATGAAAAAAACTTGTATTTCAAATTCAGATGAAATACAATTTAGTCTTAGCATTCTGAATTTGCTATATCTTGTTCTTTCTTAATTCTATAACGTTCAACCGTTTCAACTGTGTTTAGGTATTTTTTATTTTGGACAATTTTATTTGGTTTAAACTATCTGACATCGCACTTCATTCTAAATACCTGGTGAGCGATATACAAAGAAACGAAATATATTTGATTCTCCGCAGGTACCAAAACATCTCTTCCTTTCCATTTCCATTACGAATATCAAATTGACAGCTGTATCATTTGTCAAAAAGGACGGAAACAAATACCAGGTTTCACAGGACGCATCTCGCACGAATTTTGGATAATCATTATTGTTTTTATAGCCAAGAATATAACGTTAACATAAATGGACACTTAAGAGAATAAGCTCAAGTATCGTGTAGTTTCTCTACTAACGAACCTTGACGAAAACTGCTCTTGAACTGTAGGTTTACGGATAAAAACCTAGGTTACTATTCCTGTTCTCATCGGTACCCATAACTGTCGGTAGACGCAACCAAAGACTTCACACCCGAGCCTGGATGCGATGAGCTCGCGGAAAGTACTGCAATATGTACTGATATCGACATATCGACAGCTTGGAATAGAATTGAACGAGCCTACATGATCAATAGTGTTACTTCGGTACATAACATTTAAGCAGATTTATTATGCTATACGTAAATATACGCGTGAAAGTAGACAAACCAGCACTGATCAACAGCCAAAAAATATCCTACATAAAATCAACAAAATATTACTATTTTTAATGTGCTAAAACCGGAATGAAACTAATTTTTTCAATATTAGTTCAAGTTTTAGAGATACGGTAATTATATGTGTTCCTGCTGTGACAGTGTTAATATACTGTAATTCAGAAGAATGCACGTGCTACATTTTTATATTCGGCAAGGAAAGATGATGTAATCGGCATGATTGTGTTACGTTATACATACGTGTACATTATATTGTTTTATATTAGCCACTTTTTCCTCAGTTGGCTGACAGCGTTCATGCAAGATGTCTCGAAAGTGTGTAAACAATCCAGATCAGTTTTGTTACGTGTGTGGTGATGTGACTTTTGCGTCTCACAGACGGTCTATTACTCCACTAATAACAAAGGCATATCAGCTTTATTTCGGTTGTAAACTAGGTGATCAAGACAAACAGTGGGCACCCCACATCTGCTGTAATACATGTGCTTCAAGTCTGAGGAGCTGGTTAAATGGCAAAAAACGGTCTATGCGCTTTGCTGTCCCAATGGTTTGGAGAGAGCCTACAAATCATATTAATGATTGTTACTTTTGCATGGTACCTTGTGTTGGACAAGCCACAGGTATGTCCAAGAAAAAAAAAACTGTTATTAACTACCCAAACATACCATCTGCGATGAGACCTGTGCCTCACAGTGACGAAAATCCTATTCCAAAACCCCCAGAATCCTACACTTGCGAATCAGAAAACGAATCAGATCGAGTGATTCGTCAGGAAGAAGATATGCCATCAACGTCAAGAGATCCTGATTTTATACCGAGCACGTCATGCCACCAAACGCACAAAATAACACAGTCAGAATTAAATGATCTTGTAAGAGATTTAGAACCAAAATGTAAGGCAGAGTTACTCGGATCAAGACTGCAGCAGTGGAACTTGTTAGAAGACGATGTTTCGGTATGTGTTTTTCGTAAACGCCACAAAGACTTAGAACCATTTTTCAATATGGAGAATAACTTGGTTTTCTGCAGTAACATTAACGGCTTACTGGCGGCTTTAAATATAAACTATAACCCAGAAGAATGGAGATTGTTTATAGACAGTTCAACATTGAGTTTAAAGGCAGTGTTATTGCATATTGGAAATATTTTACCATCTCTTCCTGTAGGGTATGCAGTTCACATGAAAGAATCATATGACAATATGAAGTACCTATTGACATGCATAAAATACGATGAGCACCAATGGCATATTTGTGGCGATTTGAAAGTTGTTGCACTTTTACTTGGGCTGCAGCTAGGCTACACAAAGTTTTGCTGTTTTTTTTGTGTGAATGGGACAGTCGGGCAAAGGCACTTAATTACACCAGACAAAACTGGCCTGTTCGTCAATTCATAGAGCCAGGTCAAAAAAATGTACAGCATATGCCGTTAGTAGATTCGAAAAAAAATTTATTACCACCACTGCATATCAAGTTGCGCCTAAAGAAAAACTTTGTCAAGGCATTAGATAGAGATGGGTCAGCTTTTCAATACCTGCGTCAGAAATTTCCAAGACTAAGTGAGGCAAAGGTTAAAGGAGGTATTTTTGTTGAGCCACAGATTCGAAATATTTTGAAAGATACACAGTTTGAAAACACTTTAACAGGTATTGAAAAAACTTCTTGGAATAATTTCCGTCTGGTGGTCACTAATTTCTTGGGAAATAGAAAAGCTGACAACTATAAAACCCTTGTCAAAAATATGCTGTTATCGTATCAAAAGATGGGCTGTAATATGTCTCTTAAGATACATTTTCTACACTCACACCTGGACTTTTTTCCTGACAATTGCTGAGCCGTAAGTGATGAGCACGGCGAACGTTTTCAACAATGGAAAAAAGGTACCAGGGAAAGTGGAATCCTTCCATGCTTGCAGACTACTGTTGGACTCTTGGTAGAGATGCTCCAGAAACGATTCATAAAAGAACAGTAAAAAGACAGCGCATATAGTGATTGTTACTTTTTTTAATATATCCTTAAAATTAGAAAGTTTTTTTTCTAAACCGCAACTAATTTTTTTATTTCATTGTCATTTTTGGATTCAGCGCCCCAAAATTAACAAAGAAGTGCACTTTTCCCACAAGATACAATTAAAAAACTGAAATTTGTTGTCCAGTGTAATCACAGTCAAGTTCATTAGCGATAATCAAATGGCATTACAATATATATAATAAAATAACTCAAATTTTAAATGCAGTTTTCTCCATGACGCTCAATTTTGAGTTGTGGCGTTATTGTCGCAGGTGAGCGATATGCAGAATGGTGAAAACAAACACGTATTTCTATTAAAACTTTTTAATTTTGGCACTGGCGCGAAATTCATCATATGGTGCGTTTTTTTACACGTCATGTAGTGCCAATGGTTTATATACTATAACTATCTAAAACTGTAATGACTCATCGATGTTCACGTGAACATCACTTAACTACCAGTAGTCGGCTGTTCATAGGCGGGGTATGAATGTTTAACATGGGTGAACTAGATTTGTCACATACTTAATAAAGAGTGGTTTGAAACATATTGTAAGTCAAACATTTGGGAATTACCTTTATTCATCGTCGTTTCCACTTACATCTGACAGTAATAAACTGTCGCTATCGCTTTCCTCGTTGAAATTGACTATAACTGGCTCTATGATGGTGTCGATGTGGTGGTCAAGCTGCCACATTTTTGTTCCTTCCTTCACAACATGACGGATAGCATTCTGCCAAGCTTCGGGCGTTACTAGCTGTATGGAAGTCTCAAGTAAAACCTTAACGTCTGGTAATTTGAAGGTTGTGTTATGGCGCGCAATATAACCCTTCACTTAAGCCCAGATGAGCTCTATTGGGTTCAGTTCACAGTGGTAACCGCAGCACAGTGACACCACATTGACGGGCCATCTCATCAGTCACGTAACTAATGTTCGCAGGTTTGTGCTGTTCAATTTTTTCATACAATTCCGCTTTCACACATGAATCGTCAAACGGGATTCCTTTTTCGCGCGCAACCATTGCTGCATGTCACTTTTTCGAGATCCCATAGTCGGTACACGTTCGGCTCGACGACTATGGTAGGAAGCATTATGCATGACGATCACAGAGTTGGGCTCAACTCGCTGAAGCACCCCGTGAAACCAGCTCTCGAAGCAGCTGGCATTCATTTCGTCATGGTAATCACCTCCTTTCTTAGAGACGAAAATCAAGTCACACTCTTCTAAAAAGCCACTATCGCTACCAATATGAGTTACGATCAATCTTTGACCTTTCCCTGACGGTCCACGAAGACCCGTTGACAAACCTTCAATGCTTGCTTATCGGTTACTCACTACGTTTTTGTCTATCCAGGTTTTTTAACTGTGTGACCTGCATTTATCCATGTCTCGTCCAAATATTAGATTTTTCTGCTTTGTCGCCTATATTCAATCATTTCGCGTATGTATTTTCGACGCCAGGCGACTATTTCAGGTCTCTCTATCAATACTGACTTCCGATTACGCGTTTCGTAACGAAAATTAATTTCGTGCAGGGATTTCCTCATTACCTCGACGCTCATTTGGGGTATAATTTCATTTTCCTTGATCGCTGCATGTACAGCCTTGAGGGTTGGTATCTCATTCCTAAAGAAGAATGAATGTACGGTTCGCCTTAACGCCTTTTTGCTATCGTCATCCAATTTAACGGCCTTTCGTCCCTTCAAATTAAACTTTGGATCAGTAGTAGCTCCAGTTTTCTTCTTTTCAAGCACCACCCTGCGAATGGTCCACTCTGGAACGCCTGTCATACTTTCACAACGCGCTAGTGCATCTCCCTGCGACATAGTTCTGTTCAGATAATTGAACGATTTCTTTCGCGTCCCTCTTCAGTGCTTTACGAAGCCGTCTACTTGTTCCCTGGCTTTCAGTACTTCCACTCGTGCCATTTGTACTCTCCATGGTTAAGTATAACCAAAACAGTAACCACAGAAACCGCAACAATAACAATCACACAACAATTCTTATAAAAACACACAATATGCGATCGCTCAACGAAACACGTTCCAATGCGTTGCCGACGCCTATGAGTCTGCCGGTCGAGGCGCGTCTTTGATTTCATTGGTTCTACCGGCGGAGAACAATCAGCCATTATTTCCATCTCTGTCTGCGCTGTTGACCACCGCAAAGCCACAGAAACGACGTATGTCGTACGCTATACGGCTGTGCTAGAAGGAAGCCGGGATCGAGCTCTGATCACGTGTTGATCACGCGTATGAGTCATTACAGTTTTAAATAGTTGTAGTATAGTTGCCGAAATTTCATTTAAAAGTTAGATCCAAAGGCACTTGTAGTTATTTATGCATTTATGGCGTCAAGTTTTGAAAATGTAAAAATATGAAGAAAAACTGAACGGTCGTGTTAGCGGAACTTGCGGCACGCCCTAACAACGAATATGATGCAATGTCTGCTAGTTTAATATGGCAAATTAAATATTTAGGTACCGATGTGAACAAGAATGAGCAAAGATACGTCCTGCGCGCTACAAAACCAATCGACGTTTCATTATCTGTCTGTATATATTGTGACTTTGTTCAAAAAATAAACGCATCGACTATGTAAAAATAGTGTGACTGAAAGCAGGAAAGTGTCATCTCTCTCTGTTGACAATTCACAGAGGGGACCGTCCTGCCACCTACCGGCAACATCACTAACTAGAGAGTGTCCGTCAGTCGACGAATCATATAGATGTCGATGTCCTGTCCTCTAGCGGCGAAAACACTAACCAGAGAGTTCGTCCGAGCCCACAGGCTGGCCAGAGGGTTTCGGCTCTAGCGGTAAAAACGCTAATCGGAGAGTTTATCCCGAGCCCAAAAGTGGGCTATTCGCTATTGAACGGGGTCCAAGGTGTCTTTGAGCCTGCGCATCATGTGGGATCCGATGTCTTGAACCTCCGGCCATTGTCGAAGCACGAAGGCTACGCCTATCACTATTATCACTGTGGAGAGGATCCGTAATCTGAAAGGAAGGCAGAAAGTTGACATTTCCGGAAAGAGTTCGTTCACGACGTCAGGATTTAAAATCATTCGGATAACCGTGTTTTTTATTGAACCTTCCCTAATGGAGCATTTAAACGAGCAAGATTTTTGCAACAATATCTGGCTATAACTATAGCATATTGAAGCATATGGCCCCGCTATACAGGGTGTTTCGGTTCATTGTTGCATAACTTTAAGATACGATAGAACTTTTAACATTAATGCATAAAGTCTGTATAAACATGGGTCGAAAAATGCGTGGCTTCCGAAATACGGGGTATTTAAATTTACTTTCTAAAATAGTTTTTTTTAAATATTTCGAACAATATTTGATGTATAACAGTGAAAATGGGTATACAAGTGTTTTTTGGTACGACAAAACGAACCATGGGTATAGTTTTACTGTAGCCGCTAGAGGGCGCTCTCTACTGTACCTGTAGTGTATTAAAATGACCGAAAATTTTTTCTTAGTGCAATTTTCTGCTTTTTGAATAAAAAAAACGATTCTTCGCACTTTTCAACATAAAAAAGCGCTCTTGTGAATTTTCGTTATAGTTAGCCGTTTCCGAGATATTTCGATTTTTAAGGTTCGATGCATTTTTAATTATTTACGATAAAATAACGTTAAAAAGTCAGTATCTCGATAATTTTTAGAAGTAGGCTGTGTGTTAAAAAAAACTATTTTAGAAACACCCTGTATTTCGGAAGCCACGCATTTTTCGACCCATGTTTATATAGACTTTATGCATTAATTTTAAAAGTTCTATCGAATCTTAAAGTTATGCAACAATAAACTGAAACACCGTGTATATCACGACTATTTCGGCTATGGCAATTATAGTCAACGCCAAACAAAGTGGCGTGCACGTCATCACGATAAAAATTCCCCGACCTAATGCCTAGGTTTCTATCACAAACAATTGCTCTATTGCAGTTTCATATTAATGTGATATATAAATTGTAAAATGGTCATTACTCTCTTATTGTGGTTAATAGTCATATAAACATTGTTATTAAAATATCACATAAGTTGCTTTCTGATAAATTTAGACGCATTATGCGAAATAAAATGTTTTGCAAACGCTCCAATCACTTATCGACATGTAAACGCACTAAACCGATTTCGCAGCGTTGACACATTGTCACCTTGAAACTTATTTAAACTGGGAACTGACATTTGTATTAATTTTGACACTGAATCAATTTGTGGCATTTCAAATCTTTATAAATCCTTTGGCCCCGCTTACTGTAAATCAACAACTGTTTGTTTCAAAACAAAATTATTCATTTTACGAGTAGATAAAGGCAATTTTGGTATATAAAGATGCCCAAACAGTTAAATAGTCGGTGTAAGGAACTCGTGGCCTCGTTAATGCACTACTTTGAGCAAGAAAGGGACAACAACGGGCCTTTGTTGCCTTTAAATGCTGTTCAAGAGGTAGGTTATTATATTAATAATAGTGAAATTTTATTTCATTTTTTGTAGCGTGTTGCTGCTGCTTTAAAAATTAGTTTAAGGACAGTTAGTCGTATTTCCGAGGGTGTGAAAAGTGATGCAAATTTAGAATCGCCCAAGAAAAAGCGGAGTTATATTAAACGTGTAACCAACACAGCGACATTGGATACAAGTGCCATTCGAGAAGTGATCTATAATATGTATCACAAAAGTAAGATCTTATTATAATAACTTATCAGAAATTTGCATTAATTTGTTAACTAAATTATAATGTCATATTACACATGGTTTCAGAAGAACAAGTTACGATACAAACTTTATGGTCTCGATTAAGAGATAGGGCATTATTTGATGGTAGTGCCACGTCTTTAAGGCGGTTGCTTAGAGATCTTGGATTTAAGTGGCTTAAGGACAATCCGCGACGAGGGCTCATGGAACTACCAAGTATAGCTTTGAAAAGGGTGGAATTTCTAAGGCAATACAATCAAGCCAAGGTTGAGGCCTTATACCAGTTTGTCTTCCTCGATGAAACTTGGATATTTCAAAATGGGACCATAGGTCGCTCTTGGCAAAATGGAAACAAAAAAAGCGTGAAAGCTATTAAAACAGATGGTAAAAGGTATGTACTTTTACACAATTTGCACTATAAAATTTAAAACTAATATATTTTAGATACATTATATTACATGCTGGAAATGAAAATGCGTTTATTGAGGGTAGTGAAGCGATATTTTCTTCGAAAACAAAATTGAGCGATTACCATGAAGAGATGAACCAGGACAATTTTTTGAAATGGTTTCAACATCAGTTATTAGAAAAATTGGAGAGTCCATCTATGATTATACTGGATAACGCCCCTTATCACAGCATGATATTGAACAAAGTGCCCAACAATGCATGGACAAAAAAAAATATCCAAGACTGGTTGACAAATCAAAACATACCATTTTTAAACACAATGTTTAAAACAGAGCTATTGAGTATTGTTGCTCGGTACATAATGCTTCTTAATTATATATATTTTGGTCGACAGTTTATATTTCTTTTGTTTATTCCTATTCTTAAAATAACTGCTTTTTTAGAAATAAACCACCTAAAATATACGTGATTGATGAATTGGCGGAACAACATGGGCACAAAGTTCTTCGTCTGCCTCCTTACCATTGTATATTTAACCCTATTGAGTTAATTTGGGGCATAGCAAAAGGTTACTATAACAGACATATTGGTAGAGATGGTAACAGTGAAAAAGACTGTTTGGATATGTGGAACGAGGCTCTACAAACGGTTACCCCAGACATGTGGAAAAATAGTGTTCGACATACTGAGCAAGAAATTTTTCAATGGTATGAAAGAGAACGAATTTTTGATCGACCAGACATCGAACCTTTAATAATCAACTTTGAGAGTGATGAAGATTCAAATTCAGACAGCGCTGAAGAAAGAAACTCCGACTAACTTTATTGTACAGAAAAAGCTTACACCAGTAGCTCACCTAATTTTAGAATGCATTTTTCTGTATGAATTCTGTAAAATAAATACCATGCATAAAATTTGGAGAACCCCATTTGGATTTTTATTCAGTACCTTTAAGCTATCAATTAAATATGGTAGTTTCATAGTGTCATCTGATCAATAATTGTCATACTTAATGATTATGCAAGTACAGATCTATAATTTTATTATACTATTATTTTTGTTCTCATTTGAGGTTAATATTGCTTATAAACCTAGATATGTAAATAATAAATTTTATTATTTTACAAAAAGTTTGGCAACAATGTAAATTTTTCAACACACCCACCTTGATGACGTGCACGCCAGTTTGTTTGGCGTTGACTATATATCCCAGCTATCATGCATATGGCCCCGCTATACAGGGTGTTCCTTAATGATATGCGAATATTTAAGGGTGCGAATCTACATGAAAAATTAATGTTAGTTTGCTTTATAAACTATGGTCCAAAAATGTTGCCTTACAAAAACTCGGGCTGTTGAAGTTTTAGGAAAAAAATGGAAATTAATTAATACTTTCAGAACCGCTTCAGACATTTTACTGATATTTAGTACATTGTGAAAGTTAATAAAGTTGCATATTATAAATCATTTTTAGCTTTAACAGTGGCGTGCGTACGGGTATTGACTTCGATACTATTTAAGAAAAATAAAAATTATTTTTTGATTCCCCGTTATAGATGAGGATGAAAAATATAAAAAATATTTTTAATATACAGCTGCTGGATTGTCTGTCTTATTCAAATAATTTAATTTTGCCCACTGATGACAGATGCCATATCCGAATCTAAAAAGAAATGTAGACAGTACAGTGTTGATTATTTGAAATTTCGCTTCATTCCATCATTGCCGGACAAACGGTCGCCTATGTGCCTTTTATGCAACAAAGTTTTGGGCAATGACGCTATGAAACCATCTAAACTGCAAGATCATCTGAGAAGATGCCACCCTGATAAAACAGAGAAAGATTTGAAATACTTTCAAACACTCAAAGATAAATTTCAGAAGAGACCTACACTGGACAGAATGTTCGCTTCGAGGTCACAAAGAAATTATGATGGTTTGCGGGCGTCTTACAATATCTCGTTACTGATAGCAAAATCCGGAAAACCGCATACTATCGGAGAGAAGTTAATTTTGCCAGCCGTTGAAGAGGTTTTAAAAACTGTTTTACACAAACCTGCATCTGATATCATTAAAAGAATTCCCTTAAGCAACAACACTGTTGAAAGACGTATTGATGAAATGAGTTCTGATATTGAAAGCTTCTTATGTAATTATTTGCAAACGACCCATTTCTCTATACAACTGGACGAGTCAACTTTACCTGATAATGCAGCATTATTATTGACATATGTTCGTTTTATTATGAATCAAGAAATCTACGAAGAACTGCTCTTCGCAAGAACTTTGATAACCGACACTAAAGGTGAATCAATATTTCATGTTTTGAAGGATTACTTCATTGAAAAAGCAATTCCTTTATCAAATATAATATCAGTAGCTACAGATGGAGCACCTGCCATGGTTGGACGTTATCGTGGATTTATAAGCTATTTAAAACAAAACGTGTCAGGGGTGTTAGCAATACATTGCGTCATCCATCGACAACATTTAGTTGCTAAAAAATTGAGTGTTAGATTGCATGATTCACTTCATTTAGTCATTGATGCAGTAAACCGAATCAGAAGCAACGCGTTGAATGCGCGGTTATTTGCGCAGTTGTGTGAAGAAAATGACGCACACTTTCATCAATTACTCCTTCACACTGAAGTACGCTGGCTGTCGAAAGGCTTATGTTTGACAAGATTTTTTGCACTTTTTGAGGCTATTTTAGAATTTCTGGATACTAAAGATAAAATTTTAAAAGAAAATTTAATGAAGAGGAAAACAGACATCGCCTATTTAACAGATTTGTTTACAAAATTTAATATGGTTAATTTGCAATTACAAGGCGACACTTTAAATTTGATTAAAACAAAGTCCATCTTATCAGCGTTTCTTGCCAGAGTTAAACTAATGAAGCAAAATATTGGACGGGGCGAATTTTCTCAGTTCCCCAATTTGTCACAGACAAGCTGCCAGGAAGACGACGTTTCAACTTACGTTCAACATTTAAATGCCCTCTATTCAGATTTTGAATCTAGGTTTGAGGATATTTTGACTATGGTAATACCACCGTGGATAATTAATCCATATGGTGTCATAGAAGAAACGAATGACATAATACAAGAGGAACTGACTGAACTAAGTACAAACGAAGAACTTAAGGTTCAGTTTAAAAACGGATATCAGCAATTCTGGCTGCAAAACAACATACCCGTTATTTATCCCGTATTATGGAATATAGCGAGGAAATGTTTAATTTCCTTTCCATCGTGATACCTAGTGGAAAGGGGGATCAGCGCTGTTACCAATCTCCTAACGAAAAAAAGAAACAGGCTGGACATCATTAGCCGAGGAGATTTAAGATTAACCCTTACAAAATTGACGCCAAATGTTGATAATTTATTATTAAAGCATCAGGTTCATCCTTCTCTAAAAGTATTGACTTATTGCTTATGTTATTTTATTTATAGTTTATTTTATGTTTATTGGTGTCTGATCAATAAATGCCCGCATTGGGAATAAGTGCCCGCATTGATTTTTTTAAAGAACCTCCCTTTATAGAAAATATTTTTTTTTAAATCATTCTGAAAATTCAAGGATAGGTGCACACTAAAATTCGTTAATTTTTTGCCTATTTTTAGATAACTTAAAAGTATAAGAAGCGGAATTTAATCAAACTAACAGTAAAATTATTGTAGAACATACGTTTATGTTATAATTGATAAACGAACTCGCTTATTGTACTATTTTAAGTAAAAAACTTTCTTTTTTATTATTTTTCACTTTTTTTTATGTTATCCCTCTTATTTTTTTTTTTTCAATGCGGGCACTTATTCCCACTTATTGGTCAGACACCTGTTTATTTAATGTTACGTATATTTAACATAACAGATACAAAATTTTATTCTGAGTAGTTTTAATTTAAATTCAATTAATAAATGTATAAATTAACATGTGTTTTTACTTTAAGTTTTTAACACTAAACTTCACTACAGTTAGAAATTTACAGGAAATCAATATCAGGTAAGTAGGGGGTCTACCCAACACGGAAAAACATGGCAAGGAGTCTACGACACAAAAAAGTTTGGGGAACTCTGGTCTACCACCTACGGACAATCACAACATCCATAGTCAAGAGAAAAATTTCTCCTGGGGCGGGACCCGAACCCGCACAGCGCACGGCGACTGATCAGGAGACCGAAGAGTCTACTACTGCGGCCACCGCAATAATGACTATCATAACGTTTACACCCTGTATAGTCAATCTACTTGACGCAATTTTTGAGATACGACATCAGAACATTGAATACGTGGATTCAAAATACGTAATACAAAGATTGTGAAACTCTATAAGCGACTGTTTTTGATGTAATACTCGCTCTGTGTTCCTTTTGCTTGAACCACGACGAACAACATATTTCCTTTACAAAAACGCCTTGTCTAGTGCATCACTTCACATTTAATACAAAATTAAAATAACGATACAGCCTGACGTCATGACAATAAACTCATCACGAAAAAGTATAAAAGCAGGAACAGGATTATGTACCTTGTCCTAAGGAACGGCATGATGATCCCCGCTCCGGTGGCCACAAGCAACAAAACCACTTGGAGAACTGTCAGGAGAACGTTTATCAACTTCACCACCAGGGCGCGCGCGTTCGAATTGTCCAAGCCTTCCAGGGTGACGTACTGTTGCTGCTGGAGGGCCTGGTGTTCCATTTTCTGGATCTGGAAGGGAAATATACTACGTGATGGGGTGGTTCAAGAACAATGGTAATACTAATATTTCACAGCAGGAAGTACATTAAAAATAACATGAGTTTCTATACTGAATGACAAAAAAAGGTAAACACATACATGAGTTTATCCGATTTTAATAATTTTTGGCATACAGGATGTCCCAGAAGTCGACGTCAATATAGAAATTTCACACCCTACGGCAGTCTATCAACTCCTGTTACTACAAATATTAACTTTTTTTGGATTTCATTTTTACAATGTAATGACGAATAATGCATCTTCAAACTGGTGTCTCAACCTTACTGCCAACTTTTCTCGTTCAGGAAAAATTGCCACTTATTTCCCAACCAAGTATTCCAAAGTAAAACTTTGCTCAACTTTAACTGGCTGTACTGGAAAAAAATGTACTACGACAGTTTGGCAAGTAACCTTAAAAGTTGGCGCATTTAATAAGGATTCCAAAATGGTATAACACTTAGAAGATTACTCGTTACTTTATGCACAATTTTTATTTGAAGAAAAACTGATGAAAATTTTTCAAAATTTCCTAACTAAACAGCGATTATGAAAACGCCCAAGGACCCTTGAGGATAACTGTTTGCACAACAGTGGGCGTCAAAATGCTGCTGATGATGATTTACCTTTACCGCAAAAGCTCAAACTGTTTTCCTTCAGCCGCAATACACGCTCGACATCTTCTTAAAAAAGATCGGGTTATTAAACGAGCGAATCCACGGTTATTAACAAACTCAGCTGCTTCCAATAGTCTTTGCCGTAGCTCAGCTACATTTTGAATCGGCTTGAAATACACTTTTTCTTTTACAGTTCCCCAGTAAAAAAATCTAACGGATTCAAATCTGGTGACCGGGCTGGCCACGGTATTGTACCAGACCGCCCTATCCATCTACCTGGAAAGTTTTGATAGAGATACTCTCTCACTGAGAGTGCATAGTGCGCTGGGCAGCCATCATGCTGAAACCACATGTCGCTGTAAATACTCAGTGGCACGTCCTCCAATAAATTTTCTAAATGATTTTGCAAAAAACCTAAATAAACCTCAGCAGTCAAAGTTTCTGGGAACTCAAACGGACCGATTATTTTACCATTTAAAATTCCTGTCCAATGGTTTATCTTGAAGCGATATTGAGATTTATCTTCTCTCATCAAATGTGGGTTTGCTACGTGCCAGTCGTGTAAGTTATGCAGGTTCATGAACCCATCTTTCTTAAATGTGGTCTCATCTGACCATAAAATTTTTTCAAAGAACCGTGGATCTTCCCTGTGTCTTTCTAACATTGTGCGACAAAAAGCAACTCGGGGCTCATAATCCCGGGGCAGAAGAGCTTGAACACGTTGTACGTGGTATGAAGATTCTATGGGCTGTACTTTTGGGCACACCTGTTTTTAGTTCTATTGCACGCACTGAAGTACTCGGGTCTTCTTCGACAGCTCCTAGCAGCACGTCTTCGTAAGGAAGGAAAGATCTTCCCTCACCGTGTGATTGGTTTGGTAGTTGGCCCTCTGAGAACAGTAAGCGGTGCACATTTTTGAACACTCGATGATCTGGATGACGAGCTGCATTCGGGTACCTCTCACAGAAAAGTCTCGCTGCAGCACTAGCGTTGCATCTGCATTCCCCATAAATGAGGTGCATGTTAGCATATTCTTGTACGGTGTACACGGACATAGAGGCACTGCACAATCACACTATCAAAGATAGTCTAAGGAAAGCAAATGTTGTTTTGAAGAGCAATTAAACAGTCCAAATCCAAATCACAAGCGATCAACAGTCCAGTTACGAATCCAAAATTAGTAACAGTACGAAATTAACAAGCACGAACATGTAAAGATGCGCAGTAAACGAAGGCGTACTGATCGGTATCAAAGTGTGCAATAGCAAGTAAGTGATGTGCTTCATCCATACCACATACAGCGTGTTCAACCTCTCCTGCCGCGGGATTATGAGCCCTGAGTTGCTTTTTGTCGCACAATGTTAGAAAGACACAGGGAAGATCCACAGTTCTTTGAAAAAAAATTATGGTCGGATGAGACCACATTTAAGAAAGATGGGTACATGAACCTGCATAACTTACACGAGTGGCACGTAGCAAACCCACATTTGATGAGAGAAGATAAATCTCAATATCGCTTCAAGATAAACCTTTGAACAGGAATTTTAAATGGTAAAATAAACGGTCCGTTTGAGTTCCCAGAGACTTTGACTGCTGAAGTTTATTTGGATTTTTTGAAAAATCATGTACAAAATTTATTGGTGGACGTGCCACTGAGTATTTACAGGGACATGTGGTTTCAGCATGATGGCTGCCCAGTGCACTATGCACTCTCAGTGAGAGAGTATCTCGATCAAAACTTTCCAGGCAGATGGATAAGGCGGTCTGGTACAATACCGTGGCCAGCCCGATCACCTGATTTGAATCCTTTAAATTTTTTTACTGGGGAACTGTAAAAGAAAAAGTGTATTTCAAGCCGATTCAAAATGTAGCTGAGCTACGGCAAAGACTATTGGAAGCAGCTGAGTTTGTTAATAACCGTGGATTCGTTCGTTTAATAACCCGATCTTTTTTAAGATGTCGAGCGTGTATTGCGGCTGAAGGAAAACAGTTTGAGCATTTGCTGTAAAGGTAAATCATCATCAGCAGCATTTTAACGCCCACTGTTGTGCAAACAGTTATCCTTAAGGGTCCTTGCGCGTTTTCATAATCGCTGTTTAATTAGGAAATTTTGAAAAATTTTCATCAGTTTTTTTTCAAATAAAAATTGTGCATAAGTTAACGAGTAATCTTCTAAGTGTTACACCATTTTGGGATCGTTATTAAATGCGCCAACTTTTAAGGTTACTTGCCAAACTCTCGTAGTACATTTTTTCCAGTACAGCCAGTTAAAGTTGAGCAAAGTTTTACTTTGGAATACTTGGTTGGGAAATAAGTGGCAATTTTTCCTGAACGAGAAAAGTTGGCAGTAAGGTTGAGACACCAGTTTGAAGATGCATTATTCATCATTACATTGTAAAAATAAAATCCAAAAAAGTTAATATTTGTAGTAACAGGAGTTGACAGACTGCCGTAGGGTGTGAAATTTCTATATCTTATGCAAAGACCTATAATTTTCAAAACACATACATAAAATTTTTTTAAATATTTTTCTGATAGCTGTTATGACTTTGCCTATCACCCGGTTTCGGCTTGACGTCGACTTCTGGGACACCCTGTATATGGATGTTCAGTGTGTTGAGGATCCACGATTTCTCATACACTCATTGACGCGCCTGGGCACGGTGCTGATAAGGTGGTCCATATCCTGTTGGGGTATCTCATTCCAGACTACTGCAACTTCGTGAATAAGAGCTGCTAAAGTCTGTGGAGGGTGTTGCAAGTTCAAGAGCCTACGACCTATCTTGTCCCAGACATATTCAATTGGAGATAGGTCAGGCGATCGTGCGGTCTGGCATTAGTCGAAAATACCCCTGGTTTGCGAAATAATTATAAAGTCTGGTTTTATTGATCCAAGTTGTTCAAGGGGTATTTTTAACATGGACGCATACAATGGGTACACCAATTTTTGTGGGAAAACTTTTTATTCGACAACAAAGAATGAGAAAACGTTTTTTTGGGATTCAATCGAAAATGTTGGCAGGAACGAGAAAACTCTTCAAATAAGATTTTTAAGTATTAGGACCTACAAAATTAGACCACACGTACAAAAAAACAGTCTAATAGTAAAGAAGTTATGGCCGAAAAACGAGGCAAAATGCAGATCTTGGCACTTGCTGCTAATGCGACGATAATTTCACGAAGATACTTGAAATTTTTCATATCCGTAAGCTTCATACTTCTAAGTAACCACAACAAAATTGGGGTCGATTGGTCAAGTAGATTTCTAATTGTTTATCCCTAAGCATCTGTCTTCCGGCCATCACTACTAGTTACTGAGCAAACCACAGGGTTCGCTCAAAGGGCATTATAACAGAATACACGAGTTTACCTTGCTGACATTAATCACAAACCATTCCGAAAGATAACTGCTGTTTTTATGCAAAACACGAAGGGTCACCTTTTTTTCTTCTAAACAAACTCAAATATTTCGTATTTGTGAGTAATTGAACTGATTGGCTACGATGTTCGAAAAACATAGGTTATTATACACATTTTAAAACAAAGCGGATATGTCCATCACCTTTTGTTGCGAAGAAAACAATTTTTTTCAAGATTTCTTGTGTATACATACTTACAGCTGAAATTCTTACACGGTCACAGATGAGCCCTAAAGTTTATAAAAATGAATATTTGATACCTAAATGAGCCGAACGCAAAATGAAGACACAATTATGTTTCAAGCTGACTTAGACTAGGTCGCCTAGTCCAGTTTCTATACAAAGAAATATAATTCCCTGGACCTTTTTTCTAAAAGATTTAGTATAGCATACAAATCTGGTACGATTAAAATGACTGCGAGTTCTAGGTAATGGAAAATAAACTCGAGAAAACGAAAAAACAGTAGACAAATATCAACCAATTGCAGCGTCTTCGCTTAGGAAAAATGCTCGGTATTGGTCTCTAATACATTATTTAAAGTTTCAGCATTGTATCTTGTATGATTTTCAAGAGTATCATAATTGTTTATAATAGATTTGATGTGCCTTCAACGTTCGCTTGACATTTGTCAGTGTCAAGTGTAGTCGTATAAAGATCCAGTAAACCAAGAGGCGTCGTAGCGTAGTGGGAGACAGCGGTGATTTCTGAATCGCAGGACGGAGGTTCAAATCCACAAAGCTCCTTTTTTTTGCTATCATTTTTTTTTCAAATTTGGAGAAATAACTGTTGTTTCACATTATGTGTACTTTTATTGTGATCAAAAAGTTTCTCTTTACTGATTAGAAAATATTATGGCCTATCTCAAAGTATAGAGGTAATAAACATTATATTATAGATTTATTTCTTATGATTGATTCCGTCAATTGGTCACAAAGTACAGGATGTTAGTTTTATACATACAGAAAACTAACACCCTGTATTTTGTGACCGGAACGAATTGCTCGTTTAAACATATTAGATTTAAAGCCATAGGATTTTGTATTTACCATATATATTGCCATACTTTGTATTTATGTAGCTTAATAAGAGAATCTATAGCAGAAGCCATAGAAAGTTTTTATTTTTAGGCAACCTGTAAACCTGCAGAAAAAACATAAATTATCAGCTTCAAATATTAAAAAAGAGGAAGAAGATAAAATAAAACCCGGTAATGAATCACAACAGCAATGCGAAATTAATGAAAATACAGATAAACAGAGAGCAAAACCTTCTCAGGAAGCAATGAAAAATAAGATTGCTCTACTCGAAAAAAATCTGAATGCTTTGTATTCTGAAAGAGATACTATGCCAAGCCGTGCTGAAGTTGATAAACAGATCATTAAGTTGCGCGAGGAAATAAAAACAGCAAAACAGCCTTTAAACAGGAAGGTTCGAAACGCAGTTGCCCAGAAGAAACACAGTGATGGTATGACAAGAAAGTTAGAAGATATTTGTCATGGAAATCCAGAAAAAAAAGACTATCTCTGAGGGAATCAGTGGGACGTCCTAATCTTGAAAGCAATCAACATTCACTATGAAAAACAATCGCTGATATAGCTTTATTTGGGAGTGCAGCAGATGATAGAAGACGAACGGAATCAATTCGCAGTGTAAAAACTCTTGATGAACTCACACAAGAATTACGTAAATTAGGATTTAACATTAGTCACAGTAGGACATTTCTTCGTTTGATTCCCAGAAAATCCAGTTCTGCAGAGGGACGAAGGCATGTATCGACAGTCTCTGTTAAGCTCATTCAGGCTCAAACTGATCACCACAAGAGCCACTTAGCAAGTTCGCTGAAACATCAATCCATTATTTAGAGAACATAGCATCCATACTTGGACCAGATTAAGTATTTTTCATATCTCAAGATGATAAAGCTCGAGTCCCTATTGGCGTAACTGCGGCAAATAAGCAAGCACCTCTTCTAATGCACATGGAATATAGAATCAAATTGCCTGATCACGATTGGGTAATGGCTGAGCGTCATAAATTAATACCACCTGTTTATGCTGGCATCAAAATCACTTCCAATATGCTAGGACAACCGCAAGCCGTTGGATATTCTGGACCAACATACATCGCTATTCGAAGTCGAAAGCATAGTTCATCTACTGCCAATACTCATGCTCAGGATTTCGAGACGCTTCTCGAACTTGAAGAGTTTCGACCATTAGCTAAAACTGACCATGGACTAGCAAAACCAGTGGTAATCATGAGGGTTGATGGAGGGCCAGATGAAAATCCACGTTATCAAAAAGTCATAGGGTTTTCTATACAACACTTTAAGCGACATGATCTCGACGCATTGTTTTTAGCTACCAATGCTCCTGGTAGAAGTGCGTATAACAGAGTAGAGCGCAGAAAGGCTCCTCTTAGTCGGGAACTGGCTGGTTTAATATTGCCTCATGACCATTTTGGGTCTCATTTGGATGAACGTGGCGTTACAATTGACGAACATTTAGAAAGATCTAATTTCGAATTTACAGGAAATGTAATAGATGAAGTATGGAGTTCAATGGAAATTGATGGCTATAATGTTAATGCAAAATATGATGGGGCGGGTGAACGAGATCTTCCTGATTTTCCAGACATTAAATGGTATTCAGAACATGTGCGTGAGAGCCAGTACTTGCTTCAAATTGTAAAATGTAGAAATACAGAATGCTGTCGTCCAAGAAGTGGCCTATTTAGATTACTAGACAATATTTTTCTTCCACCACCTGTAAAAGTAAAACAAACAGATGGTGACTTGGCTTTGGATGAAGGGGGGCAATTTCTTAATCTTCCAGTCAATTTAGCTCTATGCTTAAGTGCTTCACTCAAAGATTTCCTGCAAATGACCGACGGTAAAATTGAGGCTATCAAGTCGAACATGCAAAACGTGTGGTCTTTATCATGCTTCCGTCAAGTCACTGAATCGTCACATCGAAAATATCCATAAAAAAGTAAACACGCACACTGATAGGAAAGTTAGACCTGTAAGAGACGCTGCTCGTCGTGCTAATGAACTGATGTGCATTATTCAAAATTTAGAGCACCATGATGTTGAATGGCTCGATGAGAACGACGTAGACATTCCAAAATCCGATGAAAGCGAGCAAACTCACAACACTGAGCAGCAATCGAAGCAATCCAATGTCATCATCATGGATTCGGGTTTCATGGACTGAAGACTGTTAATTTGAATTTAATATATGTACCAAAAATTCAAAATAAGTCTGTTATGTTAGTAAGCTATAATATTTTTGTCCTTTACTCTATGTTGAATATCGTATCAGTAAAATATAATCTCTATCCTAAATCTATTTTCTTATTTTTCAAATTATAATTATAACGTTATAATTATAATATTAATTGACAAATGTTTACGTAAGCATGGGGGGAGGGGGTAAGAGCTTAGCTTACTTTTGCTGACAGGGGGGATGGGGGGGTAAATAATTGTAATAAATCTGCTTACGTAATACTTGGTGTTTACCTTTTTTTCTAAAATGACACTTTACCTAAATACAAGGTGTTGTAAATTCCTGTGCCACTGATAAGACTGCAGTGGTGCTGCACAGCATTTATTCAAGCGAGAAGAGTGCAAAACATTAACGCCTGCTTCTCCGTAGTACCACGACCAATATGGGTTCTCCACGGCGGCGTCTTACCCTTCTACGACCATCGCGCGTACCTAAGTGTATCTAACGAAGCTACAAAGTAATCGTAAACAGTGGTTGATTCGTGATCAACGCGAGATCGGTAGCCATGGCGCTCTGTCGGCCTCTTTCTGATTGGCTTGTAGCGACGAGCCTCCAGACAAAGTCGCACGGTTGCCACGCTCGGCGAGTTTTCGCCAGAGTGGTTGATCACATTCGCATGGATCACAAATCAATCTGTTGGTGCAATACGTGCACTAACTGTTGTAAATGACATTATATAACAATAAATGGCATCACAAAGGTATATTCCAATTTTATCTGCAGCAAATTATGAACGGCATATACGGAGATGCGAAAACAAGCTTAAAAAGGTGAAGAAAATTTTTGTGCAATCTTTATAGTTAAATCTTTCCTAAGAGATAGCATCAGTGAGGGAATTTTTTTCTGTTGTCTTATTTTTCACATTAATGCGATGTCGAGGTATGTGGCCCTATCGCAATTGAAAATAAGGTTTCGATAATCCTTCCATAAAGTTTCGATGAGTACATCTGAAATAACCTTGAGATATTCTTCAGGGAAATACAAAAATCTCCTTTTGTGTTTTTTGTGCAGATTTATCTATTAAAATCCTATCCGCAATCTATTTTCCGTGCACACACCTTCAACCGAATGTATGCCATATATGATATTACCGTTTCCAACTTTCACCAAGGTTAATAGGAACCATAACAGCTCCCTACCCTTCCCCCCTATAAGAATATCGATTTGTAGCCTCACATTTCAAGGTTAGACTTCTTGTAATGTTTCTGTTCAACATTCGGCGATTTCTGACAATTTTCCCAATAAAACATGATCATTGTGACATTAAGCCTGGCAACGCTGCATAGTAGAGGGAACTCTCAGCGTCACGTTGATGGTTCGTCACCACGCACAGGATTGTAATCAGTTACGGATACCCGTTTATGAGCGCGAACGTTTTATGCACGTCTTGACTTGATTTTTCTTGCGGAAATTTAATATTAGTCTAAAATGTCTGACACAGATACAGCTGATGAAGTGGTTGAAATCAGCTTAACGCCACCCAGCAAAAGGGCTAAACAGCTTCATCTCAGCGCAGGTGAAAAACAAATTATTCTAAATATCTACAAGAACCAGATGCAAGAGAATAGTGGATTGGCTATAGAAAATATCGTATGTAAGGTTGCTGAAATTTCTGGAGTAGGTCGATCAAGTGTTTACAAAATCTTGAAGGAATATAGACAAAATCACTCACTATCTGAGCCAAAAACATATCCAGCGAGAAAAAAAATCATCGAAAAAATAGATGACTTTGACAAAAGTGCCATTAGAAGAAAAGTACATCACTTTTTCTTCAGGAATGAAATACCTACAATAGATAAAATATTAAAGCAAGTGAATGATGATGAGGACCTGCCAAATTTTAAAAGATCTACGTTCCATAAGCTGTTGAAAGAACTAGACTTTCGATTTTTGAAAAGAGGAAGGAATAGTTTATTGATAGAAAAGGAGGAAATTGTTATCTGGAGGAGAGAATACCTTAGAAAAATTAGGCAATTCCGCGCTGAAGGAAGAAAAATTTATTATTTAGACGAAACATGGGTGAACGCGGGGCATACACAGGGAAAGGTTTGGGTAGTCAGATCTGTGAGGTCCTCAAGGCAGGCTTTTTTAGATGGCCTTTCGACGGGATTGAAAAATCCTGCAGGTAAGTTTCGAAGTATATGAACTTTTTTGGATGCACATAATTCATTTTCTGATCGAATCAATGATTTGGTAGCTCCGAACTCAGTTTTGCTATCTCATCCAAGTTTCTGAGTATTTCCTTCACCCAAAAACTAATCTAAGACCCTATCCTACACTAACCTAAAAAGAGTAAGTTGCTTAATTTCGTCATTTAGTGCGCTCGCTGAGAAGTAAAATAACTAATTACTTTCAGGCAAGGGAAAACGCCTCATCATTTGCCACATAGGTAGCGTAGATGGATTTGTTCCTGAAGCATTGTGGGCATTTGAATCCAAAAAAACTGGAGACTATCACGAAGAAATGGATGGTAACTCATTTGAAAATTGGTTCAAAAAATTTTGCCGACACTTGATGATAACGCAATTATTGTGATGGATAATGCCCCGTACCACTCCAGAAAATTGGAAAAAATTCCAACAATGGCCACCAAAAAGGCAGACATTCAACAGTGGCTTGTCTCAAAGAAGATCGACTTCGACCAAACATTGGTCAAAGCTGAGCTGATAAATATAGTCAAGCGACATAAGTATAAATATGATTTAAAAATTGTTGACGAAATGGCCAAAAACCAAAATAAAACGATTCTCAGGCTGCCTCCCTATCACTGCGAACTGAATCCTATCGAGTTGATTTGGGCCGACATCAAGCAATACGTGGCGTCAAATAACAGCTCTTTTAAGTTTTCTGACCTTAAAAAACTGTTTGATGTTGCTGTCGATAGAATTACGCCAGCAAAATGGAGAACATGTATTGACCATGTCCAAGAGAAGGTTGAAACCAAAATGTGGGATATGGACAATATCATTGACACCCAAGTTGAACCCCTTATAATTGACATCAACAATTCTGATGATTCAAGCTTCTCGAAATACAGCATATAAATCGATTGATACCATTAAGACTGGCAGTTTAACGGGCTTTTTGGCAAGACAGGTAAGTTCATTATAGACTGCAATCAAAGTGTAAGTTTCTAGTTATTAATGTGGAAATTCCAAATTTATAATTACACAAAATTAGGGTTAATTTAGGAGTTCCAAAGCATAATAGTGCCATTTTGACCTTCTTCCTATTTCTCATGTAAATTTTAATAGCAATCAAACTAACAAACTTTATGGAGTCTGTAATAAACTTTTGTACTACTTCTACTACTACGTCTGTAGTTTCTATTTGCTAAAAAAAATTTGCTCTGCATTGTGAATAGAAGGTTGATTTGTAAATATTATTGGGTATATATGTAAGTTAATAATAAAATATGAACAATTTCAATTGAGATGGTCCACAAGTTTTTTTCGTGTGCGTTTTAGTAACATTTTGCTGAAATGGTGAATGCAGAATTTTTTGCACTGATTCCTAATGTCGAAATATGATTAGAAAGGCGTGGTATATTCCTGATAATTTACTATGCTTTTGATAGAATTTACAGCAACACATCTTGTACGACATTTTTTGATAGATCAGTCACAATAGCTTGATACGGCGCTGTAGCGTCTCCTACGGTTAAGTTCTTGATCACGTGCAATACGGGTGTATATGTTTGATTTTACTTTGTTTCTTCGATGGATACAGTTTAGACCGAATCGCGATTCGTCGCTGAAGATGACATTACGCCATTCTGCCTCCCAACGTTGCCGTTCTCTGCTCCAGTTCGAACGTTGACGACGGTGGTCCGCAGTCAGAGGAAGCGCTAACCGTGGACGGTATGAAAAATGTCCGAAAGCTCGAAAGCGGCGATAGAGTGTGCGCATAGTAACAAATATTTCTTAAGAAAGGCGATTCATGAAACATTCGCCAGCTGGTGCAAGTCTGGTACTATGAATTTTGCAAAGATCGCGATTTAGCAAGAAATCGCAACCTGACAGTTGCAGTTACGGTAACGGAATATCAACATTTTGGTCACATAAACTTACTTTCGTTTGACAATGCTCCAACATTTCGTGGATGTCTCTCAGTCGCTCCTCGCTCTGGTACTGAACTTTTTCCTCCATGTCCGCCATCGCTTGTTTGAGATTTTCAACCTCGTTTTGATGCAACTCAGTCAGGTCGTTTATTTGTTCTTCCAACCGTTCACTCCTAAATCTCTCTTCCTGCAACATAGGAAAAATACTGTCAGGTGGATTGAATCAGTACGAACATTGATTAACGTTTCTTCCAAGCAGATGCTTAGCTCTATAGTCAACGCCAAACAAAGTGGCGTGCACGTCATCACGATAAAAATTCCCCGACCTAATGCCTAGGTTTCTATCACAAACAATTGCTCTATTGCAGTTTCATATTAATGTGATATATAAATTGTAAAATGGTCATTACTCTCTTATTATGGTTAATAGTCATATAAACATTGTTATTAAAATATCACATAAGTTGCTTTCTGATAAATTTAGACGCATTATGCGAAATAAAATGTTTTGCAAACGCTCCAATCACTTATCGACATGTAAACGCACTAAACCGATTTCGCAGCGTTGACACATTGTCACCTTGAAACTTATTTAAACTGGGAACTGACATTTGTATTAATTTTGACACTGAATCAATTTGTGGCATTTCAAATCTTTATAAATCCTTTGGCCCCGCATACTGTAAATCAACAACTGTTTGTTTCAAAACAAAATTATTCATTTTACGAGTAGATAAAGGCAATTTTGGTATATAAAGATGCCCAAACAGTTAAATAGTCGGTGTAAGGAACTCGTGGCCTCGTTAATGCACTACTTTGAGCAAGAAAGGGACAACAACGGGCCTTTGTTGCCTTTAAATGCTGTTCAAGAGGTAGGTTACTAATAATTATATGTAATGTATATTAATAATAGTGAAATTTTATTTCATTTTTTGTGGCGTGTTGCTGCTGCTTTAAAAATTAGTTTAAGGACTTTTAGTCGTATTTCCGAGGGTGTGAAAAGTGATGCAAATTTAGAATCGCCCAAGAAAAAGCGGAGTTATATTAAACGTGTAACCAACACAGCGACATTGGATACAAGTGCCATTCGAGAAGTGATCTATAATATGTATCACAAAAGTAAGATCTTATTATAATAACTTATCAGAAATTTGCATTAATTTGTTAACTAAATTATAATGTCATATTACACATGGTTTCAGAAGAACAAGTTACGATACAAACTTTATGGTCTCGATTAAGAGATAGGGCATTATTTGATGGTAGTGCCATGTCTTTAAGGCGGTTGCTTAGAGATCTTGGATTTAAGTGGCTTAAGGACAATCCGCGACGAGGGCTCATGGAACTACCAAGTATAGCTTTGAAAAGGGTGGAATTTCTAAGGCAATACAATCAAGCCAAGGTTGAGGCCTTATACCAGTTTGTCTTCCTCGATGAAACTTGGATATTTCAAAATGGGACCATAGCTCGCTCTTGGCAAAATGGAAACCAAAAAAGCGTGAAAGCTATTAAAACAGATGGTAAAAGGTATGTACTTTTACACAATTTGCACTATAAAATTTAAAACTAATATATTTTAGATACATTATATTACATGCTGGAAATGAAAATGGGTTTATTGAGGGTAGTGAAGCGATATTTTCTTCGAAAACAAAATTGAGCGATTACCATGGAGAGATGAACCAGGACAATTTTTTGAAATGGTTTCAACATCAGTTATTAGAAAAATTGGAGAGTCCATCTATGATTATACTGGATAACGCCCCTTATCACAGCATGATATTGAACAAAGTGCCCAACAATGCATGGACAACAAAAAATATCCAAGACTGGTTGACAAATCAAAACATACCATTTTTAAACACAATGTTTATAACAGAGCTATTGAGTATTGTTGCTCGGTACATAATGCTTCTTAATTATATATATTTTGGTCGACAGTTTATATTTCTTTTGTTTATTCCTATTCTTAAAATAACTGCTTTTTTAGAAACAAACCACCTAAAATATACGTGATTGATGAATTGGCGGAACAACATGGGCACAAAGTTCTTCGTCTGCCTCCTTACCATTGTATATTTAACCCTATTGAGTTAATTTGGGGCATAGCAAAAGGTTACTATAACAGACATATTGGTAGAGATGGTAACAGTGAAAAAGACTGTTTGGATATGTGGAACGAGGCTCTACAAACGGTTACCCCAGACATGTGGAAAAATAGTGTTCGACATACTGAGCAAGGAATTTTTAAATGGTATGAAAGAGAACGAATTTTTGATCGACCAGACATCGAACCTTTAATAATCAACTTTGAGAGTGATGAAGATTCAGATTCAGACAGCGCTGAAGAAAGAAACTCCGACTAACTTTATTGTACAGAAAAAGCTTACACCAGTAGCTTACCTAATTTTAGAATGCATTTTTCTGTATGAATTCTGTAAAATAAATACCATGCATAAAATTTGGAGGACCCCATTTGGATTTTTATTCAGTACCTTTAAGCTATCAATTAAATATGGTAGTTTCATAGTGTCATCTGATCAATAATTGTCATACTTAATGATTATGCAAGTACAGATCTATAATTTTATTATACTATTATTTTTGTTCTCATTTGAGGTTAATATTGCTTATAAACCTAGATATGTAAATAATAAATTTTATTATTTTACAAAAAGTTTGGCAACAATGTAAATTTTTCAAGACACCCACCTTGATGACGTGCACGCCACTTTGTTTGGCGTTGACTATATATTGTTTTTCAACGCTAACATACAATTTCCATCGTCAGAGCCATATTTGCTGTGTTTGTTTGTTGTAGATTTATTTAGCATTAATGCTACAATATCAATGTTACACAGTAAATCACATAATATACAGGGTCTTTTCAAAGATGAGTCATTTACCAAAAATCACCTACATAAAAGTTGAATAATAAAACACATAGTTAAAAAATTAAAAAAATACGAATATTATATCACAGATTCTTTGATATTCTTGATCACTGCCATGTATACTAAGTGACGTATAAATCCGAACACCCAGTTTAAATGGTTTTATTTTAATAAAAGTTGGTGAATTTATTTATCTTACTGTAAATAACAAGTGAAAAAATGTTCAGCCTTATCAGTTGGACATTCCGGTTTTTATACTGCTTCTTTTTAATTCACTAACGCTCTAAAAATGAATATTTCAGCCTCAGTAAAGAATCAACGTTGGCGGATTTTGGTTCTTGATTTCGTCAACTTAGTGAGTTTGATAGGGGCCGTATAGTGGGACTTCGGGAAGCTGGACTTTCTTTTCGGGCAATTGCAGTTAGAGTGCAAAGAAGTGTAGACACTGTGGTTAGGTGTTGTCAGGCATGGCTTCGAGAAGGCCGTACGCAAAGAGCAAGGGGCACTGGACGCCGCCGTAGAACAACAGACCGTGAAGAACGGTCACTCTGGGATCAGGAATGGAACAGTATTGTCTTTAATGACGAGTCTCGATTTTGTTTAGGCATGCACGATGGTCGTGCCAGGGTTAGAAGGCGACGTGGTGAAAGGAGGAATCCACAGTTTTTTGTTGAAAGAATGTTCATCACACTGTTGGAGTTATGGTTTGGGGTGCTATAGCTTATGGTTCCAGGTCACCTTTAATCTTCGTCAGAGGTAACATGAACGCGCAGCGTTATATCCACGAAGTGCTAGAACCCCATCTTTTACCCTATCTTGACACCCCGGCAGATCCAACTTTCCAACAAGATAATGCCCGACCACATGTTGCAAGAGTCACAATAGACTTCTTTCAACATAATGATGTCACATTGTTACCATGGCCACCCGACTTATCCCCAATTGAGCACGTGTGGGATATGATGGGTAGGAGATTGCTCAATTTGCAACGTCCTCCTCAGACTCTAGAAGCACTTCGAGAGGAGTTGGTGGTTGCCTGGAATGAGATACCACAGGAGGACATTGACCACCTGATCAGAAGCATTCCTAGGCGCGTTGGAGAATGCGTAGCACATCAGGGTGCATCCACACATTAAGGGCTTTAAAGCAGTGCAATCATTTTGAAATTTTTATCATTTACTTATTATGCTTCATTAAGTACTTATACAAAATTTTATTAAAATAAAACCATTTAAACTGGGTGTTCGGATTTATATGTCACTTAGTATATTTTCATCTAAAGATTTTCCTGTAAGCATATTTTGTGTTGTGTGTGTTTAATTTTAGTTTCATCACATTCAACCAATTAATAATGTTTTTCCTATCATTATTTAACAGTTCTATTGCAGTTTCAATATCTTTATTATCTATATATTATTTCTTGGTTTAATATACACAAGTCGCATATTTTTTCGGTAGTTTGGGAGATATTTTAGAAAAATGGATTATATTCATTAGATTCATTACTTACATGCCTTATCATCGGTCCATTTTGATCCGGATCAAAAATCTTGATCTCCTATTAGTAAAATCGGGTCTAAATGTGTAATAGCTTTGAGAATATCATCTGTTCACATGTCGTGAAAAGTGTGGTCTATGACTTTATAAAATGAAAAATATATTTCGTAGGCTACAAACGGATAATAAATATCTCGACTATGAATAAGTTCCCAATCAAAAGTAAATTTGAATGGAAAATATACTAAGTGACATATAAATCCGAACACCCAGTTTAACTGGTTTTATTTTAATAAAATTTTGTATAAATACTTAATCGTAACCGATCGTAAAGGATGTCAAGAACCAAAATCCGCCAACGTTGATTCTTTACTGCGGCTGAAATATTCATTTTTAGAGCGTTAGTGAATTAAAAAAAAAGCAGTATAAAAACCGGAATGTCCAACTGATAAGGCTGAAAATTTGTTCACTTGTTATTTACAGTAAGATAAATTCATTCACCAACTTTTATTAAAATAAAACCATTTAAACTGGGCGTTCGGATTTATATGTCACTTAGTATATGTTGTAGTTATTCAGATAAGGAGTGATATGGTTTCGATATGGAATTCCAAACGCAAATCTCATGCAACTATTTTGAACTTTTTGTATGCATTTTTTGGTTCGCGATGATAGCGAATCACCATAGACGACATCTCCATAGTCAAAAGTGATAAAATTAAGGTATTACACAAATAATATTTTTGTTTGGCTGATAAATGTTGTTTTAATTTGTTTATATTACTGCCGAAGCCAAGCGAGCTATCAAATATAATCCCTAGATTTTTTGTCTCCTGAACTATGGAAATTCTGTCATTGTCAATAGAAATTACTAAATTTTGTTCAAAATGTTCTCTTTCAGTACTGTTTTTATTCATAACCATTACTTGCGATTTTGATGGGTTTAGTTTAAGATTGTGATACTTTGCAAATCTTTCAATTCTTTGGAGATCTGAATTTAGTTGTTGTTGTGCAATATGGATTGTGTTTTTATCGACAGGAAGATATATTTGTGAGTCATCTGCATATTGTTTTATCTTTGCGAATTTTACCGATTCGACCATGTCAGATATGTAAATTGAAAATAGCAAAGGAGATAAAATTAAACCTTGAGGAACTCCTTTTTTTATAGGTTTAAAATCGGTTTTGTAAATAGCAGAATCATTTGCTAACATAACACAGTTTGAACGGTTGCTTAAGTATGTTTTTATTAGATTTACCGAGTTCTGCAAAAACCCCTGGTAATGTAACTTGGCTAGTGACATTTCATGATTCAGAGTGTCGAACGCTTCACTAAAATCGAGAAAAACCATGCACGTACTATTTTTTTGTTCTTGATGATGTCTGATATCATCCAAGATATTAACTAATGATGTACTTGTGCTAAAGTTTTTCCTAAAACCGGATTCTAATTTGATTATAAATATGCCTTTCTAAAATTTTGGATGTAGCGGGTAATATGCTAGTAGGCCTCACGTCTGTAAATTCTTTAGGTTCTGCTATTTTTGGTAAGGGTTTAACAATAGCTTTCTTCCGTATTTCTGGAAATAATCCCCCCAAAATACACGTGTTGATTATATTCAGCAAGGCGTTCGTACAAAATGGGATACATAACTTTAGGTCTCTCATAGAGAAACCATCCTCTCCAATGGCATTTGATGAGATATTAGTTACAATTTTGATTAGACTGGCCCTCTCTAACAGTTGGAAGCTAAGAGAATCTTTAATGTTTACATCGTTTTTGTAAAAATTGATTAATTCTTGGGAAGCAGTGTCTGGTAAATTGTCGGTCTGCTGGAAGTAATTGTGTATGTCATTTACATTTTGTAAGTGTTCCGGTATAGTTGAGTGAGTTTTCTTGCATGTTATGTTGAGCTTTTTGGTAGTGTCCCAAAATTCCTTACCTTTCTTTGTTTAGAGTAAGTTAAAGAATGTATTTTTTTCTCGGATAATTGCATGCTTTGTATAGTTCCTTAGTTGTTTATAATATTCAAAATGAGCCTGTGATTTTGATTTTTGAAATTTTTTATGAGCTTTATCTCTTAGTCTGATTAAAATTCTTATATTTTTAGTTATCCAGGGTACATAAGGTTTTTCGGTTATTTGTTTTGTTTTTATCGGAGCATGTTTATTCAGAACAGTTACTATATTTTTATTAAAGACTTCTATTTTTTGGTCGATTTGGTTTATATAGTAAATATCCTCCCACCCAAGTAGAAGCCCTTCATTTAAGAAGGATTCTCTATCTATATTATTGTAGTCTCTATATTTAATAGTCTTTTGTGATTTATTTATTTATGCTGTTCTACTTGTAGATTGAAAAACTTAAAAGATGTCATAGTAAAAAAAGGAGTGTGATATTACTAAACGAGCTTGAGAAATACGATTGTTTATATGCTACAAAAATCAAGGCCTATAACAACAGAAACGCCAAATAAGCTACTTTGTATAAAATCCGAATGACTTTAGAAGAAATTAGGCCTATAAAATAGTACGAAATTTATTACAAAAATTTCTTTATGTGACAGACAGGATTGTAATTTGTAAACAAATTGGAAACCACATTCAGTAAAGCATTTTCTCACAAAATTTACCGAATTATGAACAAAACGTTGTATCGTGACGAACGGCCTTAACTGCCTCTACTTAAACTGTGTTATTGGATTGTATACTTTATCTGAAGTCACTTGAAATAGCATAAAAACCCTTGGTCGGCGCGTCCTTTGTAATTTCATGACGTATCATAGGCGTGCGGTCATTTATTTAGAACGATAATAATAATGTTTTTATATCACAATAAATGGATTTTACTATCTTCTTATTTTTTTTATTTGGGATAACAAATACTTATATTGGGAGTTTAATTTATGTTGACTGAAAGTTAAGAAATGGAAAAATTACAGAATTCCAACGTTTGACATACGCAAATATTTACATAGCAGGTAGGTATATAAAAAGGTATATAAAGACTTACATTATAGGTATTTATATATCATCCTCGCCTTCGGAGCTGTCGCTAGAGTCATCTTGTAGAGAAATTACAACGGGATTTACAGGAGGCAAAACACAATATTCATTTTCTTTTTCAATAATATGCCTAGAACACTGCTTCCATAGGTCTGTGGCAGCAATATGAGATACTGCATCTCTTATTGTGGCCAATAGCGATTCACTTAATTGAGGGGTCTGATTATGTTTTCTTACTTTTTTTTTAAAGCAGCCCAGACCAACTCAATCGGGTTAAAAATGCAGTAATAGGGAGGTAGACGTAATACTTCATGGCCATTTTGCTGAAGCAGATTGTCAACAACATACTCTTTTTCAAATGTTTGTCTTACAATAAGATCCAATAATATGGCTTTGGTTGATTTTTGTGGTATTTCCATTCCCTTATCCTTCATAAAATCAATAATGTCTTGTTTTTTTGTGCCTGTATTCGGAATTTTGTTTTTCTGTCGGGAATGGTATGGCGCATTGTCCATAATAATCACTGAATTTGGGGAGATGTTTGGTATTAACTGCTGCTCTATCCACTTTTCAAATAAGTCGGAGGTCATGTCCTCATGATAGTCGGCACATGATTCTTTGATATTTTTGGCAGATAACAGCAAGGCATTAGGTATAAATCCATTTTCACTGCCAGCATGGAGAATAATGATTCGTTTTCCACGGTTGCATGGTGCATTTAAAATGCACTTGTTGCTGTCGTCAACCCAGCCGTACTGCACATCATCATGGGTATCATACCACGTTTCATCCAGGTAAATCAGATTTCTTTTCTGCTCTCTATAGATTTTAACTTTGTGCAAAAATTCTTGGCGCAATTCAACGATTCGAGACGACTCCATAATCACCATTCTTTTATCTAATTTTTTGTATTGAAAACCACACAGTTTTACAATACAGTGCAGTGAGTCTAAGCATTTGTAATTATAAAAATCTTCAGGATAATCTTTTAATTTATCCCGTATCATTTCCAACGTAGGCACCAAATTTTCTTTATAAAATCCGTATATTATACGACGAATATCTTCCTGAAAACCCACGTCTATTCTTTTTAATTTTTGCCCTATGCGCTTTCTGTGGAAGGAATGGTTGACTACATCTCCCCTTTTTATAACCCGATAAATGGTAGACCGACTGATTTTTGTCAGGATACAAATACTGTTTAAAATTTGATTTTGCGAGGAATCTGGATTTTCGTTTTTCAGACAATCATACATATTTAGGATTACTCTTTGGGTCTGTTCCTCTAAATCTTTATGAAAGAATTCTGCCTGCACAGGTTCATCAACCATCTCCTCGTGGCTTGGAGCATTTTCCCAAGGTCTCCAAAGAGCCATATTTAGGACACACAAGAACAATCAACCCAACAATTAAATCAACAAGTAAACTGAGTATTCAAAAGTCAAAAACATATGAACTAATAAAATCTATGAAAAAACACGGACAGACTAAAGAAACACGTTTATTCACCGCTACACGGCACTGGCTAAACTGTTTCAATTTTCAGTAGCCACCTGCACTTGTTCGGAGCTCTGAAATACACGCTTTCTCATTGGCTATGTCCACGCATAGGCGTGCTTTACTCCACGTGGATCGGTGAAACTGCCTTTGATCTTATACGGGGGATATTTGCTGCGAAATTTGGCGATTTTTGCAGCAACAGAGCGTGTTAAATATAGATATATAAAACGCACCCGGTATTTCACAGTGTTTCCAGTGACAGATAAAGTATACGATGATGTCCTTACCTGTAAAGCTACGTTGAGGTCATGTATTTCGGTTTGTAAAGTTTTAACAATATCAAAATTCTCTCTTAAGCCGTCTACTTGATCTTGAATTATCCTAGTTTTCTTATGTAAATCTAAGTATGCGTCTTGATGGCTCTCGTGCGATCTGCCGTACCTGAAACATATTATTAATATAAATTTCAATCAAACTTTGCATAAAAAAGATGCATGCCGCAAACTGTTAATAGTAACAGATCGCAGGTCTTTGCTAGAGATCTATATGGCTCATTCTTCTTATATGTCATCATATGTTAGGGTTAATTAACGTTTCGACCAACAATATATACTAAGTGACATATAAATCCGAACACCCAGTTTAAATGGTTTTATTTTAATAAAAGTTGGTGAATGTATTTATCTTACTGTAAATAACAAGTGAAAAAATTTTCAGCCTTATCAGTTGGACATTCCGGTTTTTATACTGCTTTTTTTTAATTCACTAACGCTCTAAAAATGAATATTTCAGCCGCAGTAAAGAATCAACGTTGGCGGATTTTGGTTCTTGACATCCTTTACGATCGGTTACGATGCCTAGAGCACGGATACCTGTACGATTTCGTCAGCTTAGTGAGTTTGATAGGGGCCGTATAGTGGGACTTCGGGAAGCTGGACTTTCATTTCGGGCAATTGCAGTTAGAGTGCAAAGAAGTGTAGACACTGTGGTTAGGTGTTGTCAGGCATGGCTTCGAGAAGGCCGTACGCAAAGAGCAAGGGGCACTGGACGCCGCCGTAGAACAACAGACCGTGAAGATCGCCGCCTAAGATTATTGGCCTTAAGGGACCGTTTCTCCACTACCAGGTCCATTGCAAATGAATGGTTTGCAGAACACGGAAGACCTATTGGCATGCGAAGTGTTTACCGATGAATGAGAAGCTTTGGCTTGTTTTCATACCGGCCACACTGGGTCCTCTCTTTAATTCGAGAACACCGACGTAATCGCCTTGAGTGGTGCAGACAACGGTCACTCTGGGATCAGGAATGGAACAGTATTGTCTTTAGTGACGAGTCTCGATTTTGTTTAGGCTTGCACGATGGTCGTGCCAGGGTTAGAAGGCGACGTGGTGAAAGGAGGAATCCACAGTTTTTTGTTGAAAGACATGTTCATCGCACTGTTGGAGTTATGGTTTGGGGTGCTATAGCTTATGGTTCCAGGTCACCTTTAATCTTCATCAGAGGTAACATGAACTCGCAGCGTTATATCCACGAAGTTCTAGAACCCCATCTTTTACCCTATCTTGACACCCTGGCATTGCTCAATTTGCAACGTCCTCCACAGACTCTAGAAGCACTTCGAGAGGAATTGGTGGTTGACTGGAATGAGATATCCCAGGAGGACATTGACCACCTGATCAGAAGCATGCCTAGGCGCGTTGGAGAATGCGTAGCACATCAGGATGCATCCACACATTATTAAAGGTCAAAGGGCTTTAAAGCAGTGCAATCATTTTGAAATTTTTATCATTTACTTATTATGCTTCATTAAGTACTTATACAAAATTTTATTAAAATAAAACCATTTAAACTGGGTGTTCGGATTTATATAATAATAATAATTAACGTCTTTTATTTGTAATATTATTACAGGAGGCGAGATTTAGATTATATATCTATTCTACCATCTAACCCCCATGTCACTTAGTATACCATATCTTAAAGCAACAAACCATTTTTTTTTCTTAAGTTTAAAGTTTTTTGTTTGGGCATCTTTGTATAACTTAATGATCTTAGTTTTCACAGCGAAAGAAATTTCTGGACCACGCGGCATCGTCTTAAAATCACGCAACTTATTCCACAATACTTGATGAACACAAACTAGTCCTCTGCTGACACTAAACTAATGTTGAAAAGAATTTGTCTACATATTTTTGTCCCTCATAAAAAAGTGCTTATATTCAGACTTGTATAGTGTTGCAGATAATGTAAAAACAAGGATTTTAGTTTTTCCGCTAATAGCGCATTTGTTTATGGAGCGATGGAGTATGAATTCATTTTCTATAGGTATTTTGGTAAATATTCATATTTGTCTATATACTTTTGTCCGTTACTGTACATATACGATTTAAATGTCCCAGTTTCTTTAATAAGTTCCGTTTTCATTAAAAACGCGATTTATGTTGTATTTCCTTTATATGGACACCCCTTTTGAAAGGACACTTTCAGCTGGTCCCGTTGGTGTCCATCCAAAGGAGATATCACTGTATAATTTTCTATTTATATTCCGCCTTCAATTAATTTGGACATGTTTGGTTAGTACCTTGAAGCTTTGGAAGTATTTAACAATGCATTCAGTAATTGTAAAATAATTGTTGCTGGTGACTTTAATGTCGCATCATTCAACAGTGACGTTAATGATCAGAAGTCTCAATTAATGAGCAACTTTATTTCGTTTTTAGATTCAACTAACTTTAATAATATTCCAAATATAAATGGTCGAATGCTGGATTTAATTTTAGGAAATATCGAAATAGAAGTCCTCGGAGATAATACACCTTCTGTTAAAGAGGACGTTCATCATCATGGAATTCATTACATCCGGATCTCCAACGAAATCCCCATTTGCTAATTCTCCACGGTTTAACTTTCGCAAAGCTAAATTTCCTGAAATGTACACAGCCTTGCAAGATGTTAATTCGACGGAGGTGATCAGTGCAGTTAATGTTGATGTCGCTTGTACCGCCTTGTATTCAGTTATCAATAATGTCCCATGTCCCTAAATGTAAAAATAAAATGTTTTCGTATCCCCCATGTTTCACACGTGAAATTATACTTAATATCAAGAAGAAGGACATAGCAAGAAGGAACTGGAAACGTGACGGTACGAAGTTTTCTTATGATCAGTTCAGTAATTTTCGGAAGCTCATTAAGAACCAGATCAGTGTTGCCTACTCCGCTTACGTCCAATCGGCTGAGGATGCCATTGTCAATGATCCTAGCAAATTCTGGTCATTTGCCCAGATCAAAAAACAGCAATCTAGAATCCCCCCAAGGATGACGCTTAACGGCAATGTCTGCGATACGCCTCAGGATATAGTGGACAGTTTTGCTACCTTCTTTTCAACAGTTTTTATCTCGTCTGGTCTACTAGGGTCATCTCCTCCAACAAATAATTCTACCGATATCATTTCTTTAAAAAATATAAGTGAAGAAAACGTAATTAGGGCTTCGAAAAGATTAAAGAACAAAATGACGTCTGGATGTGATTGGTATTCCAAGTTTTTTCGTTAAAGATTGCATTCATATACTAGCGAAACCGCTGGCTTCCATATTCAACCTAATTCTAAAATCAGAGACATATCCAAATATCTGGAAGACCTCTAAAATATGTCCTATTCACAAAAGTGGAGATATCTCTGATATTTCCAACTATCGCCAAATGGCAATCCTGTGCAATTTCAGCAAGTTGTTTGAGATCATCGCTTATGAAACGGTTTACTGCTCGGTCAGGGGTGCAGTCTCTATTAATCAGCATGGGTTTATGAGAGGCAGATCTACGGTCACCAACTTGGCTCTAATTACTCAATACATTTCTGAAGTACCGGACGGTCAGGGACAAGTTGATGTCATCTACACAGATATTCAGAAGGCTTTTGATCAAGTTGATCATTATGCACTTCTGGATAAGCTTAAAACAGTGGGTATGTCTGATGCAATGCTGTCGCTCATGAATTCATATTTGAGGGATAGAAGGTTATTTGTCGAATATGGTGGTAGTTACTATCGGGCCACGTCTGGGGTACCTCAAGGGTCAAATCTAGGTCCATTATTGTTTTTAATATTTATTAATGACTTGTCTTTTGAACTGAAGTGTTTCCATTTGTTTTTCGCTGATGACCTTAAAATCTGCACGTCAGTCAAGACAGTCGAGGATTGCGTCATGTTGCAAGATGACTTAGCTCTAATTTCGTCATGGTGTTCACGAAACTGTCTCAGTCTGAACGTTTCGAAATGTAAAGTTATGACTTATACAAGAAAAGTGAACTATTTAATTTATGATAATTATAACATCAATGGTCAGGTTATAGACAGATGCACCTCTTATAGAGACCTTGGAGTCATTTTTGATACCAAGCTAACGTTTACTGAGCATATACTCAATATCTCGTCGGCTGCTATTCGACTACTTGGTTTCTGTATCAGAAACTGGAAGGGTTTCTCCAATGTATTTTCACCTTAAATGCACAGGTTCTTATCCAGAAAGAGGTTGTGACCATAGTGCCCTATTAGAGTCTTTCAATTTGGATTCACTGTCTCACAAGACGAAACATATTTGCTTTGTCGTTTTTGTATGGCCTCATTCACAATAAAAGTGATTGTCAAAATTTACTTGAAAAAATATGTTTCCCCGTTCCAAGGCTAGGGAGTCGACAACAAACGACATTCTATTGTCAAGCTGGCCGTACAAATGTTATGACAAAATCGCCAGTTAATCTCATGTGCCGCGTCATGAACAGTGTTACTGAATCGTGTGATATTTACAGTGACAGTTGTGCATCGATTATTAACAATCTTATTTAGAATGTGTGATACTATAGATTTAAGTCCAAGAACCATGTCTCTTTAATTGTTATTTTTTTCAGCGTTTCCTGTAATTGGGTTTCACCTGTTGGAAATAAATAAATAAATAAATAATAAAAAGTAAACAAGTGAATTCTATAACAATATATTGGTTTCCATCACAGTACAACATTGTAACCTTATAATATTATAAATCCACCAGTCTTTTTTTCTTAGCTATACAGGGTTATCCAAATTAAGTGTCCACCATTAGTAACTTTGTTATTAGTGAAAATACAAAGTTGTTTGAATTAGCAAACTAGTAGCATTTTTAACGCTGGTAAAAATGAGAAATAAAAAAAAACAATTGAGAGTCGTTATTTTGATTTTTTTCAGTAAAATAACATTTTTTTAAATGGAAACCCCTGTATATTATATTTTTTTCTGTTAAAGCATCAAATTTTAAACAAAAAAGTTCATAATGACTTTTCCGCTAAAGTCAAAAATAAAATCAAAATAACGATAAATATTTTTAATTATTAGCAGTATTATAATATTAAGACGGCTATGAAAACAACATGGCGTTCGCGATTTGACAGCATTAAGATAAGCGACAAATTGTTAAACTGGACATACTCGCAACTAGAAGGCTTTGGAAAACAATGATAGAATCAAATAATGTCAAACATTAGTGTAAATACTTGTTTATAAGCTTTATTGTGTCATTAATTTAAAGAAAAATGTTCTCCCATGAAGAAAAGTGTGATATGTTAGAATGCTATTTAGTGTGCAGAAAATCCTCCTTGAGAGCAAGAGAATACTACAGTGAATTATATCCCGCTCGCATTCAACCGTATGAACGATATTTTCTGAGACTTTATCGAAAATTTAGGGGCAACGAAAATGTTTTTGCTAAAACAAGGGCAAAAAAAGAATTCATAATAAGCGAGGCCACGGAAATTGCAGTTATTGGATATTTTGAAGCTTATCGTGAGAATTCAATAGCAGATATTCTCAAGGACTCTAATTTCAGTTATGGTACTGTTCAAAGGATTTTAAAAAAATACAAATTTATTCCGTATAAGTACCGACCAGTTCAAACGCTTTTGGCAGGGGATCCAGAGAGAAGACTTGTTTTTTGCCATTGGTATCTTAGCTTCTGTCGCCAAAATGTAAATAACTTTCGTTACCTTTTATGGACAGATGAATCAAATTTTTCAAATTCTGGAATGTTTAATAGAAAAAACCACCATTATTGGTCAAGAGAAAATCTTTTGTTAGTACATCCAAGAGGCCCACAAGTCCGTTTCAGTTTCAACGTTTGGTGCGGTATAATTGGTTCAAAAATTGTTGGCCCGTTCTTTTATGAGGGAATCCTAACTGGTGAAAGATATGTGGAATTTATGTCAGAAATTCTGACTAATTTCTTAGACGAATTGGATCTTATAAGTAGACATCATCTGCATTTTCAGCAAGATGGCGCACCTGCCCACAACTCCAGAGGTACTCATCATTTTCTAAGTACTACTTTTAATGATCAGTGGATAGGAACAAATGGCCCAATACAGTGGCCTCCCAGATCACCAGATCTAAACCCACTTGATTACTTCTTGTGGGGTTACTTAAAGAACCAAATTTACAAGCGAACGTACGATAACCTTGACGCGTTAAAGACTGCAGTTAGGGAAAAGATAACCCAGATAGATGGTAGGACCATACTTAAGACAGTTCGAGCAGTTGAAAAACGTGCCCAAAAATGTATTGAAGAACAAGGTGGTGTTTTCGAGCATCTTCTTTAAAAAAAATTGTTATTGTATTTTGTAAGATTATAAGTTGATGTTGAAAATAAAGTTTGTCAATACAATTTAATTGTTTCAGATTGGAGGCCATAACTTCAACAATTTGTAACCTAGGAGAAAAGTTATTGTTAGCTTTTTTGTTTAAAATTTGATGCTTTAACACAAAAAAATATACAGGGGTTTCCATCTAAAAAAATGTTATTTTACTGAAAAAAATCAAAATAACGACTCTCAATTGTTTTTTTTTATTTCTCATTTTTACCAGCGTTAAAAATGCTACTAGTTTGCTAATTCAAACAACTTTGTATTTTCACTAATAACAAAGTTACTAATGGTGGACACTTAATTTGGATAACCCTGTATAATCCCTAACTACATATATAAATTAAAGTCTACAAATATCTGCAAACCATTCTTTGCTATGATAACAAGTATGATTTATGCAATGCGGACATCGATGCAAAAACTTCTTTGAAACAGGCACACCGCTTTTGATATGCTTCCGAACCACATCAGTCATGGCTTCAATGAATAACGGATGATCATTCGGCGCTGGACATCTTTTTATTTCTTCGATGCCCAATTCTTCGGCTAGCTCTTTACAATACTCAATGTCGAGCTCATGTAACGTTTCTATATGCTCGTTCACAAACGCTATAGGTACTATTATAAAGGATTTCTTGCCTTTTTTCACGTAATCCTTGATTGCATCATCTGTCATAGGACCGAGGAAAGGTACAGGCCCAACTTTAGACTGCCAAACTAGTTGATACGGATGCTCGAATCTCAACTCTTCCATTACATTGTGGACTGTCGCTCCAATCTCGGAAGGGTAAGCGTCACCCCTATTTACAGTTTTCAAAGGAATAGAATGTGCTGAGAATAATATGATTGCGTCTTTCCTATCTTTCTCTGGAAACTTCTGAAGCTCCTTCCTGATATTATCAGCGAAACACTTTGCTAATAATGGATGCGTAGCCCAGCGATCTATCACACTAACTTTCAGATTCTTTGGCAAATCGTTGTTTCTGAAATGTCTGTAAATCTCGTTGAAACTGGAGCCTGTAGTTGCACAGCAATATTGCGGATATTGGGAGAATAAAATAGCATGTTCTACACCATCATCTATGAGTTCCTTAAACGCATCTTCGGTGTGGGGCCGAACGTATCTAAAGGCGACATAGGGCTTGTGTGGGCCCGTTTCTGGTGACTGTTTATCTAACTGTTCGCACAAGAGTTTTCCTTGAAGTCGAGTCCATTTCAAGATCGGCGAGCCACCTCCAATTTCTTCGTACTTCTTTGCGACCTTAGGGGCACGTCGTTTTGCTATCCACGGGCCGAACCTGTGTTGCGGGATGAACTTAGGAAACTGTATCATGTCAGTATCGGTCATAATTTTGTGCAGGTATTCCTCTACGTGTTCCAATTTTTCAGGTCCGCCCATGTTGATGAGAACCACGCCGGTTTTCGGTTTTGCGGCGGCTGTAGAAGCATTTCTAAATAGTAGGAGTTTGTTTCCTACGCAAAGTAATGATGTGCGGGTAAACATTTCGGAAATTGTACGATTATCAACAAAACATCGACGGCGAATGACGTTGCCGATTCACATAACCTCAATTTTGCTTGTCACTTATTCAACTTATTTTGTATCTCTTTCTCTCCGTCGCGGTGTTGCCAGAGCGAAGTTTAAAAAAATCCGTAACACGTATCGCAAAATTCCGCTACATGCCGCCACGGTCTAAAAATGTAAGGGGGGGGAGGGGAGGCTTAAAATAAACAACAAATATATTTTTTACATATTTACTTTTTTAAACAATGTCTAAAAACCCTAGTAAAAAAAACAAACAGTAACATAATATAATTGCAATTTTTCGTAAAAACATAAAAAGTATACCTCTAAAAAAACAAAACTGTCTTTGGTTTAGAATTAGGAACTAATAAAAAAATAGAAACTATCACCAATATCTTAATCTTAATAGAAAAAAAAAACAAAAAATAAGGACAAAGAAGAAGCGGAAACGTGGAAATGCCTACGTTTGCTTATTTTATTCACAGTCAAAATCAGAAATTACTTCTTCTTCAGCTTGTTCTTCCATATTTACATTATATAAATTCTTTTTATATTTGTTTCAATGATTCTCATTAAAACTATAGGATAAACAGCACTGTTTTTCTGATTCCAAGTCTAATTTAATTGTAAGTAGTGCAGACAAAGTTGATGGTATTATTTTATTTCTTTTTTTTTGTTTTGTAATCAAGCAGTTTACCTATATTGCGAAATAAATATTCGTCATTAAAATTTTTGAGGTCGTTCACAAACGACCAAAATTCAATGACATTACTTTTTGTTTTTAAAATGTCCTCTTTCTCACTATCACTAAAATAAATATATATTTTCTTTAGTTCCACAATTGCCTTTTCGGTTTCAATATGAAGGGCAAATTTTTTTAAAACGGCGTCATGAAATGTATCACTTATAATAAGACGATTGTTCATCACATCAACCGGTGAGAGAAACTTTAGCTCTGAAAAGAAGTTGTCTTTGATAGGAAATCTTTTAAGGGACTCTTCTACCGATTTTTGGTAAAATGCAGTGTTTTATTGCATCCATTGTATGCGGACCAACATTCACTTGTCCAATTGGTAATAAGCAGTGGGGATCATTAGGATTTAGATTATATAATTTCTCATTTTTAAAATATTCCGGTCGCATAAAGTTTGTACATAGATGACGTACAAATCGCTCACTCTCTATTGATATGATATTGAGCATAACTTTCTCTGATTGAAAGAGAGCATTAAATTGGTTAAAAATGGGCAACACGAATTTAAAAAACATTAAATACGCCTTAACAAATGGATTCTGCAACTCATTAAGTATTACATTTGCTACAGGATTTTTGTCTTCAATGGAAGCTAATCTAAATAGGCTAAGCAAGATGTCCCACTGATCCAAAACTCTATCAACACATTTGGATAAAGCAAGCCACCTTATTTTAGTAGGGCTTAAAATTTTTAATTTTGACTTTTTGAAATATTCCTGTAATTCTTCAAGAACACACTGCCTTTTTGGGCTTCTTGAGAAGTCAGAATATAAGTTTTGTAAAAGAGCTTCAACGTTGCTTGGAATCTTTTCAGCTGCCGCCACCGTCACTAAATGAGCAGAGTGGCAGATGCAGCCATTGACAATTATATTAGGATTATCTTTTAAAAGATTCGTTATTGCCCATCATAACACTACCGTTGTCGGAACAGTATCCAACAATATTGGTAATTTTTACTTGATTGGATATAACGCATTTTTTAAAAAGAGAATATAAGCCTTTGGCGGTACCTTCATCTGCGTTTATTTTAATTATATCTAATAAATGGGCTTTAATTGAATTTTTATGAATATACCTTACAAGAATGCATAGTAGTCCTGTATTGCTCAGGTCTGTACTCTCATCCAATAAAATAGAAAATGGTTTATTTTCCAATTCTGAAATTATTTCGTCTTTAATAACAGGAGCCATTTTTAATTATACTTATGCATTTGGATCTTTTTAATTTAAGTGAGCTAGAGAGATCTGGGTCTTTAAAACATAATTGACTAACTCCTGTTATATGATCAACAGTTCTAAAACTTATATAATGACTTACAACTAAAAGACTATATCTTAAGCAAGCAAATATTTGCCGTTTTTCCAACTCACGTGCTTCCCGAGACTGAAAAGTGCTATCTAACGTTCTTACATTCGAAATTGCTTGTACATTAGTGGCATGCCTTTTTGATTTCGAATGATTCACTAAATCTGATTTTTTAGCACCCATTATTTGATGACAAGCTTTACATTTTGTTGCTTTCAACTTGTCATTTTCAATAGGTCCCAACCAGCCTTCTAGCCATGATGAAGTAAACATTTGTTTTCGTGTATTTTTCTTAACAGTTTGCTCTGGCTCTTGGTTATCCTGAGATTCGCAAGTCGAATTATCAGGCTCAGACCTGGTTCCACTAGATTCCGCTCTTCTATTTTGTCTGTATTCAGGTTCGGGATGCTCCGAGTCCGACACAAGTGGATGGTACGGCCACGTTTGGTTTCACCGTTTGTTTTTTAGAAGGATTTTTATCAAAAAAATCGTTAATGGTCTGCTGTCGCCTTTCCATTATTCCTATTTTCCAGAAGAAAAAGCGTTAAAAACAAATTTCGCGACTAAGATTTATTTCTGGATCAAACTATAATATGTTAGATATTTAAGCAGTTTTTTTACTTACCAGTAGATTTAATATTAAAATCTGCAGCAAATGATATATCAATAAAATGATCAACACAAAAATAAGAACACTAAATATAAACGAAACTAAACAGAGCTGAAAAATACAATACAAAGCGAGAAACCTAATATTATGTCTGCCTGCTGAGACCTGTTAGAAACGATTAGTATTGAAAGCAGTACGTACGCCATCTGTTATTGAAAAAAAAAGGCAAGTGGAATAATTCTCTTCTCAGATCCTAGATGGCTCAAGCGGCACCAAATGCACCAATTTTATTATTAATATGATAATAAATCAGACTCTAGCCACTGCCTATTTAGGATTTAGAACGTTATTAACGTTAACACAGTTGGAATAAATATGATAGTTTTGTATGTAATAAATTCCGCTACATTTTGGGCTAATTTGCTCTACCGCCGCTACGCCGCTCTTCTCAAAATAATCCGCTACAAATAGCGGAATTCCGCTACGTATGGCAACACTGTTTGTATCTCTTTCTCTCCGTAGACGTCAAGGCTAAAGCACAGGACCGCATTCAGAGCGGTGTAGAAATACAGTACCGTATCACACATTTTAAGAATATTTTAAGGTACGAAAACGGGAAAGGGTAAGACTACTTTACTTTAGCGCATATCGCACATTTTTATTTCTTATTTTAAAATGAAAGATTAGAATGTAACTTTTACGAAAATATCATTTTTTATTTCAGGAACCCTCTGCTTGCTATTTTATAGGACATGAAAGTTTCATTTTTGGTGGTAATACTCTAGAATAAAATTCTAATTTATACGCCATTTTTTTGCTTTTTGCACAAAAGGACACTCAAATTTGTCTCTTTTAAACCTGATCTGTCAGAACTTATAACAAACCGACTGAATACCGACTTGAATAGCCTTCTCTAAACCTCTGAAGATCACTTGTTAAAGATAAACCCTAGTAAATCGACGGCTATATTGTTTTGCAGTGATTCCTACAGAAACAATAATTTTAAGCTCAGACTAGGGGACAATATAATATCATTTAGGGATTCCGTGAAGGATTTGTGCTTAGTGGTTGACTCCAAACAAAAGTTTAGAGAGCGAGAAAAGCATATTCAATGTTAAAAATAATTTACCCCCATAGACATTACCTGTCACAAAATACTAAAGCCACGCTCTGCGAAGCATTAGTGTTGTCCCACTTCAACTTTGCTGATATGATATGGCCCGTTTCTCGATAGTGTGGAACTAAAACGGGTTCAAAAAGCTCAGAATTCTTGTCTGAGACTGATATTTGGCATAAGGGGTAAAACTTGAACTAATATTGAAAAAAATAAGTTTCATTCCGGTTTTAGCACATTAAAAATAGTAATACAGTGAAAGCTCTCCTTGCGGACAGCTCCTATAAGCGGACATCTCTTTTAACCGGACAAAGTTCCTGGAACCGAATTTCAGCCATCAATTTTCAATGTTAAATGCATTCCGATAAACGGACGCTCTTATAAACGGACGCGGACACTAGATTTTCCTGTATGTGATCAAAAAATCTCCCATAAGCGGACGCGAAACTCTAATACCCGGACGATCTTTTAGTTCCGCTTATTGCAATGCACATATCTACATACATAAAATTCGGTAATTCCAATCAGGAACTAATATAAATCAAAAGAAGGTTTTTTTAAAAAAGGAAGGTTTTGCTATAGACAAAACATGTTTTGAGTGGTTTGTGAAAGCTAGAAGTCAGAACATTCCAATCTCAGGGCCGTTAGTGAAAATGAAAGCTAAAGAAATCGCCACTACTTTGGGCTATAATAATTTCAGTGCGTCCGACGGGTGGCTGCAAAAGTGGCGCAAGAGACATAGTGTGAGTTTCAAATGCATATCTGGCGAAGCTGCTGCAGTAGATCAAGCTGATGTGTCACAATTTTTGGAGAAACTTCCGTCCATGTTGCTTGGCTACAAACCAGAAGATGTGTACAACGCAGATGAGAGTGGACTTTTTTTCGCGCATTGCCCGACAAAACTCTATCCTTTAAAGGAGAAACATGTGTGGGTGGAAAGTTGTCTAAAGACTCACCATTTTATTCTGTGCAAATATGGCCGGTGAAAAATGCGATTTGATTGTGATCGGGAAAGCGGCTCGTCCCCGTGCTTTAAAAAACGTTGCTATTAAGGATCTACCAGCGACTTGGAAATCCAACAAAAAGGCATGGATGACCCGAGAAATCATGTCTGAGTGGTTAGTCGAATTCGACCGGAAAATGAGAATCCAAAAAAGGCAAGTTCTTTTATTTTTAGACAATGCATGCTCTCATCCTCGTGATATGAAAATGAAAAATGTGAAAATTATATTTTTACCGCCAAACACAACTTCTGTTTGTCAGCCCATGGATCAAGGTGTCATACAGAACTTTAAATTTTATTATCGGCACTTGATTTTAAAACATATTTTAACAAAAATTGACGATGGTCAAAGCTTATCTGAGCTTATAAAGTCTATCAATGTGTTAGAAGCTTTGTATTTTATAAAAACAGCATGGAATAAAGTAAATTCCTCTACAATTAAAAACTGTTTTGGCAAAGCTGGATTCAGAAAAAGTGAATGTAGCTCAGAATTTGCTGAGCAAAATTATTGCGATGCTAAAGACGATCTGCCCTTAGCGACACTTGCTCAGTTACTGCGACATGCCAAACATTTAGGAGTAGCAGATCCCCAGAAAGTAGATGATTTCCTGGCCATAGACAATAACATAACAACAGAAGAAAATGCCATTGGCAACTTTTCGAATTTGGATGTAGAAAGCCCAGGCCAACTTGAATATGGTAGTCCAAACGACTCAGAAGAAGAAGTGGAACTGGTGGACTCACTAAGCGGTTCAAAAACGATAAATTCATATGGGGAAGCTCTAAATCATATTTCTATATTGAAAAAATTTGCTAAAGATGATTTCACTGTATTTCAACATTTGAAAAATTTAGAAAGTTATTACGAAAATTGTCTCCTTCAGCAAAAGATGGTGAAATTTCGTCAGACAAACATTTTAAACTTTTTTCAACAAGCTAAAGAATAATGTTTTTTTTAAATTCTCGTACCATGTATTGAAGCATTTATGTTTTTGTATGCGTATATGTACATATATTATATAGATATATAGCATAAATACATACTTTAAAAATGTGGCGAGTTTCTGTTTCATTTTTCTCATGATTATAATACCTCATTTCCTCATGATTATATACCCCGTTATTTATACTCTATACTTACATACTCTCTTTTAAACGGACACCTCCCATAAGCGGACAAAAGTTAGGGAACCGTAAGTGTCCGCTTATGGGAGCTTTCACTGTATTTTGTTGATTTTATTTAGGATATTTTTTGGCTGTTGATGAGTGTTATCTGTACGTCCAAAAGCTATTCATAATACGTTACACCTAGGGTAAACCGCAATGTTATGGGTTAAACCTCACCGGGATCAAGTTTCCACTATCCAAACGTTCCTGATTTAGCGTTGAAACAAGCTAAGAAACAATCTATTAAACAAACAGATATCACAAAACGCGCACAGACTAGTCCCCTTACCTGCCTATACTGTCCGAAGTGACGCTGCTGCACTCGCTGCCATCGTCGCTGAATTTCTGTTGTACTGCTCCCGGCCCCTGGGGCCCGCCCCCTGCCGCTGCGGCTACCGCCGCCGCCGCCATCATGCTCGCCTGGCTTGCCGCGGCGGGAAGAGTCGCTGAGCCGCCGTGATGTCTTCTGTCAAACGAATCGATATAAAACAATGGAATTTAACTGGGCTGCGCCAGCAAAATGTCAAGTTTGTGTGTCGACCCAAGTGCTTTTTCGTTCGGTTGTAGTATTTAATAGATTTGACTCCAACCTATATAATGTCAAAAAAAACGACAAAGTGTCAACTTGCTGACCAGATAGTTCCTATACTACAACTATTTAAAACTGTAATGACTCATACGCGTGATCTACACGTGATCAAAGCTCGATCCCGGCTTCCTTCCAGTACAGCCGTATAGCGTACGACATATGTCGTTTCTGTGGCTTTGCGGTGGTCAACAGCACAGACAGAGATGGAAATAATGGCTGATTGTTCTCCGCCGGTAGAATCAATGAAATCAAAGACGCGCCTCGACCGGCAGACTCATAGGCGTCGGCAACGCATTGGAACGTGTTTCGTTGAGCGATCGCATATCGCATAATTTGAAGGGACGAAAGGCCGTTAAATTGGATGACGATAGCAAAATGGCGTTAAGGCGAACCGTACATTCATTCTTCTTTAGGAATGAGATACCAACCCTCAAGGCTGTACATGCAGCGATCAAGGAAAATGAAATTATACCCCAAATGAGCGTCGAGGTAATGAGGAAATCCCTGCACGAAATTAATTTTCGTTACGAAACGCGTAATCGGAAGTCGGTATTGATAGAGAGACCTGAAATAGTCGCCTGGCGTCGAAAATACCTACGCGAAATGATTGAATATAGGCGACAAAGCAGAAAAATCTATTATTTGGACGAGACATGGGTAAATGCAGGTCACACAGTTAAAAAAACCTGGATAGACAAAAACGTAGTGAGTAACCGACAAGCAAGCATTGAAGGTTTGTCAACAGGTCTTCGTGGACCGTCAGGTAAAGGTTAAAGATTGATCGTAACTCATATTGGTAGCGATAGCGGCTTTTTAGAAGAGTGTGACTTGATTTTCGTCTCTAAGAAAGGAGGTGATTACCATGACGAAATGAATGCCAGCTGCTTCGAGAGCTGGTTTCAAGGGGTGCTTCAGCGAGTTGAGCCCAACTCTGTGATCGTCATGGATAATGCTTCCTACCATAGTCGTCGAGCCGAACGTGTACCGACTACGGGATCTCGAAAAAGTGACATGCAGCAACGGTTGCGCGAAAAAGGAATCCCGTTTGACGATTCATGTGTGAAAGCGGAATTGTACGAAAAAATTAAACAGCACAAACCCGCGAACATTAGTTACGTGACTGATGAGATGGCCCGTCAATGTGGTGTCACTGTGCTGCGGTTACCGCCCTACCACTGTGAACTGAACCCAATAGAGCTCATCTGGGCTCAAGTGAAGGGTTATATTGCGCGCCATAACACAACCTTCAAATTACCAGACGTTAAGGTTTTACTTGAGACTTCCATACAGCTAGTAACGCCCGAAGCTTAGCAGAATGCTATCCGTCATGTTGTGATGGAAGAAACAAAAATGTGGCAGCTTGACCACCACATCGACACCATCATAGAGCAAGTTATAGTCAATTTCAACGAGGAAAGCGATAGCGACAGTTTATTACTGTCAGATGTAAGTGGAAGCGACGATGAATAAAGGTAATTCCCAAATTTTTGACTTGCAATATGTTTCAAACCACTCTTTATTAAGCATGTGACAAATCTAGTTCACCCATGTTAAACATTCATACCCCGCCTATGAACAGCCGACTACTGGTAGTTAAGTGATGTTCACGTGAACATCGATGAGTCATTACAGTTTTAGATAGTTATAGTATAGTGTGCAAATAGTTCATCCGCTGTGAGCGTCACTAAAGCCGTCATCTGTGGAGGAATGAGTCAACGCACGCTCGACGACCAGCTGCAAGTCAGCATGCTTTGTTGGTTGTAGAATGCCGAGATAATCTGTAGAGTATATGTCGCATCTGGATGATTGTAGGTATTGCATGTGTATAAAATCAGTGATATTTGATATGTGAGATGCGACATCGACAACTTTTATTAATGGTCCAGAAGATGGCTGCTGCCCCTGAACTTGTTCTATACGTTGGAAAGAGCAATCCCGATATCAATTACATGATCGGGAATCAGGAAATCCCGTCTGTCTTCAGCCACATATATACTAAGTGACATATAAATCCGAACACCCAGTTTAAATGGTTTTATTTTAATAAAAGTTGGTGAATGTATTTATCTTACTGTAAATAACAAGTGATAAAATGTTCAGCCTTATCAGTTGGACATTCCGGTTTTTATACTGCTTTTTTTTAATTCACTAACGCTCTAAAAATGAATATTTCAGTCGCAGTAAAGAATCAACGTTGTCGGTTTTTATACTGCTTTTTTTTAATTCACTAACGCTCTAAAAATGAATATTTCAGTCGCAGTAAAGAATCAACGTTGTCGGACTTTGGTTCTTGACATCCCTTACGATCGGTTACGATGCCTAGAGTACGGAGACCTGTACGATTTCGTCAACTTAGTGAGTTTGATAGGGGCCGTATAGTGGGACTTCGGGAAGCTGGACTTTCTTTTCGGGCAATCGCAGTTAGAGTGCAAAGAAGTGTAGACACTGTGGTTAGGTGTTGTCAGGCATGGCTTCGAGAAGGCCGTACGCAAAGAGCAAGGGGCACTGGACGCCGCCGTAGAACAACAGACCGTGAAGATCGCCGCCTAAGATTATTGGCCTTAAAGGACCGTTTCTCCACTACCAGGTCCATTGCAAATGAATGGTTTGCAGAACACGGAAGACCTATTGGCATGCGAAGTGTTTACCGACGAATGAGAAGTTTTGGCTTGTTTTTATACCGGCTACACTGGGTCCTCCCTTTAACTCGAGAACACCGACGTAATCGCCTTGAGTGGTGCAGACAACGGTCACTCTGGGATCAGGAATGGAACAGTATTGTCTTTAGTGACGAGTCTCGATTTTGTTTAGGCATGCACGATGGTCGTGCCAGGGTTAGAAGGCGACGTGGTGAAAGGAGGAATCCACAGTTTTTTGTTTAAAAACATGTTCATCATACTGTTGGAGTTATGGTTTGGGGTGCTATAGCTTATGGTTCCAGGTCACCTTTAATCTTCATCGGAGGTAACATGAACGCGCAGCGTTATATCCACGAAGTTCTAGAACCCCATCTTTTACCCTATCTTGACACCCTGGCAGATCCAACTTTCCAACAAGATAATGCCCGACCACATGTTGCAAGAGTCACAATAGACTTTTTTCAACATAATGATGTCACATTGTTACCATAGCCACCAAGATCTCCCGACTTATCCCCAATTGAGCACGTGTGGGATATGATGGGTAGGAGATTGCTCAATTTGCAACGTCCTCCTCAGACTCTAGAAGCACTTCGAGAGGAGTTGGTGGTTGACTGGAATGAGATACCACAGGAGGACATTGACCACCTGATCAGAAGCATGCCTAGGCGCGTTGGAGAATGCGTAGCACATCAGAGTGCAACCACACATTATTAAAGGTCAAAGGGCTTTAAAGCAGTGCAATCATTTTGAAATTTTTATTATTTACTTATTATGCTTCATTAAGTACTTATACAAAATTTTATTAAAATAAAACCATTTAAACTGGGTGTTCGGATTTATATGTCACTTAGTATACATATTGGCTCAGCTTGGGGAGAGCCATGCACATGAACAACTTTATCATAGTTCATTTTTATAAAAAAAAATACTTCACTTAATCTCGTGGGGTTTGAGCACAAAAAAGTTCATAAACTACAATATGTACAGGAAGAGGTAAAATAGTGAGAAAAGTGAATGTTTTCAATGAAAAATGAGATGGATCGAAAAAAGTGAGTCGCCAGCATCCCTGGCCTGTGTTTAAATCAAGGTTGGAAAAAACATGTTTTTAAAAATAATCAAAAAACATGTGTTTTGTGTTTAAACATTTTTTTAAACATTCAAATTTAGCAGAAAAAAAATATGTTTAAAACACTGTTAATACATGTTTAAAACAGTAAAAAAAATTAAAAAACTATTGCATATATAATCTAGCAACGTTAATGAAGCTCCTTGAAAGTGTTATTATTATTTTTGGTCCAGCTCTCACGTCGGAAAAGTATAGTGTGGAAATATTTTAAAGAGACTAATGCCAAAGCTGGCTCGAAAATGAATAAAAGAGCAAAATGTTTAACCTGTAATATGGATATAGTACTACTGGTGGCTAGCATGCGCAAGCATATTAAAAATTGTAAACAACTTAAACAAGTTTGTTATAAAAACAAAATATTCATATATCAGATAGTTCTGATACCGACAATGATGATGTTTCTACCGAACCTATTTCCTCAAATTTAAGTAGCTTGGAGAATTGTGAAAAAGGTACATTTTTTTACTTGGGGTTCCGTAAAAAGTAGTGAAAACAAAAAATTTATTCTATGTACGTTTTCCATGATTTTATATTTTAAAAATATGGATTAAATAGTTTTTTGATTTCTTGTTAAATAAGATGGGTTGTATACTTTTATAGAAATTTGTTAAGTAACTTATTTAATGTTATTGTACAAGTAAATATATAGTCATAATTATTATATGATTATTCTGCTGGGGCTGTCCAAAACGGACGCAGGAAAGTAAACGCATATTAAAACAAGAAAGATTGATATTCAAATCAAGTTGGCTACTTTATTTTGAACGTTCATTTATACCATTTATGTATGAAAAATAATATCGCTCAAATGTTCACCACGACTGGATTTACAGACGTCCACGCGATGGTCGAAATTTTCAATGACATTTTGCAACATGGTCGGTTCTATGGCATTATTTATATTATGTTGTTTTTGAGTTCTTGGAGGGTGGCTGGTTTGTTGACGTAGACTTTGCTTTTCAAATATCCCCATAAAAAGAAGTCCACGATCTTGGTGGCCATGGCACATTTCCTCTGCGCGAAATCACGCGATCACCGAAGAAGGACTGCAATCGATGGATATTGACGATGGTTGTGTGGCATGTTGCACCGTCTTGTTGGAAATAAACATCGTCCATATCCATTCCTTCAAGTTGCGGCAAAAAATAGTCCTCTATCATCACGTGATATCGCTCAGAATTGACGGTAATGGGGTCCCAAGCCGCATTTTCGAAAAAGTAAGGTCCGATGATGCCTTTTGACCACAATGCACACCACACAGTCACTTTTTGAGGATGCATCGGCTGCTCTTGATACTCACGGGGATTTTCGTCCGCCCAGATGCGGCAGTTTTGCTTGTTTACCGTCCCATTCAAAGTGAAATGCGCTTCGTCGCTGAACATGATTTTTGATGAAAAATTGGCATCAATTTGGCGGTGTTCAAGGAGCCAATCTGAGAACGTTCGGCGCGAAAAATGGTCGGCCCGACGCAGCTCTTGCGTCAATTGGATCTTGCAGGCGTGTACATTCAAATCCTTGTGGAGAATGCGGAGCAAACTGGTTCTCGTAATGCCCAACTCTTGGGATCGACGCGTTGTTGATTGTTTCGGATCGTCTCTCACACTCTCCTTCACAACAGCAATATTTTCCGGTGTGCGAACGCTCCTTCGCCGGCCAGAGCCTGGCAGATTTGCCACAGAACCTGTTGCCTCGAATTTACGCACCAGACGACCGATGGTTGTTTCGTTTGGGCGGTTGTTGCGACCGAAATGTTCACGAAGCGCGCGAAACGTGTTTTTTATTTTTGCACCATTTTTGTAGTGCTCTTGAATAACTTTAATGCGGTCTTCAATCGAATACGACTCCATAGCGATCAATGGTAAACATTCACCTAACAAAATGACATGTCGGTGACAGAAAACAAAGATGGCGTCTATGTCAAATTGACGTTTACTTTCCTGCGTCCCTATTGGACAACCCTATAGTATTAAGTTCACTTGTTCGTTAAGAAAAAGATTTTTTTCCACTAGTATTAGTTACTTAGTTTCATGTTTGATTAATTAATAAAGAATAAAGTATATTTTTCAGTACATATGTGTTTTAATCTATGGCCCTTTTAGTTTCGTTTTGCAAAATAAAATCAATTTTAATCATACTCGAAAAAATATAAAAAAAACTTTAATAATTCACAAACGACAAAAAACAGTGTTTAAAACAAATTAGTTTAAAACATTTCATGAAAACATAACAACCCTGGTTTAAATTATACGTTACCTGTGCGGTCGTCCCTCCCTGTGTCCCGCCGAGCTCGTCTGATGCTTGTCGCCCTGATCGCTGCCTCCGGCGCTTCCGCTGCCGGCCGCCGTCCCCGAAGCGCCGCCTCCTGGCGCACCGCCGGGCGTTCCTCCAGGTCCGGTCGGCCCTACGTACCACGCTGCACGCGTTAACAAGGACAAACGGTGTACGTTAGGGTGTTAGAGGTGCGTTATAGCGTTGCGTTGCCGGCATGCGTGGTTAGATTGTTTTCAGAGAGGTCGGTGAGGTACTCCAATCATACAAGGACGTTCAGCGGTAAATTTTATGATGATACTGAACGGTGTTCGAATTCAGAAGCGTTTAAGGTAAAATTAAGAAGGCGCTTTATGAAAACAAACAAAAATGGATACCTTGTTTCTTGGCATGTTTATGGGAACTTCTTTGCTATTTTCCGTAAAAATAAAAAATAGAATTCTTGAATGATTGGAATATAAAAATATATCCCAATGCAATGGAAAATAAATTTGGATAAAATACTGAAAGAAAATGAAAAAATGGCACCGTGATATTTTCCATTTATTGGGATATTTGTGAGGGAGAAAAAAGCATACCATAGAACTGCCTTAAACTATATACAAAATATTTACAAATATGTTCTTTATACAGCTTCTTCTGGTAAAAATGAAGTTCCTCGTCTGCCCGATCTGCTAAAGTCAAACGAGTAATGGAGTGGCAAAAGATGGATCAAATTAAACATCGATTCAAAACAAAGCAATCTCACTAGTTGGAAGAGAAAAAGCTCTAAGATACGGGGACTTGTTCTGTTTGGTATAATTGAGCATAATTTCGTAATAAGCGATTTCTCGGTCAGTGTTAAGCGAAATTAAAACTATCCCAAGTCGAAGTAACGAAAATTGGTCATTTGGCTAGGTTCACACTATTTTAAAAGCTGTAATTATCAAGGGGCTTAAAATAATGCGATAAGGAGTATTATATGAAATAAATTATATATATATATATATATATATATATACAGAGTGTTTCAGTTTATTGTTGCATAACTTTAAGATTCGATAGATCTTTTAAAATTAATGCATAAAGTCTATATAAACATGGGTCGAAAAATGCGTGGCTTCCGAAATACAGGGTGTTTAAATTTACTTTCTAAAATAAGTTTTTTTAAAATATTTCGAACAATATTTGATGTATAACAGTGAAAATTGGTATACAACGGTTTTTTGGTACGACAAAACGAACCATGGGCGTAGTTTTACTGTAGCCGCTAGAGGGCGCTCTCTACTGTACCTGTAGTGTATTAAAATGACAGAAAAAAATTTCTTAGTGCAATTTTTTGCTTTTCGAATAAAAAAACTGATTCTTCGCACTTTTCAACATAAAAAAGCTCTCTTGTGAATTTTCGTTATAGTTAGCCGTTTTTGAGATATTTCGATTTTTAAGGTTTGATGCATTTTTAATTATTTATGATAAAATAACGTTAAAAAGTCAGTATCTCGATAATTTTTAGAAGTCGGCTGTGCCTGCAAATATTTTTGAAATTGAAAGCAGAATAAGGTTGAACGTCAATTAGTTGACAGTTAGGTTTGTTGTCTGTTGAAACCTGAAACGTTTTTTTGCAATTGTGAATGCACGAAATTTTGTTTCTTTTACCTGTTATTTTTTGTAAGTTTTATAAAAATGCCATTTTATATAGACTTGATGCATTAATTTTAAAAGTTCTATCGAATCTTAAAGTTATGCAACAATAAACTGAAACACCCTGTATTTACAGGGTGGTCTACAAAAAACTCGCTCCTAGGACTCTCCTAGTACATTTTGGGAAATACGCTCCTCAGGCAAGCCAATTTTGATTTCTAAGGGACACGTCTTTTCATCTATAGCCGCACAATACAGGGTGATCCAAAAATAAGATATTGCACTTTGGATTTTTAACTGGAAATCCTTTTTTAATTTTTAGATTCTCCGTGAAGTTTTTAGTAACTCTTGTATAATAAAGTGTATACCTGTCTTCAATCTTTGTGAAACTATTTGAGTTTATAATAAAATTCTGGAAATTGTGATAATAAGTGATCATATCGTGAAAATAATAATGAATATAGCTCCCATAGTAACAAGACTTTAAAATTAAGAACAAGTCTCCCAGTATTAAAAAAACAAAAAACAACTTACAGTTTTCACGCACATTAAAGTAAAAACTGAAGCTGTAAGTGCTGAAAGAGGAGTCCATTTACCTCCATACAATAACCTATTCCTCACATTTTCAAGCATAACTTGAGATATTTGTCTACATTCAGCCGTAATCCGCTGACGGAGATCTTGATTGGAATATGGCTTCGTACTAAAAACTTTACTTTTCAAATAATAATAATAATAATAATAATATTTATTCACTCAATGTACAAAGATAACAAACAATATGAGTAAATAAATGTAAAATCAAAACAGGCCCAATAGAAGGCATCGCCTGTACATGGACCAATAATTTAAGTTGAAACTGTAGAATGCAAATGACAAAAAAGGACAAAAATTAGCTACAGTAGATTATGTATTTAGTTGATGTTCGTATTTATGAGTTTATGAATTTCAGTCCTAGATATAGAATGTAGCCACTTTTTTAAATTTCTTTTGAAACAATTTCCGAAACGTAAATCTTTTAAGTCTTTAGGTATAATTTCATAAAATTTAGGCGCTAAATAGAGATATGATCGCTGCATTATAGATTGATGCGATTGAGGAACTACTGTGCCACGAATTTTGTACCTGGTATAATGACTATGTTTAATTTTTTGGTCGGTGTTTACAAATTTATGGTAGTGAGTGATACTGTGTAAGAAATAAAGCTGTCTTATATCATACATTCGAACATCTGCATATAATTTTTCAGTGGGATAAAGTTTCGGTTTTTTAAATATCATTTTTAGAATACTTTTTTGAAAAACATCTAAATTATAGATATGTGAAGAACACGCAGCTCCCCATGTTAATATACCATATGTGAGATGAGGCTCAATCAGTGCATGGTATAATGTTCGAAGATATTTTTCTGTCAATATATTCTCAAGGTATTTAATTTTGTAGGATACAAATCTAACTTTCTTTAAAATATAATTGACATGGATGTCCCATCGTAAGTGAGGATCCAAGACCACTCCAAGGTATTTTATGTTGGGCACTCTATTAATTTGCATTTTTTGATCATTAATATTGAAGGAGAAATTTGTGTAATTTGGCAGATGTCTAGCATATGATCCAAATGGTAAAAAATGTGTTTTAGAGTAGTTAATGCTTAATTTTCTACTGTTAAACCACCGAATAATTTTGATAAAATCATTTTCAATTACATTTTTCAGATCAGACCAGTCAGTGCCTTCATATAATATTGCAGTCATCTGCAAAACTAGTTATTTTGCCAACACAATTAATTTGGAAAATATCATTTAAATATATATTGAATAACAGCGGACCTAAGACAGTTCCTTGTGGGACACCACACTTAATATACATTTCTTTACTAAATGATCCTGATATCTGCACAGATTGTGGGCGATTTGACAAATAACTTTCGATCAGTGAGTACGCGTTTCCTCTGAAACCAATTCTCTCCAATGCTTCTAATAATAATTTGTGATTAACTGTGTCGAAAGCTTTCTTTAAATCAACAAAAATGCAGATTGAAGGGATTCTGTTATCAATATTTTGATGTATTTGATTTACAATTTTAGTTATTGCGTCCGATGTAGCCTTCCCTTCTGTAAATCCATATTGATTTTCACTTAAAATTTTGAAGAAAGTAATCTAAAGGACTAACGTCATTTAAAAAATATGATCATATATCGAATGCCATTAATGATGAAAATTGATAAAATGTATAAGTACCAGCTCCTAAATCTGACTCATAAGGTTCTTTATTCGAAAACACCGCCATATTTAGTAAACAAATTCATACGTAGACGGAATAGGCATCGTATTAATATTAGATATAGATAGACTTTTTCAATTCCACGCCACATCACGTCTCTATTTCAGAATACATACATTTACAATGCGATCAAATCATATAATTTAAAAGAAACCAATCCATTATCCAAATTCAAGAAAAAAGTGAAAGAAGTTCTTCTTGATCGGCAGCGAAATCGGTTGTAACCCATAAGTGGCCTCATATTTTTCTTATGTCTTTACTTAGATCATACTTTATTCTGTCTTTATTGTATACGGGTGGCTATTAATTTTCAACAAATTCTTTTTTTTTACATCTCGTATTGTTAAGGGGGTTAGATGGTAGAATAGATATATAATCTAAATCTCGCCTCCTGTAAGAATATTACAAATAAAAGACGTTAATTATTATTATTATTTTCTATTATTTCGGTAATTTGTGGCTCTATTGTAACACATTTTCTAACTTGTCAAGATTTCAGGAATAAAGAAAGGTCCTACAATATGAGTCACTCCAATATCGACAATCATGTCTATTTACACCACCACGTAAATAGAACGTACACTCATCCAAGAAATATTAAATAACGTTCACTAATCTCATGAGCAAGTTTTATCTTGTACGGGTGACATTTATTGTCTTGCAAAATTCTTTGTACTGTTGAGCGTGTGAATCCTGAAGAAGCAACCGATCCACGAATGATTTGCGTGTTATCAAGTGCTACGTGTCCCAAAACTGCCGTTTCTGCGGCTTCATTTTTAACTGGTCGATTTTGTCGATCGCGATTACGGCGAATGTTAGACACAGATCCAGTTTCCTCAGATTTCCATCTAAAAAACTAAAGTGTAACGCAATATCTCATTTTTGGATCACCCTGTATTGTACGGCTACAGATGAAAAGACGTCCCCTAAAAATCAAAATTGACGTGTCCGAGCATTTTTCCCAAAATATACCAGGGTGGTCACAAATGGGGCGAGCGCCCTTTTCGTTGGGCCACCCTGTATATATATATTCAGTTACTTGAGACGTGGTCATTGTCGTCTAGACCAGTTAGGTGAAAAATTAAAGCTTCCGCCTTTTGTTGGGTACTTCGACAAAATTTAAGCAAAGAGGACTCTTTATACTTTTTTTAATTCTCTCTAGCTTTCTATGGACTTTGCCATCATCATCAGGAGCTGCAATTACAATGATAACAGTAGCAACAAAAGTGTAAAATGAATTTAAATTGACTCAACTTACAGTAGTATGTGAGGATGTTGCTAATTGTTGTTTACGTATAGGATGAGGGAAACGTCCAGTAACATGGTGGGAGCTGGATAGATTGTACAATGGTCAAAATTATATAAAATATGACAAGAACAAGTTAGAGAGAATTAAAAAAAGTATAAAGAGTCCTCTTTGCTTAAATTTTGTCGAAGTACCCAACAAAAGGCGGAAGCTTTATTTTTTCACCTAATATATTCAGTTATTTATCCACTCCACGCTGGATGCAAAATGCAAGTCTAGTTATTTGAAGGGTTTTAGCGAAAAAGGTAGTCATGCAAAAGCAAAACCTCTTACTTGACGAAATATAGTTACGTATAATCGGTATCTGAAAAGATACGAATCCACCACCTAGAAATTTCATATCGTATTTACATCCCTTTCAAAAGTCTAAAGAATTAATAATAAAAAGTAGAAAATGGAAGCTCCAAATAACAATATTAGAGAAAGAAGTAATTCAACGTTACTTGATTTGCTTCTACGAGGTGTGTACAGTAAGTAACGAGACTGGAAACGCGATACCGGAGGCGACGGGCTTGGAGAGGAGACAGAGAAACCTGTCGTCCGCCTTCAGTACAAGTTTGAACCCAGTCGAGTCATTTGGTTGTCCGTAGCGATTTTTTTTTGTGAAACAAGTTTTTTCTATTGTGTAAACGATTATTATTATTATTATTATGATAATTGAGATGAGCAGAGTACACAGTACTATAAGCTCATGCAGTAAATATAGTGTACGGATACGTAACACAAATACATCAAATAGAAAAAAAAAATACAGTTCATAGCTATAAAGTTTGTACACTCCTCCAGCTATCATACTGCACTTTGAAGCTATTGAGTGACGAGTGACATCAATTTCGAGCAACGGTGTACTATCAGGTTTCACCTTGAGTGGTGCAGACAACGGTCACTCTGGGATCAGGAATGGAACAGTATTGTCTTTAGTGACGAGTCTCGATTTTGTTTAGGCATGCACGATGGTCGTGCCAGGGTTAGAAGGCGCCGTGGTGAAAGGAGGAATCCACAGTTTTTTGTTGAAAGACATGTTCATCGCACTGTTGGAGTTATGGTTTGGGGTGGTATAGCTTATGGTTCCAGGTCACCTTTAATCTTCATCAGAGGTAACATGAACGCGCAGCGTTAGATCCACGAAGTTCTAGAACCCCATCTTGACACCCTGGCAGATCCAACTTTCCAACAAGATAATGCCCGACTACATGTTGCAAGAGTCACAATAGACTTCTTTCTACATAATGATGTCGCATTGTTACCATGGCCACCAAGATCTCCCGACTTATCCCCAATTGAGCACGTGTGGCATATGATGGGTAGGAGATTGCTCAATTTGCAACGTCCTCCTCAGACTCTAGAAGCACTTCGAGAGGTGTTGGTGGTCGCCTGGAATGAGATACCACAGGAGGACGTTGACCACCTGATCAGAAGCATGCCTAGGCGCGTTGGAGAATGCGTAGCACATCAGGGTGCATCCACACATTATCAAAGGTCAAAGGGCTTTAAATTTTATTAAAATAAAACCATTTAAACTGGGTGTTCGGATTTATATGTCACTTAGTATATTTTGACCAGTGAGAAAAATCTGCCCAAAAATGATTCAAACAAAAAAACTTTCGCAAAACCAAAAGGACATCAGGTGGATACAATTGGAAATGACCCCCATTTTCTGGAACGTGTCATTACTGGTGACGAGTCTTGAGTGTTTAATAAAATTATTTTAATAATGATTATTTTTAGCTAAATATAATTTTTTAGAATAGTTTTTAAAGAGTACGTCCCAGACACAAAGCGCCAGATCATGGAGTGGTCCAAAAAAGCGATAAAGACGAAGTCGAAGTTTAAAAGCAAGCTGATTAAAGCTGATAAAAGTTTTACGATACGACTTAACAAACGGACGCAGGAGGCTGCATGTTACCGCATGTTGAGACATGTCCATGAGTGCATAGTAGCCGCCAGCACGTCTGTTGATTTAGTTATATTGACAGCGGACTATGGTGTCGTGGTCAAAGGCAGTTTTACGCTATAACTTTACGCGTGGTTTGAGCATAGACCAGTGCTTAGAAGAAATGACGCTTACATGAAAGAATGATTGTCCTCATCGTACGACTATATTCACGTGGTACAGAGGATTCCAAAGGGGCTTTGGAGGACGCTGGGAGGGAAGGAAGGCCGCGAAGACCGGAGAGTGACATCCCAACAGATAGAGGAGACATTACACCTTCATGCACCAGCAATTCTTTCAAATCTGCATTACCAATTACGCGTAAGGAAACTTTGTTCTCTCTGGGAAAGCAGAAGACTCGTCGTAAGATGCTGAAAATGTTTGATAAGGAGCAATCTCGGTATGTGAACAGCATCGTGGCTCTATTATTACGATGTGCCGACCAAGGCTCAAAACAAAGTTCGGGTCTGCGATGATGAGGACACACCCGTGCTATCGGAAAATCCCGATCTGTTAAGAAAAAAATGAAAGCTGTATTTTTCGAATCGAACGGGATTGTGGAGCGTGTCGTTTTGGACACACAGAAGACAGTCCCAGCTAAGCAGTACACGGAACAGTGTCTACCTAAAGTCATAGAGTCTACGAGAAACCTGCGGCCAATGTCAAGAATAGACACTTGGTAGCTCCACAATGACAACGCTCCAGCTCGCAGGGCCAAAGCTTGCACGACTATTTGACCACTACTGGAATGAAACTTATCGAGCACCCTCCTTACAGTCGAGATCTTGTATCGAATGTGGTGTAAATTACTTTGGACGAGATCAATAAATTGCACAACTTTTATAGTACCCTTTGAATCTTGTGTATACAGGGTGTCCCAGAAGTCGACGTCAAGCCGAAACTGGGTGATAGGCAAAGTCATAACAGCTATCAGAAAAATATTTAAAAAAAAATTATGTATGTGTTTTGAAAATTATAGGTCTTTGAAAAAAATATAGAAATTTCACACCCTACGGCAGTCTGTCAACTCCTGTTACTACAAATATTAACTTTTTTTGGATTTTATTTTTACAATGTAATGATGAATAATGCATTTTCAAACTGGTGTCTCAACCTTACTGCCAACTTTTCTCGTTCAGGAAAAATTGACACTTATTTCCCAACCAAGTATTCCAAAGTAAAACTTTGCTCAACTTTAACTAGCTGTACTGGAAAAAAATGTACTACGAGAGTTTGGCAAGTAACCTTAAAAGTTGCCGCATTTAATAAGGATTCCAAAATGGTATAACACTTAGAAGATTACTCGTTAACTTATGCACAATTTTTATTTGAAGAAAAACTGATGAAAATGTTTCAAAATTTCCTAATTAAACAGCGATTATGAAAACGCACAAGGACCCTTAAGGATAACTGTTTGCACAACAGTGGGCGTCAAAATGCTGCTGATGATGATTTACCTTTACAGCAAATGCTCAAACTGTTTTCTTTCAGCCGCAATACACGCTCGACATCTTAAAAAAGATCGGGTTATTAAACGAGCGAATCCACGGTTATTAACAAACTCAGCTGCTTCCAATAGTCTTTGCCGTAGCTCAGCTACATTTTGAATCTACTTGAAATACACCTTTTCTTTTACAGTTCCCCAGTAAAAAAATCTAAAGGATTCAAATCAGGTGATCGGGCTGGCCACGGTATTATCCATCTGCTTGGAAAGTTTTGATCGAGATACTCTCTCACTGAGAGTGCATAGTGCGCTGGGCAGCCATCATGCTGAAACCACATGTCCCTGTAAATACTCAGTGGCACGTCCAGCAATAAATTTTGTACATGATTTTTCAAAAAACCTAAATAAACCTCAGCAGTCAAAGTCTCTGGGAACTCAAACGGACCGATTATTTTACCATTTAAAATTCCTGACCAATGGTTTATCTTGAAGCGATATTGAGATTTATCTTCTCTCATCAAATGTGGGTTTGCTACGTGCCACTCGTGTAAGTTATGCAGGTTCATGTACCCATCTTTCTTAAATGTGGTCTCATCTGACCATAAAATTTTTTCAAAGAACCGTGGATCTTCCCTGTATTTCTAACGTTGTGCGACAAAAAGCAACTCGGGGCTCATAAACCCGGGGCAGAAGAGCTTGAACACGCTGTACGTGGTAAGGATGGAGCACGTTTTTTTGCAAGATTCTATCGGCTGTACTTTTGGGCACAACTGTTTTTAGTTCTATTGCACGCACTGAAGTACTCGGGTCTTCTTCGACAGCTCCTAGCACCACGTCTTCGTAAGGAAGGAAAGATCTTCCCTCACCGTGTGATTGGTTTGGTAGTTGGCCCTCTGAGAACAGTAAGTGGTGCACATTTGTGAACACTCGATGATCTGAATCACGAGCTGCATTCGGGTACCTCTCACAGTAAAGTCTCGCTGCAGCGCTAGCGTTGGATCTGCATTCCCCATAAATGAGGTGCATGTTAGCATATTCTTGTACGGTGTACACGGACATAGCGGCACTGCACAATCACACTATCAAAGATAGTCTAAGGAAAGCAAATGTTGTTTTGAAGAGCAATTAAACAGTCCAAATCCAAATCACAAGCGATCAACAGTCCAGTTCACGAATCCAAAATTAGTAACAGTACGAAATCAACAAGCACGAACATGTAAAGATGCGCAGCAAACGAAGGATCAAAGTGTGCAATAGCAAGTAAGTGATGTGCTTCATCCATACCACATACAGCGTGTTCAACCTCTCCTGCACCGGGATTATGAGCCCCGAGTTGCTTTTTGTCGCACAATGTTAGAAAGACACAGGAAAAATCCACAGTTCTTTGAAAAAATTTTATGGTCGGATGAGACCACATTTAAGAAAGATGGGTACATGAACCTGCATAACTTACACGAGTGGCACGTATCAAACCCACATTTGATGAGAGAAGATAAATCTCAATATCGCTTCAAGATAAACCATTGGACAGGAATTTTAAATGGTAAAATAATCAGTCCGTTTGAGTTCCCAGAGACTTTGACTGCTGAAGTTTATTTGGATTTTTTGAAAAATCATTTACAAAATTTATTGGTGGACGTGCCACTGAGTATTTACAGGGACATGTGGTTTCAGCATGATGGCTGCCCAGCGCACTATGCACTCTCAGTGAGAGAGTATCTCGATCAAAACTTTCCAGGCAGATGGATAAGGCGGTCTGGTACAATACCGTGGCCAGCCCGATCACCTGATTTGAATCCTTTAGATTTTTTGGGAACTGTAAAAGAAAAAGTGTATTTCAAGCCGATTCAAAATGTAGCTGAGCTACGGCAAAGACTATTGGAAGAAGCAGCTGAGTTTGTTAATAACCGTGGATTCGCTCGTTTAATAACCCGATCTTTTTTAAGAAGATGTCGAGCGTGTATTGCGGCTGAAGGAAAACAGTTTGAGCATTTGCTGTAAAGGTAAATCATCATCAGCAGCATTTTCACGCCCACTGTTGTGCAAACAGTTATCCTTAAGGGTCCTTGTGCGTTTTCATAATCGCTGGTTAATTAGGAAATTTTGAAAAATTTTCATAGTTATACCATTTTGGAATCGTTATTAAATGCGCCAACTTTTAAGGTCACTTGCCAAACTCTCGTAGTACATTTTTTTCCAGTACAGCCAGTTAAAGTTGAGCAAAGTTTTACTTTGGAATACTTGGTTGGGAAATAAGTGGCAATTTTTCCTGAACGAGAAAAGTTGGCGGTAAGGTTGAGACACCAGTTTGAAGATGCATTATTCATCATTACATTGTAAAAATAAAATCAAAAAAAAGTTAACATTTGTAGTAACAGGAGTTGACAGACTGCCGTAGGGTGTGAAATTTCTATATCTTTTTCAAAGACCTATAATTTTCAAAACACATACATAAAATTTTTTTAAATATTATTCTGCTGGCTGCTATGACGTCGACTTCTGGGACACCCTGTATATGTCGATATACGCGGAATTGTCCACAAACAGTTTCTACCTCAAGACCAAACAGTCAATTACGAACTAGCCGTTGCATCAGATGTGTCAACGATCGGACTAATATGATAGTTATCAACATACGTGTAGATGTAATATACCTAGATTTTTAGAGATCGTTCGACCTTCTGTACAAGCTGGCACACCTTGGAATAACTGGAGATCTGTTAACGTGGATAAAACCCTGTCCTTAGTAACAGAGTTCACGGTGAGGGTAGGCGATTCACTGTCAACAAGTACGCGGGGACTTGATAATCACTTACAGAGATTTGCATGGTATCTTCGGCACTGAAATATCCTCACTTTTCCGTCTCAACACCGGCCACGACTATAAATTGAAATTGAAATTATCTCTATTATTTTTTTATGTTCAATTTCTTGTCTTTGCTCAACTCTATTAGTATAATAATAAGATAATGCTCCTTGTCAAACAGCACTGTCAATAAACGAGTTTTTTGCCAGTAAAAACAACTGACTTGACTCCTTGTGACTTTTTTCTCTTCGCAAAGTTAAAAAATCACCTCAAGCGAACTGATTTTGAGACAGTCGAAAACATTCAAACGGTGTGGCGTCAGAAGGAAGTAATATAAAATTGTAATTGAATATAGAAATAAGAAAAATCAGTCTCGATACTTAATTTACAGACCTCGTATTTCCGCGATTCTGAGGAGCTGCGAACAGTGCCGTTGAAGTAACGTAAGTATGAGTAGAAGCAGTACTTTATCATTTCAGCACCTAATGTCAAAGCGTAAATTAGGCAGATCGTTAATAGATTTCATGCATCACTAATAAATGCACCCTAGTAGGTTTAATGAGGACATTTATTTAAGATAAATATGCGTGAATCATGCAATACACTGATAATATTCTTTTCGAAAGGAATGTTCTGTCCAATTATTGACAATGATAAGATTAGAATAGAACACATACTGTGCAACCGATAATAGTATATTTGTAGAGCCTCGTATCCGATATTTAAGACGCAAATACGTAAACATGGATAGATAGGGAACACAAAGCCTCTTATACAGGGTGTCCTAATATTCCGTGGTCATAGAAGCACCACGTACGAGTATTTATAGACACAATATAAGTCGATTGGACATGATTTACCTCTAAGCAAAAGGTTTATCCGTTAGATGGCGTGAAAGTTTTAAAACACATTTTTTGGAACTGTTAGTGCGATTTGAATGAAATGTGGGCATGTGTTTCGCGCTAGACGTCCTAATATTTGACGAAAAACCCCAAAAAGGTTCAAGAAGGGTGAAAATTAGACCCACTCCTACATAAATTACAGCAGACGCTCGATAATGTAAACTAATTTAATCCAAGTGTGGTTCACATTATCGAAATGTTTACATTAGCGAACGTGATTTATATAATATTTGATTTATTAAAAGAAACGTTTAATACATACTATTTATAACAAAATAAACAAATATTCTAACAGCGATAAGTATTTTTTTAATTAGATGAAAAATAATTAACAATTTTTGTCTGCGTAAATTTGCGCTTAGCATTGTCTTCCAATGCCTGCGCCCGTAATTTACGAAGAACTAAAATATCCGTGTATGAAACTTCTTTTATTTCAGCCCAATCTAAAGCTTGGTTAAAAACTTGTATAGCTTGCGCGTCAGTCACTACACTTCTGACTTCAATGGTATCGTTCTCATCATCCTCACTGTCCATATCCTCCCCTTATCAGCATCATTCGTCTGCTTATCATCGTTCCATAAATTATCAGCAGGAGTACAAACAATGTTGGGATTCACTGTTTTCAATAAATCAACAACATCCAATGACACACTAATAACATTATAATTATTGGATCGCAAACGTTCTCTAATTACGCTTAAGGGGACATCGTCTTCTTCATCATCTTCATTATTGGTACAAAAGAGATTGTTCCAACATTTTTGAATAGTTAGCTGGTTAAGTTCATTCCAGGACATATGTAAATCTAAAACAGCTTCTCGTAATGTTACTTTTTTTAAAGCCTCAGATAAGTTTTCAGGATTCTTCGATAAGACAGACGAAAGTGGAAACTTCCTATAGTATAGTTTGGTGAGTCTTATTATATTCTGGTCCATCGGTTGAATTAACGGTGTTACGTTGGGCGGCATGTACATGACGAAAATTGACCCATCCCTGCTCTTCAGTTGTTGCTCGGAAGGATGACTTGGTGCATTATCCAATAGTAACAACGCTTTTATTGGAAGCTTCTGTTGTTTTAGGATACCTTTTACCTACAAATTGAAAACACATCTTCAAATTATGAATAGAGCATTTGTGATAATTGATTGTCATACCTGAGGGACAAAGCACCTGTGGAACCATTTCAGGAATAAACTGCTAGTCATCCAAGCGGTTTTTGAACAGTCATAATCAACAGGGATATTAACATTTTTAAATGAGCGCGGATTTTTTGATTTCCCAATTACCAGTGGCTTTATTTTGTGTGCAGGCTAGAAACGTTATTCGTTGTTTCTCCGGCTTTCTTCCCGGGGCAGATTTTTCAAATGATGCAGCATAGGTTTTCTCTGGTAACATTTTCCAATAAAGGTCACTTTCATCTGCGTTGTAAATTTGTTCCATTCTTAAATCTAGCTCGGTAATTGTTTTCATCAATTTTTCTTTGAATGGTTGCACTAATTGTGGTTGTGCTGATAATTTTTCACCAGATATAGACAGCAGTCGAATTCCATATCTTGTTTTGAATCGTCGTAGCCAGGCATCACTAGCTACGAAATTTCCAGTTTCTTTCAGTTTTTCATTTAACAGTCTCGCTCTCTGTTTAAGTACTTCGCCACTAACTGGGACATGATTTTCCCGTTGTTTTAAAAACCACTTATACAGGGAATTTTCCATTTTAGGTGTCTTCGCATTTTCTGAAGTTTTTCTTTTTCCTGGACCTCCAAATGTATTGCACGTTCTTTGTAAAATTTGAGTTTTCATACGCTTAATTTTACAGATTGTAGCTTTCGATACTCCATATTTTTTTGCTAACTGTGTCACTCCCGCACCTAGTGCAACTTCGTCTATGATTTTCACTTTCTCACTCAACTTTAAACACATAAATCATCGAGGCTTCAGCATTTTACCGTCGCGCTGTTTCCGTGCGCCGAGAGTTGTTTACGTTATCGAGCGTACACATCGTTTACGTTATCGCGTGTTCCGTTTGATCCTATAGAACGAAGTTTGTGTTTACATTAGCGCAAGTTTTCATTATCCCGTGTTTACGTTATCGAGCGTCTGCTGTATATTATGTAATGTAGCGTGAAACATTGATAATGTAGCATTAATGCTAAATAAATCTACAACGACGCAAACAAACAATTAAGTAAAAAAAACGATCTTTTAGATAAAAAATATCAGAATCGCTGGGATAGTTGAAAAAAAAAATCTGCTATAATTTATGCAGGGGCGGGTGTAGTTTACACCCTTCACGAACTCTTTCGGGTTTTTGTAAAAGTCAAACATAAGGACGTCAAGCGTAAAATTTCATTCAAATCGGACTATCACTTCGAAAAATATCTGAAAAAATGTGTTTTAAAAATAAAACGCCCTCTGGCGAACAAACGATGCACTTTTGCATACAGGTAAATAATATCTTGTTAGGACACCATGTATAACAAAATATAATTCTAAACAAGGAACCTTTACAGAAGTCTTCAAAAGATATCTACTAAGTTGCGAGAATTTTCTGGCGTTTTGTGATTCACGCATACATTTTTTTTTCAAAGTTTCGAACACATTCATCATACAGCTTCTGAGATTCTAAGCCTACCTTCATCTGGTTTTGATTGTTCGACTAGTTTCCAGATGCAAAAAAAGAGATATTATTTTAACACCGAATACCCCTTTTTCATCAACCTTAAACTACCATCGCCATTATTAAATTAATATATGCTACTATCAAATTCCTACCACGTAACTTCTAGCAAATCTAGCTACTTAACTTCGATATTCGATTATGGACATCAGTGGATTTTGTCGCAAATACAACCTCGCAAAAACTTGAAACTGAAAGGAAGATTCGATTAACAGAATAAGTAAATCTTTTAGGTTTTATCGGAATCTCATACACCATTAACAATATCCACTGATGTGTATTTTCAAAAGTCTTAACTTTACATCTTTATGTTACAATAGTGATTCTACACTCACTTGATAGCTGACTGATGTTGTCAGCGCTGCCGAACTTGTTTTTGATTAAATGTGCGAACTCTCTTGGTTTGGACATCACCGAACCTCCAACATAACTGATTCCGTCCCTGATGTTGCCCCCCACATTTCTGAAAAATAAGGATCATTTTTTAGTGGAGAAGTTCTACAGGATTTGTCCGAGGACTGAGTCGATTTAAAAAAATTTATTGAGCCAGCGATTTATGTTTACCACAAAATACAGATAACATTATTCGATTGTACCACTTTAGACTATGCATATTGGTATGCACATATACAGTTCAAATTATTTGGGAAACGTTATGATCTTTGTACTTTTTACCGTTCACCAAACAGTGATGCGGATACATTTTTAACGTTTTTTGAAGAAAAATGCGAAGAAATGTGGAATTTTAGACACAATATAATACTTTTAGCTGATTTTAATTTAAATTATTATGGTAAAAACATGAAAACAAGGAAATTGAAAGAAACCATAAACAAGTATGGGTTCAAGCAAAACATTGAAGAGAGTACCAGAATAACATCATTATCAGAGACTTTGTTAGATCTTGTTATTGTAAATTTCGAATGTGCAGGGATTAAAGCTGTACATACAGCTAAATTTAGCGATCACAGTTGGACAATGCTGCCCTTGGTAGGGCATTGTTCTGATACAAAATTTAAGAAAATCGTAAATACTATTAAGTACGAAAAACTTGAACGAGAACTTGCTGGCTGCTATTGGAATTTTGGTGAGAATATGGAAAAAATATATGACAACACAATAGGAAATATAAAAACTTGTTTAGATCTTGCAACTGATAAAAAAGTGATTTGCTCGACAAAAAATACACCCTGGTATAACAAGAATATTAAGGCAGTTCAAAATTTGAGAGACAAGCAATACAATAAATGTATATTCACAAAATCAAATGATGATTGGGAGGTATATAAAACTCTTAGGAATAAATGTGTATATGTAATTAGAGAAGAAAAAAGGAAATTGTACGATAAACAAATCGATAATAACAAGTGCGACAGTGTAAAGATGTGGAGACTGATCAATTCGAAGCCGCATGATTGTGTAAATCAAGTTCAATTCGAAAACGGTAACGAAACAAATTCTTTGGTGATTGCAAACAAACTAAATGAATATTTTGTGGAAAGTATTGTTGATATTGTGGGTACTGCCAATGCTGCACCTGACTATATGAAAATCAGTTTCCAGGGGGAAATGTTGCATACACTTTCAAAATTTCACAGCGTATCATTGAATTATCTAAGAAAAAAAGTAAACAGTTTAAAATCAAATAACAACTGTGCCGAAATGACTACTAAAAACGTGCTGAAAAACTGTTTACGAAATTTTGGGATATCCTGTATTAAATTGGATCAATTGTTCACTGAGAGGCAATTCTTTTCCTGAAAATTTGAAAAGCTCCACAATAACACCAGTTCCCAAAATAAAAAATTCTAAAAGATGCACCGATATGAGACCAGTAGTAAATGTGTTACCAGACATTGAAAAATTATTAGAATCCATAGTGCATGACCAATTAATGCAGTTTATAGAAGAAAACAAAATTTTAGTGGAGGCGCACGCAGGATTTCGAAAAAAATATTCCACAGAAACAGCTTTCCAGTTGGTAACTGAGAATTGGAGAAGAGCCATAGACTCAGAAGAAGTTGTCATAGCAGTATTTTTGGATTTGAAGAGGGCATTTGAAACGATTGATAGAGATATTTTGTTAGGTAAATTGAAGGCATATGGTATAACAGGAAGTGTTTATGGTTATTTGTCTAAAAGGATGCAAGTTATAAAAGTTAATGACACTATTTCATCAAAAATTGAAAATACGTTGGGTGTTCCACAGGGCAGTATCCTGGGACCACTTCTTTTTATTTTATACATAAATGATTTACCTGCCATAGTAAAAAAAATGCAAAATTCAGATTTTCGCCGATGACACTATGATTTATATAAGTACTAACAATATTCAGTCTGGTATCTCTTATATAAATGAAGACTTGAAGCTTGTCTCAAAATGGTTAGCATCTAACAGACTAAAATTAAATGCAAGTAAAACGAAAGCCTTGTTAATCGGAAAAAAACAATGTACAAATGTTCAACTGAATATTGATGGTGAAGATATTGAATTCGTAGAAAATTTTAAATACCTGGGGGTTTTTTTTGACTCTCGATTAATTTTTGATATTCATTATGAAAAAGTTATAAATAAGATTAGTAGTAAAGTGGGATATTTATCGAGAGTTTCTGGATGTCTGAGTTCATATAGCAGAAAAATTATCTATAATACCATCATTCTTCCAAATTTCTTGTACTGTTCGACTATTCTATATTTAGCAAATAATTCCATTTTTGAAAGACTGCAAATTTTACAAAATAAGTGCATGTGAATAATGCTAAATAAAGATAAATATACTCCAATTAGGCAAATGCTTAGCAAATTAGAATGGCTCAATGTAAAAATTTTATCAAATATCTTGTAATGATATTCATTTATAAAGTAAAATATAATATATTTCCATCAAGTCTAACTAATTTAACATCATCAAATGTCGACCATCATTTACATGATACCAGAAATAAAGATGACATCCATTTAATGACCAAAAAGCATAAGATATGCTACAAATCTGTATTCCATCAAGGGTTGATTGAATATAATAAATTATACTCGGAGATAAAAGACCAGAAAACTTTGACAAAATTTAAAGTAAAATTGAGAAATCACCAGTTAAATCTACAATTATAGGTTGCCCCGCATTTACATCATACACCATATGGCTTGAATTTACTAGTTCTAAGTTGTTTACAATTGTTCTGTTTATGTAGCCAAATGTGCTAAATAAATCTTTCTACTACTACTAGACATTTATTCAGAATTCTTACTATGTATTTACTTCTTCAACTTGTCATTCGATGTGTGGAATTATATTTCTTCGAATTTATGTTTATACTTTATATATGAGAATTGAATGGTAATTACTGAGTAAATCTACTTGACATTTTTGGGTGCTGTTATTTTTTCTAGAAAGTGTCCATGTTTTCCTCTCTAAACGAAAATTCTGGCACATTTGGGCAGTTAGACGAAAAATCATAGATCATTCTGGTTTACAGCAAATAAACCTCCAACTTTTTCAAAATTGTCTACTTCATTTTGAAAAAATTGACATTCGAATAATTATTGTACTTGATTTCGAGCTCTGACAATTTACTGGAAAATTATCTGCTGACTGATTTGACAGTCATCAAACAGTCATACGTTTCTGTACGAACAGCGGATCAGTTGTCGGTCACTCTGGGATCAGGAATGGAACAGTATTGTCTTTAGTGACGAGTCTCGATTTTGTTTAGGCATGCACGATGGTCGTGCCAGGGTTAGAAGGCGACGTGGTGAAAGGAGGAATCCACAGTTTTTTGTTGAAAGACATGTTCATCACACTGTTGGAGTTATGGTTTGGGGTGCCGTAGCTTATGGTTCCAGGTCACCTTTAACTTTCATCAGAGGTAACATGAACGCGCAGCGTTATATCCACGAAGTTCTAGAACCCCATCTTTTACCCTATCTTGACACCCTGGCAGATCCAACTTTCCAACAAGATAATGCCCGACCACATGTTGCAAGAGTCACAATAGACTTCTTTCAACATAATGATGTCACATTGTTACCATGGCCACCAAGATCTCCCGACTTATCCCCAATTGAGCACGTGTGGGATATGATGGGTAGGAGATTGCTCAATTTGCAACGTCCTCCTCAGACTCTAGAAGCACTTCGAGAGGAGTTGGTGGTTGCCTGGAATGAGATACCACAGGAGGACATTGACCACCTGATCAGAAGCATGCCTAGGCGCGTTGGAGAATGCGTTGCACATCAGGGTGCATTCACACATTATTAAAGGTCAAAGGGCTTTAAAGCAGTGCAATCATCTTGAAATTTTTATCATTTACTTATTATGCTTCATTAAGTACTTATACAAAATTTTATTAAAATAAAACCGTTTAAACTGGGTGTTCGGATTTATATGTCACTTAGTATATATTTTATTTCGGCTATATTGTTTATTATAGAAAATCGTGTTTGCCAAAATTATTAGGCTTATTATTAATACATCTCAGTGAAGCTGACCTAACTAACCAAACTACCCGTAATATATCTAATTTATCGAAAAAATATAAATACTAATTTATCAATTAAATTTTGAACTGCAGGTCATGATATCGTATTATTTTCATAAAATGCATGTCAAGGTGCTTGATTTTCTTAAAGAAAACTTATCTTCATGAGTTGAGCCATCTAATATTTTTATTTTGAATATATTTATTAATTGCAGATTCCCTAAAAACGCTGACCGTTGCCAACTTTGGGTGAAATTTTTTAATAGGGGTGAATGGACACAAGATCTAGTGTTATTTGCTCGAAAAAATTTTCTGAGGAGTCATTCGATAGAACATCAAAATGTTATGTTAATCTCAAACCAAATGCTGCAAACCAGGTAGGTATGTTAATAAAATCATGTTTGTTTCCTAAAATGTTCTGTGTACTTAATTCAAAACAGTCATTATCTTTTTTGTCCTTTTTGTAGTTTTCCTTGCTATAATGACATCTTAAATGCATGGTTTAATGTAAATTCTAGGTTTCATAAATGTCTAGAAGTAATGAGCGTTAATGTTTTATTTTAGGAAGAATCACCACCTGCCAAGATACTAGTACTATCAAATACAGTATTAAGTCCTACTTTCGACTCATCCCTTCTACAGAAACAAGCAGTTAGTATAAGACATCATAACAATAAGCTTGTATTATTTAGAGAGCAGTAATCAATTAATCTGTAATCTATGAATTTATGTAATAAAGATTATTTCCAAACCTGATTTTTATTTATGTAGGCACGCAAAAACTAAATTACTTAAAAATATTTGGATAACAAACATGTATCTAATAGATTTTATTAGGCCTAATATTTTCAACAACAAAAAAATGTAATTTCGTTCCAGTCCACTGGATTCAATTTTCACGTGACAAAAGTCGAGAAGTACGATCAGTGATATTTGAAAAAAATGACACCGGATTATTATCGTTCAGTACCGCTTAAAACATACGTTTACCAAGTTTGGTTTTCAAAAGATGTGATGTACGAATCTTGAGAAAGAATTGCCATAAGAAAAAATATTTGAAAAAACTCGTAGTTAATCAGGAAATATATTGCACCTCTAAAAATTTGACTCCAACTGACAGTATACTATGGGGTTATCGCAGGAAAGTAAACGCATATTAAAACAAGAAAGATTGATATTCAAATCAAGTTGGGTACTTTATTTTGAAGGTTCATTTATACCATTTATGTATGAAAAATAATATCGCTCAAAAGTTCACCACGACTGGATTTACAGACGTCCACGCGTTGGTCGAAATTTTCAATGACATTTTGCAACATGGTCGGTTCTATGGCATTTATCGCGGCAATGATGTTGTTTTTGAGTTCTTGGAGGGTGGCTGGTTTGTTGACGTAGACTTTGCTTTTCAAACATCCTCATAAAAAGAAGTCCAAGGGAGTCAAATCGCACGATCTTGGTGGCCATGGCACATTTCCTCTGCGCGAAATCACGCGATCACCGAAGAAGGACTGCAATCGATGGATATTGACGTTGGTTGTGTGGCATGTTGCACCGTCTTGTTGGAAATAAACATCGTCCATATCCATTCCTTCAAGTTGCGGCAAAAAATAGTCCTCTATCATCACGTGATATCGCTCAGAATTGACGGTAACGGCGTCCCCGGCCGCATTTTCGAAAAAGTAAGATCCGATGATGCCTTTTGACCACAATGCACACCACACAGTCACTTTTTGAGGATGCATCGGCTGCTCTTGATACTCGCGGGGATTTTCGTTCGCCCAGATGCGGCAGTTTTGTTTGTTTACCGTCCCATTCAAAGTGAAATGCGCTTCGTCGCTGAACATGATTTTTGATGAAAAATTGGCAACAATTTGGCGGTGTTCAAGGAGCCAATCTGAGAACGTTCGGCGCGAAAAATGGTCGGCTCGACGCAGCTCTTGCGTCAATTGGATCTTGTAGGCGTGCACATTCAAATCCTTGTGGAGAATACGGAGCAAACTGGTTCTCGAAATGCCCAATTCTCGGGATCGACGCGTTGTTGATTGTTTCGGATCGTCTCTCACACTCTCCTTCACAACAGCAATATTTTCCGGTGTGCGAACGCTCCTTGGCCGGCCAGAGCCTGGCAGATTTGCCACAGAACCTGTCGCCTCGAATTTACGCACCAGACGACCGATGGTTGTTTCGTTTGGGCGGTTGTTGCGACCGAAATGTTCACGAAGCGCGCGAAACGTGTTTTTTATTTTTGCACCATTTTTGTAGTGCTCTTGAATAACTCTAATGCGGTCTTCAATCGAATACGACTCCATAGCGATCAATGGTAAACATTCAACTAACAAAATGACATGTCGGTGACAGAAAACAAAGATGGCGTCTATGTCAAATTGACGTTTACTTTCCTGCGGCCCTATTGGACAACCCTTTATCACAACCAAATTTGGTGAACATAAATAATAAACCGGTGTAATTTTTTTCAAATATCGCTTATAGTAATTCTCGATTCTTCGCTCTTAAAAATTGAATACAGTATTGGGTCCTGTCTTACATTTTCTGAATATCCGCAAACTGACATTTTTGACCATCCAACAAAGAAAAAGTTTATGAAAATCGGTCAAAAAAACACAAATGTTGAAGTAAGTCGACACACTGTATATTAGATAGATTTTTTCTAAACACATAAGTGTAGCAAATGATATCATTTACATATAGCATAAATGCAATCAAATTAAATACATACATTAAAAACAGATACGATCATAGCAAATCCGCCATATTATTAAGCGACTAAGCTCCACCAACCGGTCCCTTTATCGATAGCATGATTTATACGACAATAGGGTCTCCTTTTGTATTATATCTCGATGGTTTCTGCCTACAATCTGCCCATCGGCAACCAGCGCGCCATCTTATGATGTTCATACATAATGGGTGATTTTTTTGCTAGTATCTTTTTGGCAACACTGTTTTTGACAGATGACGCGTGAATCGTGTCTTGTGTCATTGTCAAACTTGTTCAGTTTGGTCTATGATTTAACCATGAATCGACTTACGAACGAACAACGCTTGCAAATTATTGAATTTTACTATCAAAATTCATGCTCGGTTAAGAGAGTGCATCGAGCACTGCTTCTAATTTATGGGCAATTTGGTCGGCCTACTGAGGGATCTATTCGGAAGCCTGTGACTGAATTTCAAATCCATTTTACATTATAGGACATTAAACCACCAACACGCAGACGTAGAGTAAGGACTGAAGAAAATATTGCGGCTGTATCCGCCAGTGTTAGTGATGACCTTGAAATGTCGATTCGCCGCCGTTCGCAGCAATTGGGCCTCTGTTACTCCACTACATGGAAAATTTTGCGACAGGATTTGGGTGTAAAACCTTACAAGATACAGCTGGTGCAAGAATTGAGGCCACACGACCTCCAAAAACGTTTCCAATTTGGTGAATGGGCGCTGGTAAAGTTGGAGGAAGATCCGCATTTTTATCTAAAAATTTTGTTCAGCGACGAAGCTCATTTCTGGTTGAATGGGTACGTTAACAAGGAAAATTGCCGCATCTGGAGTGAAGACCAGCCAGAAGCATTGCAAGAGCTACCAATGCATCCCGAAAAAATCACTGTTTGGTGGGGATTATGGGCCGGTGGCATCATCGGGCCGTACTTCTTCAAAGACGATAATGGCCGGAACGTAACTGTGAATGGCGAGCGCTACCGTGCGATGATAACAAACTTTTTTTGCCCAAAATGGAAGAGCTGGACTTGGCTGACATGTGGTTTCAACAAGACGGTGCCACATTTCACACAGTTTATCTCACCTTTCAGGCCCGTCAATTGGCCGCCTAGATCGTGCGATTTAACGCCGTTGGACTATTTCTTGTGGGGCCATGTTAAGGCTAATGTCTACAGGGATAAATCAGCAACGATTGAAGCCAATATTGAAGCATTTATTCGTGAGATACCGGCCGATATGTTGGAGAGAGTGTGCCAAAATTGGACCTTGCGCATGGGCCATCTAAAGCGGAGCCGCGGCCAACATTTACATGAAATAATCTTTAAACATTAAATTATATCGACCGTTCTATCGACTCAAATAAAGATTTAATCGTTTTTTCAAATTATTTGTGTTTTTTTTTTGAAAATCAAATGCTATACCTCTTAAAAAATCACTCGTTACTAGCCATAGATAAATGTTTACCTTCCTATCAAGATACCTTTTTTACCGGCTTTTATCTGTTCCTTTTGATGTTCTGTCGAACGTGTTTTCTTCAGGGCAACTTATTCAACCTTCTTTTAGGGGGTTGCGTGCGCAGATGGTCCACCGTAATTTTACTTTCCGCTGTGATTTTGGTTGTGTGCAGGCGTTTTTTTCGTTGACCTCCAGATTTTGGGATATTAACGCCCCAAGCACTAGTTTATGAAGTAGTACCCGTTTATTTTGTACCTTACGTTCAGTTGTGTTGGTTAGGGTACTATCCGTCCATTTTGTAATGGATTTTAACCTCCAGCGGTAAGTTCTCTTCTGTATACCTTCGGACTACGTCCTTTAATGCTTGTCCTGAAGAAGTTTGTTGAATATCTGATACCTTTTAGTGGAAAGCCATTGTGGAGAACCGCCATTCACACTCCTCCAGCTGCTTTGTAGCTGTTTCGGAGCCGATTTTGTCGGAAGCCATCTCTTCCCCTTGATTGAAATTCTTAGAGTGTTCTTGATTTTGTTTGGCATTTTACGAATTGAAATACATGTCACTGTTTTTTGGGCTGATTACATTACATAAATCATGTTTATGAAGTTTGAGCTGCCATAACTTATTTTAGAACAAGGGATAACTTTCTGAAGATATATCGCTTTGGTAAGAAAAGTAGTTTTCTTGTAACAGACAATATACATGGATTTTTCTAAAAGTTTTGAGACTTTTAAATGTGTACTTCTGTCTCAGACATAGAGTAGAGAGTAGATTTTTAAGCAGTCTTTTTCTCTCTTTAGGGTTTTTTTGTACCATAAATTTTTAGAACGAGGCAAGCAGCCCCTACCTTGTGACATTCCTTACGTCACTGCTCACTACTGGCCACTGATTTTTGACCTGGGTTTTTTGATAGCTGAGAAGTCCATAAATAAAGATGTATTGCAAAACCTTTATAATTTTCATGGCATTAGTAAATTGACAGCCAACTTGCATATTTGGGAAATTTGGTTACTACAGATTTCACCAGTAAAACCACGGGGCAAGAAGCTATACTATACATGAAAGAAAACTCTGACAGAATTTAAACATAATACTTACTTCAGTCCCTGTCCCATATCCCTGAGTACCTCCCTAGGCGGTCTGTGACTCTGAATGGCGCCGTGTTTCTCCAGTTCGTGGACTTTTTTCTGATACGCATCCAGTTTTTTCTGCAATTGCGCGATAACCTGAGCACTCTTCTGATTTTTCTTCTCGAATACAGCTTTGATCCGTTGCACTTGTTGCTTGTCTGCGTTTGCGGCCAGCTTCAGGTATTCGTTCACATTGTCTGCAAGATCGGTTAGACCAGTTTATGTACAGGGTGGTCAACTAACAATGCGAGGTATAAAAACAGTTATTACTAAAACGGCCAAGAGAAAAGAGTGGTGTTTCTGTGAATACCGCTATACAGGGTGTCCGCAAAGTTGGGGTTTTCCTTTGCAGAAACAACTACCCTTGAAATAACAAAGGTAATGTGTAGTGAAACGAGGGCGACCAAGTAAAAACAAAATAAAGGAAAAAGTACTCACTCTCCAGTTGACGAGAAGGGCTAAGTACGTCTCTGCCCGAAATCATACCGCTCCAACAGAAAATGAAATCAGCTGAAGCGCTACCGAGCAGACGCAGAAACCACATTGATTGCCTTACACTTAATGGCGCATCTTCTAACAAGGAAGGCAAAATGTTGCGTGAAAAATCTAGGTATTGCATCCCGTCCAATCGATTTGGGAGAATAAATGGTCCAATGAGCATGCCAGCCCAAACATTCACCGAAAATGTTTGTTGAAAATGACCAAACATCAGTGTTGCGAAAGTTATTTACCCCATTACGCGTGAACGTAGATTCGTCTGTCACCAATATGCACTTCAAAAAGTCCGGATTATTGTCATGTTGATGCAACAATCACTCGCAAAACCGCACTCTTGCTGGAAAATCGTCAGGTTGAAGGGCTTGTACACGTTGGACGTGAAACGGATACAGCCCCTCTTCACGCAGCGTTTGCCACACTTTAGTTTTGGATACTTGCACTTCTCTAGCCACGTCTCTAGTGCTTGTTGAGGGATTCTCGTCTACGCGATTACCTCTACACGCGTGACCGTAACCGTCGGTTGAAGGTTGCATACTGACCTGACACACTGATCCCGACCCAGTTCTGCCGTCGGGTTGAGACCTTGTACCAGTCTGGGATATCCCGGCCGGTCGCGGCTACAGGACGGTATTCAGATATTTTTGATGTTGCAGAGCCCTTTATCTCGGTTCCCTTAAGACATTGGTGTATGTGGTACTAAGAAAAATTGCTTATGTTTTCAAGATCTACACGTCGTGTAAAGGAAAACCCCAACTTTGCGGATACCCTGTATTAACCTAACAAAAAAATTCCTGATCTTTAATAAATTCGAGGATAGTGCGAACTTTTTTCTTTGACAATTTTTGCGTTGTGTTAAAAATAGAGTGCTGTGGGGGTGTTCAAAGGTTCGCGAAAAAACACCCTGTATCTTCGAAACGGTGAGCCGATTCAAACAAACTTGTGCTTTTTTAAGTTTAGGGGGCTTTTTTCCACATTGCGGCAGAAATGGTTGATTTTCTAAAAAAAAAAATGCGTTGATATGATTTTTTTTATGAAAAAAGAGCTAAATGATGTCTAAACAAGCTCGCGAAAACTGCATCTCGATATCTTGTTCCTAACCTAAAACTTGAACCAAAGAAAATGTTATACTAAGTGGCATATAAATCCGAACACCCAGTTTAAATGGTTTTATTTTAATAAAAGTTGGTGAATGTATTTATCTTACTGTAAATAACAAGTGAAACAATGTTCAGCCTTATCAGTTGAACATTCCTGTTTTTATACTGCTTTTTTTTAATTCACTAACGCTCTAAAAATGAATATTTCAGCCGCAGTAAAGAATGAACGTTGGCGGATTTTGGTTCTTGGTATCCTTTACGATCGGTTACGATGCCTAGAGTACGGAGACCTGTACGATTTCGTCAACTTAGTGAGTTTGCTAGGGGCCGTATAGTGGGACTTCGGGAAGCTGGACTTTCTTTTCGGGCAATTACAGTTAGAGTGCAAAGAAGTGTAGACACTGTGGTTAGGTGTTGTCAGGCATGGCTTCGAGAAGGCCGTACGCAAAGAGCAAGAGGCACTGGACGCCGCCGTAGAACAACAGACCGTGAAGATCGCCGCCTAAGATTATTGGCCTTAAGGGACTGTTTCTCCACTACCAGGTCCATTGCAAATGAATGGTTTGCAGAACACGGAAGACCTATTGGCATGCGAAGTGTTTACCGACGAATGAGAAGTTTTGGCTTGTTTTCATACCGGCCACACTCTGTCCTCCCTTTAACTCGAGAACACCGACGTAATCGCCTTGAGTGGTGCAGACAACGGTCACTCTGGGATCAGGAATGGAACAGTATTGTCTTTAGTGACGAGTCTCGATTTTGTTTAGGCATGCACGATGGTCGTACCAGGGTTAGAAGGCGACGTGGTGAAAGGAGGAATCCACAGTTTTTTGTTGAAAGACACTGTTGGAGTTATGGTTTGGGGTGCTATAGCTTATGGTTCCAGGTCACCTTTAATCTTCATCAGAGGTAACATGAACGCGCAGCGTTATATCCACGAAGTTCTAGAACCCCATCTGTTACCCTATCTTGACACCCTGGCAGATCCAACTTTCCAACAAGATAATGCCCGACCACATGTTGCAAGAGTCACAATAGACTTCTTAAAACATAATGATGTCACATTGTTACCATGGCCACCAAGATCTCCCGACTTATCCCCAATTGAGCACGTGTGGGATATGATGGGTAGGAGATTGCTCAATTTCCAACGTCCTCCTCAGACTCTAGAAGCACTTCGAGAGGAGTTGGTGGTTGCCTGGAATGGCGCGTTGGAGAATGCGTAGCACATCAGGGTGCATCCACACATTATTAAAGGTCAAAGGGCTTTAAAGCAGTGCAATCATTTTGAAATTTTTATCATTTACTTATTATGCTTCATAAGTACTTATACAAAATTTTATTAAAATAAAACCATTTAAACCGGATGTTCGGATTTATATGTCACTTAGTATATTTCAAGGGCTACAGTTCAAACGACTTAATTAAAGAAGAGCTGTCGCTGGTCCGTCTGAAATGACTCAGGTTGTAAAAATAGGGCATTTACATCGTGTATTCACTGCATTTGCACATTCGTTTTCTTAACGTGATCGTCTTGATTTAGATTTGTTTCGCGTTTTGTTTTTCTTCAAGTATAGGGTTGTCCAATAGGGACGCAAGAAAGTAAACGTCAATTTGACATAGACGCCATCTTTGTTTTCTGTCACCGACATGTCATTTTGTTAGTTGAATGTTTACCATTGATCGCTATGGAGTCGTATTCGATTGAAGACAGCATTAAAGTTATTCAAGAGCACTACAAAAATGGTGCAAAAATAAAAAACACGTTTCGCGCGCTTCGTGAACATTTCGGTCGCAACAACCGGCCAAACGAAACAACCATCGGTCGTCTGGTGCGTAAATTCGAGGCAACAGGTTCTGTGGCAAATCTGCCAGGCTCTGGCCGGCCAAGGAGCGTTCGCACACCGGAAAATATTGCTGTTGTGAAGGAGAGTGTGAGAGACGATCCGAAACAATCAACAACGCGTCGATCCCAAGAATTGGGCATTTCGAGAACCAGTTTGCTCCGCATTCTCCACAAGGATTTGAATGTACACGCCTACAAGTTAAAATTGACGCAAGAGCTGCGTCGGGCCGACCATTTTCGCGCCGAACGTTCTCAGATTGGCTCCTTGAACACCGCCAAATTAATGGCAATTTTTCATGTTCAGCGACGAAGCGCATTTCACTTTGAATGGGACGGTAAACAAGCAAAACTGCCGCATCTGGGCGAACGAAAATCCTCGTGAGTATCCACAGCAGCCGATGCATCCTCAAAAAGTGACTGTGTGGTGTGCATTGTGGTCAAAAGGCATCATCGGACCTTACTTTTTCGAAAAAGCGGCCGGGGACGCCGTTACCGTCAATTTTGAGCAATGTCTCGTGATGATAGAGGACTATTTTTTGCCGCAACTTGAAGGAATGGATATGGACGATGTTTATTTCCAACAAGACGCGTGATTTCGCGCAGAGGAAATGTGCCATGGCCACCAAGTTCGTGCGATTTGATTCCCTTGGACTTCTTTTTATGGGGAAATTTGAAAAGCAAAGTCTACGTCAACAAACCAGCCACCCTCCAAGAACTCAAAAACAACATCATTGCCGAGATAAATGCCATAGAACCGACCATGTTGCAAAATGTCATTGAAAATTTCGACCATCGCGTGGACGTCTGTAAATCCAGTCGTGGTGAACATTTGAGCGATATTATTTTTCATACGTAAATGGTATAAATGAACCTTCAAAATAAAGTACCCAACTTGATTTGTTCTTGTTTTAATATGCGTTTACTTTCCTGCGTCCCTTTTGGACAACCCCATATAATACTGCGAATAAGTAGTTATGGTGTTTGAATATGTTAAGATATGCCACACAGTCCGTAAGATACTTCACGTACTACTTATTGTGATCCTGATTTCACATTTGATATTAATATATTATAATTTTATTAAAATGTTGAATAAAAAATGTCCATTGTCATAGTAACTATTGCACTACTTAGAATATTGCATTTCTTTCTCGGCAACCAACCTCCTTCACACTGACGCAAATGACCTTTTTTTTTAATAATATGAGTACATTTTATTCAAAGAACGGTATATGGCAAAACCCTTCGCAGTTCGCAGTTAAAACAAAGCTTCAAATTCGAATTCAAAAACCAATATAACTTACAAATTAAAAAAGAACAATCTTCAGTACAGTACAATTTAAATAAAAAAAAAAGCTTCAAGAATACATGAGCTTGTATACTCTTGCTACCCTGAATAACCAAGATTGCAACAGAAATCTGAGCAAAGATACTAGCATCAGATCTAGAACCAGCAAGTAACGGTATATGAATTGTGAAAATTCTGTATACTTTCGTAAAGGGTAAATGTCTGAATCTTGTCGTCACAAATCCTAAATTACGTGTCTGCATAATCAAATCTAAAATTCACATAGTAGTACAGAAGCATACTAAAAACACTCAGAAGTATAAATATAGAGTACATAAAATATGGATATCTGAAATATGATAATATAGGGATATTTCGAGTAAGGTCAAACTACGTTGTTTAAACAATAAAAATTTTGCGTAAAGGTTAAGCAGAGAAACAAGAGTACTACAATTTACTACAAAAGAATAGACACCTAAGCTATAAGCTTGTGTGTGTCATACAATATACAAATTCAATGCATGGCTAATGGTTATAAGGTATATTATGAGCAAATGTATATAACAAAAAAGGAATACAAAAAACATTAGATAGAAACGATATTACTGAGTTGAGTCAAGCTACCGTCGATGCAAGCATGTCAAAGTTATTTAAGATGAACTTCTTAATTCTCTTTTTGAAACTATACTTTGAGAGGATTTTATATTCTAGGGGTAATTTATTATACAACCTAATACCATCAAACTTTATGCATTTTTGGCAAACAGATTTATTCACTCTGGTATAGGTGTAACTTATATTTATTTTAGTTCTTGTTTCATAAGCGTCGCTGGTTGGAACATTGTTTCGGGAGTGAACAAATTTTAGAGCAGCAAAACTATATAAACCTCTAACATTCAAAAGATCATTTTCAATGTAAACAAATCTGCAACTTGACCTACATGGGATACGAAAAATAGTCCTGACAATATAATTTTGCGTGGTTTGTAGTATTTTTAAAGTACTAGTGTATGCAGCTCCCCAAATACTTATCCCGTAAGTTAGTAGAGACCCCACAAACGAGTTATACAGGGTGACTTCGAAGTTGAGTCATTTATTTTAACAGTGAGTAGATCTGATCAAAAGAAATGTTTTTTTCCTTTACCATTTTTCTGGTAAAATTAAAGTAACAAAGTTATAGCCCTTTGGAAGTTTGAGTACCGCCCTGTCTCAATAATAATATTATGTGCTCGTGTTTGGCGACAACGGATATAATCCGCCTTATCGGTTCATCGCATCGGAAACAAAAAAGCGAAAGAATTTGGAACGATGTTTTTACAATTATTTTATTCAGTTGTATACAGTCAGTGTCAGTCGGTAACGCGTGAGTGAATAGTGGAGTCTGTTGCGTGGCTCAAATGAAATAAAAAATGGCACATGTTTATGCTGATCGGTTTCCCAATCGAGTACAACCAACCCCTTGTGCCTTTGTTAATGTAGTACAACGGGCTCGTGAATCAGGTAACTTAAGACCTCACAGGGGATTACATGCCGGTGCTCCAAGACCTCACCATCAAATACAGGACCGCACTGAAATACTTGTCGGGAGGATACTTTATAAAACAAGGTAACTTTTTTTTTAATTTTTTTTTATTTTTACACACATATTTTGGTTTATCTTCCTTCTACAATCATTATCTGAAAATTAATGACTCAACTTCAAAGTCACCCTGTATATTGAGAGAAGACCTTTCTGCTTAAAATATTCCTAAGAATGAAAAACTTATGAATAATTCTCCTTAATTTCGATGCCAAAAGCTCGGCATGACTCTGCCATTTTAAATTACTGTCAATAGTGATTCCTATATCTAATAACTTCAACTCTTTCGACAGTGTCAGCACTATCATTTATAATTAATGTTCGGTGGTGTAATGGCATGCCTGCTTTGGTTGGAGAAAACGTTACATACTTAGTTTTAGAGATATTAAGTTTAAGTAAATTGTTATCCAACCAGCATTTGACTTTATTCAATGAAAACTCGGCATTCCGTATTGCGTCATCCCAGTGCAAACTAAAACAGTATCGTCTGCATATGATATCATTTTACAGTTGAAATTACATCGAAGTAGTTCATTTATGTATATGAGGAACAGTGTTGGTCCCAAAACCGTCCCCTGAGGCACACCTATTTTGATCTTTTAAACGTTGCTTAAATCTGACCCCATCCTTAACTTGTTGTAATCGCTCAGCCAAATAGTTCTCAAATAAGTTCAGAACTCCGCTACGCACTCCAACACTTTCTAGTTTCTTTAATAAAATCGTATGAGATACTGAATCGAAAGCCTTTTGAAGATCTAGGAAAAGTGCAACAGTCTTATTTCCATCTTGAAAATTTTCAAGCACTTGTCCTGTACGTTCTTGTAGAGATTGCTCTGTATGGCAATTTTTGCGAATTGACAGTTCGATATTATGTCATATTTCTCAAGAAAAGAACAAAGTCTGTTATTTAAACACTTCCAAAAAATCTTCCCATATACATTGATAACTGAAATAGGTCTATAATTGAACGTACTGTCTTTACTTCCAGATTTAAATATTGGTGTCACTACGCTTTCTTTAAATTACCTACAGGTATATTTTACACTACTTCCACGCGGGCGGGGCCGCAGGGTTTAGGCTAGTTCGACATGTTTATAATATAATACGAACGATTTGATAACAAGGCCGAATCGCATAAATGAAAGTACTGAACTTACCATCCCTTAATTTCTGTTCAGTCCTGATGAGATCCCTAACCCTGACTATCTTGTTGCCTAAATGTTCCAAAATGGCGTTCGTCTTTGGGTCCGTGCAATCCGTTTCATCGTCCTGTCGGGCATCAGAGCTGCCGTTCGAGATGAAAGAGCCTGGACAATATACATCCGAAACGTCAAGTTCTGTCAGGTTGCCACTCTCGTCCATGTACACAATCTGCAAACGACAAATATACATGCTTGACAACACTGATCAACAGCCAAAAAATATCCTAAATAAAATCAACAAAATATTACTATTTTTAATGTGCTAAAACCGGAATGGAACTTATTTTTTCAATATTAGTTCAAGTTTTAGAGATACGGTAATTATATGTGTTCCTGCTGTGACAGTGTTAATATACTGTAATTCACAAGAATGCACGTGCTACATTTTTATATTCGGCAAGGAAAGATGATGTAATCGGCATGATTGTGTTACGTTATACATACGTGTACATTATATTGTTTTATATTAGCCATTTTTTTGTCTGAATGGGACAGTCGGGCAAAGGCACTTCATTACACCAGACAAAACTGGCCTGTTCGTCAATTCCTGGAGCCAGGTCAAAAAAATGTACAGCATATGCCATTAGTAGATTCGAAAAAAATTTTATTACCACCACTGCATATCAAGTTGGGCCTAATGAAAAACTTTGTCAAGGCATTAGATAGAGATGGGTCAGCTTTTCAATACCTGCGTCGGAAATTTCCAAGACTAAGTGAGGCAAAGGTTAAAGAAGGTATTTTTGTTGGGCCACAGATTCGAAATATTTTGAAAGATACACAGTTTGAAAACACTTTAACAGGTATTGAAAAAACTGCTTGGAATGATTTCCGTCTGGTGGTCACTAATTTCTTGGGAAATAGAAACGCTGACAACTATAAAACCCTTGTCAAAAATATGCTGTCATCGTATCAAAAGATGGGCTGTAATATGTCTCTTAAGATACATTTCCTACACCTGCACCTGCACTTTTTTCCTGACGATTGCGGAGCCGTAAGTGATGAGCACGGCGAACGTTTTCATCAGGATATTTCAACAATGGAAAAAGGGTACCAGGGAAAGTGGAATCCTTCCATGCTTGCAGACTACTGTTGGACTCTTGGTAGAGATGCTCCAGAAACGATCCATAAAAGAACAGCAAAAAGACAGCGCATATAGTGATTCTTATAAGTATATGAATCTTGTTAGTTTTTTTAATACATCCTTAAAAATAAAAAGTTTTTTTCTAAACCGCAACTAATTTTTTTATCTCATTGTAATTTTTGGATTCAGCGCCCCAAAATTAACAAAGAAGTGCACTTTTCCCACAAGATACAATTAAAAAACTAAAATTTGTTGTGTAGCACAGCTAAATAATTATAGTATCAAAATTGACCAACTGTAGTCAGCGTTGTTTCGTATTCATCAGCAACTCGTCAGTGCGGTATAGATCTAGTAGTCCTGGAGACAGACAAAACGGAAAGCAGACATGTGGACATCGTCTTTTCGAAAACCATTGGTAGGTGGCGATCGTCAGATGTTCACCTACTTGAGCACGTCAATATTTTTTCTTAGATACCAGATATTTTTATCGACTATTGCTTATACCGCTACCCTTGCAAGTTTGAGCCATGGCCCACATTAAAGTACAAATGTCCAAAATCATACAACCACAAGGTAGTACGATAACCAGAGTGCCATAAATATCAATAGATAATGATAAAACTTCGATTTCGTGGAACAAATGTCTCCGATCGATCATTTGTTTTCTTTAACAAATTACAGATTATTAATTGTTTGCTCTGTACATTTTTTATCATTCTGGACAAACAAGGTATAGTCAACGCCAAACAAAGTGGCGTGCACGTCATCAAGGTGGGTGTGTTGAAAAATTTACATTGTTTCCAAACTTTTTGTAAAATAATAAAATTTATTATTTACATATCTAGGTTTATAATCAATATTAACCTCAAATGAGAACAAAAATAATAGTATAACAAAATTATAGATATGTACTTGCATAATCATTAAGTATGACAATTATTGATCAGATGACACTATGAAACTACCATATTTAATTGATAGCTTAAAGGTACTGAATAAAAATCCAAATGGGGTCCTCCAAATTTTATGTATGGTATTTATTTTACAGAATTCATACAGAAAAATGCATTCTAAAATTAGGTAAGCTACTGGTGTAAGCTTTTTCTGTACAATAAAGTTAGTCGGAGTTTCTTTCTTCAGCGCTGTCTGAATCTGAATCTTCATCACTCTCAAAGTTGATTATTAAAGGTTCGATGTCTGGTCGATCAAAAATTCGTTCTCTTTCATACCATTTAAAAATTTCTTGCTCAATATGTCGAACACTATTTTTCCACATGTCTGGGGTAACCGTTTGTAGAGCCTCGTTCCATATATCCAGTCTTTTTCACTGTTACCATCTCTACCAATATGTCTGTTATAGTAACCTTTTGCTATGCCCCAAATTAACTCAATAGGGTTAAATATACAATGGTAAGGAGGCAGACGAAGAACTTTGTGCCCATGTTGTTCCGCCAATTCATCAATCACGTATATTTTAGGTGGTTTGTTTCTAAAAAAGCAGTTATTTTAAGAATAGGAATAAACAAAAGAAATATAAACTGTCGACCAAAATATATATAATTAAGAAGCATTATGTACCGAGCAACAATACTCAATAGCTCTGTTTTAAACATTGTGTTTAAAAATGGTATGTTTTTATTTGTCAACAGTCTTGGATATTTTTTTTTGTCCATGCATTGTTGGGCACTTTGTTCAATATCATGGTGTGATAAGGGGCGTTATCCAGTATAATCATAGATGGACTCTCCAATTTTTCTAATAACTGATGTTGAAACCATTTCAAAAAATTGTCCTGGTTCATCTCTCCATGCTAATCGCTCAATTTTGTTTTCGAAGAAAATATCGCTTCACTACCCTCAATAAACCCATTTTCATTTCCAGCATGTAATATAATGTATCTAAAATATATTAGTTTTAAATTTTATAGTGCAAATTGTGTAAAAGTACATACCTTTTACCATCTGTTCTAATAGCTTTCACGCTTTTTTGGTTTCCATTTTGCCAAGAGCGACCTATGGTCCCATTTTGAAATATCCAAGTTTCATCGAGGAAGACAAACTGGTATAAGGCCTCAACCTTGGCTTGATTGTATTGCCTTAGAAATTCCACCCTTTTCAAAGCTATACTTGGTAGTTCCATGAGCCCTCGTCGCGGATTGTCCTTAAGCCACTTAAATCCAAGATCTCTAAGCAACCGCCTTAAAGACGTGGCACTACCATCAAATAATGCCCTATCTCTTAATCGAGACCATAAAGTTTGTATCGTAACTTGTTCTTCTGAAACCATGTGTAATATGACATTATAATTTAGTTAACAAATTAATGCAAATTTCTGATAAGTTATTATAATAAGATCTTACTTTTGTGATACATATTATAGATCACTTCTCGAATGGCACTTGAATCTAATGTCGCTGTGTTGGTTACACGTTTAATATAACTCCGCTTTTTCTTGGGCGATTCTAAATTTGCATCACTTTTCACACCCTCGGAAATACGACTAACTGTCCTTAAACTAATTTTTAAAGCAGCAGCAACACGCTACAAAAAATGAAATAAAATTTCACTATTATTAATATACATTACATATAATTATTAGTAACCTACCTCTTGAACAGCATTTAAAGGCAACAAAGGCCCGTTGTTGTCCCTTTCTTGCTCAAAGTAGTGCGTTAACGAGGCCACGAGTTCCTTACACCGACTATTTAACTGTTTGGGCATCTTTATATACCAAAATTGCCTTTATCTACTCGTAAAATGAATAATTTTGTTTTGAAACAAACAGTTGTTGATTTACAGTATGCGGGGCCAAAGGATTTATAAAGATTTGAAATGCCACAAATTGATTCAGTGTCAAAATTAATACAAATGTGTTCCCAGTTTAAATAAGTTTCAAGGTGACAATGTGTCAACGCTGCGAAATCGGTTTAGTGCGTTTACATGTCGATAAGTGATTGGAGCGTTTGCAAAACATTTTATTTCGCATAATGCGTCTAAATTTATCAGAAAGCAACTTATGTGATATTTTAATAACAATGTTTATATGATTATTAACCATAATAAGAGAGTAATGACCATTTTACAATTTATATATCACATTAATATGAAACTGCAATAGAGCAATTGTTTGTGATAGAAACCTAGGCATTAGGTCGGGGAATTTTTATCGTGATGACGTGCACGCCACTTTGTTTGGCGTTGACTATAGTCTGTAGTTGACTGTTTTTGAGTTTTAAGCGATGTAGGGCCGTATCGTCAGTCGTTTCTACAATTGTTACAATAGTTTTCTACTCTTCCGTGTCAGCGCTCTATTTTGAGGTTATGTTACAGATCTATTAACATCGAATCGTTCATGCTTTTGATTTATAACATCTGTTATACAGCCTGAAATTTCCTACAATTCATGAAGAAAACATGGTCTGGCAATAGGAGAACGCCGACATGAAATAGTAGAAAGCTAGAAATATACCAGCGTTTCTGATCGAGAGGAAAGACTATGAAAATCAAGGAGGCCATAAAGGCGTGCTACGATTGTAGGAACGACTGACGATACGGCCCTAAAAACAGTCATTTTCAATGCTTGAGAACTAGGTTAAAAATCCCCATTTCTGAAATTACCAAGTACTTAAATCAAGGTTTAAACCCTATCAAAAGCTACTTTGACCGAATTTTTGAGCATTGAGACTAATTCACTGGACAACAAATTTTAGTTTTTTAATTGTATCTTGTGGGAAAAGTGCACTTCTTTGTTAATTTTGGGGCGCTGAATCCAAAAATGATAATGAAATAAAAAAATTAGTTGCGGTTTAGAAAAAAAACTTTTTATTTTTAAGGATATATTAAAAAAAGTAACAAGATTCATATACTTATAAGAATCACTATATGCGCTGTCTTTTTGCTGTTCTTTTATGGATCGTTTCTGGGGCATCTCTACCAAGAGTCCAACAGTAGTCTGCAAGCATGGAATGATTCCACTTTCCCTGGTACCTTTTTTCCATTGTTGAAATATCCTAATATTTTGTTGATTTTATTTAGGATATTTTGTGGCTGTTGATCAGTGTTATTTCCAGGCATTGAAACGCTATACTCGAGAACGGTCATAATAAAGCTTTTGTTCAGAACGATCCAAAATAACTAGGGTGCAAAAAACATTTTTTATTTGTTTAAAAAAGTTGTTTAAACAAGTTTGCATCAGGTTTGCCTTGTCACAAGAAAAGTTATCTTTTTAATCCCACTTTCTACAACTCCAATATACCGTATTAAAGTAGAATACTATTTTTTGTTACATACTCTACAGTCAACATAAAGTATCTCATATCGGTCACTCCACTGTTATTTACCTGATTTGAGTCATCTAGATCTGTGGTTCTATTCAGACTTGTCGTGGGTGATCTGTGTTTTGCCTGCCTCTGACCTGCATCTTGTGACTGAAAAAAATAAAAAGGGTCAAATAGGTTATCTAGAATCATTGATCAACGCAACGTCCAACCTTATGATATACTTGGATGTTCACGTACAATTTCCGTCGTCACGGCTACGTTGCAAGTATACTAAGTGACAGATAAATCCGAACACCCAGTTTAAATGGTTTTATTTTAATAAAATTTTGTATAAGTACTTAATGAAGCATAATAAGTAAATGATACTCGAAGGTCATAGTTAAGGTCATGGACAAGGACTTACTTGAACGTAAAGTTTAGCGTTCTTCAAATTTCTGGTGTCAAAAATACGGGTTTCATTTAAGAAAACTGTCTTGACCTTCAAATGACCCATAGTCAAGGTCACGTTGATGGTTATCACCAGATGACCCTTTTCAAACATTACTTTGTTCTAGATTTCTAGAACACTGTATTCTAAAGAACGTATACTAAGTGACATATAAATCCGAACACCCAGTTGCCTGACAACACCTAACCACAGTGTCTACACTTCTTTGCACTCTAACTACAATTGCCCGAAAAGAAAGTCCAGCTTCCCGAAGTCCCACTATACGGCCCCTATCAAACTCACTAAGTTGACGAAATCGTACAGGTCTCCGTACTCTAGGCATCGTAACCGATCGTAAAGGATGTCAAGAACCAAAATCCGCCAACGTTGATTCTTTACTGCGGCTGAAATATTCATTTTTAGAGCGTTATTGAATTAAAAAAAAGCAGTATAAAAACCGGAATGTCCAAATGATAAGGCTGAAAATTTTTTCACTTGTTATTTACAGTAAGATAAATACATTCACCAACTTTTATTAAAATAAAACCATTTAAACTGGGTGTTCGGATTTATATGTCACTTAGTATAGATTGGTAGTTAACTAAAGTATAAGGATTACTATGAATACGTTATTTCAAAAATTGCCAAAAAAACAAATTCTTATTCTCATAGTCTAACTACATATTCCAAAAAAGAGTTTATAATACAATTATCAACTTGTTCACTGCCAATAGTATTGAATAAAAAAAGTACACCAAAATAAAATCTATGTTACAAGAATTGCAGTGGTTGAATATAAAAAATTCAATATATTCGGTATTTATTTTTATATTTAAAATAAATAATCACCTTTTGCCACAACATTTAGAACACTACATAGAATTGAATAATCATTACCACAATTATTATACAAGAGAAAGTATTGATTTCCATTTACAAAACTGCAATAGTAATATAACTAGCAAATCAATATTTCAGAAAGGATTATTTGAATTTATTCAACGAACTAAATAATGATATGAAGTCTACTTGTAATTTGAAGATTTTTAAAAGACAATTAAAGGAATATTTCAAGGACTTAGATATGCAAATTTGTTTCTCTAAATATCTGTATGTTATGTAATTGTTGTGGTTTTTTAAAAGAATGTTTTTATTACTTATTATGCTTCATTAAGTACTTATACAAAATTTTATTAAAATAAAACCATTTAAACTGGGTGTTCGGATTTATATGTCACTTAGTATATTTCCACGATCATTACATCGCAATTTTTCCGCAAAGAAATTGCTCTAAAAATAATAATCGAAGTCGAGCAAGTATCGCGATCTGTAATACATAATATATCAGTATCGATGTGTCGGTATCGATTGCAAGGTCGCAAGTTAATTGATTGTGTACTAGTAAAAAAATTATGAAAAATGTAATGTGTACGTTACCTGTTTTTTATTAGCGAACTTGGACCCCTCGTTACACATAATATGTAAATTGTTTGAGTTAATTTCGCGCGAATAGTGTGGTTGTAAAATTATCTCATTAAATTAGGTGAGGGCCAGGGAAATATATACAAAAAAGCACTATGATAATTGAGCTAGGCATTTTACGAGCATCTATGTTTTGACATTAATCGTGAAAATTGTCTAAAACAAGGATATACCAGAAGAATATCTAATCACTAAAACCGACTTATCAACTTATTTGAATGCACAAAGTTGAACGTATAGAAAAAAAGTACTTACAAGGTACTGCATGGTTATCGTGTAAAATTAACAGAAAGTGGCATCCAAAAGCAACTCGGCGAGACGTTCAGACAAGGCGCATACTCCCGACTTTTTTCAAAATCATAACACCGAGCGCTTCACATCAATCCCAAAACGTTGCTCCGATTCTTTCCTGTTCGTAGTACCGATACAAGTCCGAATAATTCAGAAACCCGTCACGAAGTTGAAAAGTCATTGCAATGCCACTCATAATTTTTCACGCTAACAGCTCAAAAAGTAATCGAAAACATGTTCCCGGTTTTCTTTCCTAGTCAAGTCAGCATTCTAGGTAATTGCATCCGAATAATTCAGATCCTTGACACGAATTTCAATGCACACACTCCTAAATTTTTAACAGCAACTTCAAACTCAAGCCTCAATTTTCTTCTTGTCCGTATTACTACGAATATGTACTACTGTATACGCGCACAATATTGTTACGTTTCTCTCGTGTACCAGCCTAACGTTGGATGACTCATAGAGACAATTATTTATTTACGAGATATATAGGTGAACCTAAAATAGGGTATCGCAATTATAGGGGTAATATTAGATGTTATTTCCTTCCTATATGTTGTTCCACATCACTGCGAGTGAATGTATATACAGGGTGTCCATAAAGTTGGGACAGGGGAGGAGGGAAGTCTTGGCTGATTAGCGCAACTGATACATCATCATTAGTGGAGATACATTCGGCAGCAAAGTAATTTAAAAAATGGAGAATTAACTGACCCGAGAGGCAAGTGAATGTTGAAAATGGCCACCATGACTCTCCACGCAATAATAAAGATTTTGCTCAATACGTTGCCGCGCATTTCGCAATATTTGAGGAGTAATTTGAAGGCACTCATGCACAATTCTTTGTCGCAGGTCTTCCAATGATGTTGGCTGAGTAGCATAGATTTTGCTTTTTAAATGACCCCACATGAAGAAATCCAAAGGTGATAAATCTGGCGATCTTGGGGGCCATTCAATGGCACCTCTTCTACCAATCCATCGATCTGGAAACGTGTGATCTAAATATTGTCGAACACGTAATGCGTAATGTGGTGGGGCACCTGTACGATTTCGTCAACTTAGTGAGTTTGATAGCGGCCGTATAGTGGGACTTCGGGAAGCTGGACTTTCTTTTCGGGCAATTGCAGTTAGAGTGCAAAGAAGTGTAGACACTGTGGTTAGGTGTTGTCAGGCATGGCTTCGAGAAGGCCGTACGCAAAGTGCACGGGGCACTGGACGCCGCCGTAGAACAACAGACCGTGAAGATCGCCGCCTAAGATTATAGGCCTTAAGGGACCGTTTCTCCACTACCAGGTCCATTGCAAATGAATGGTTTGCAGAACACGGAAGACCTATTGGCATGCGAAGTGTTTACCGACGAATGAGAAGTTTTGGCTTGATTTCATACCGGTCACACTGGGTCCTCCCTTTAACTCGAGAACACCGACGTAATCGCCTTGAGTGGTGCAGACAACGGTCACTCTGGGATCAGGAATGGAACAGTATTGTCTTTAGTGACGAGTCTCGATTTTGTTTAGGCATGCACGATGGTCGTGCCAGGGTTAGAAGGCGACGTGGTGAAAGGAGGAATCCACAGTTTTTTGTTCATCACACTGTTGGAGTTATGGTTTGGGGTGCTATAGCTTATGGAAATGAAAGATATAAAAAAAATTATAATATTAACCACTCACCTACCGACAAAAACTGTCCATCGTACAAATATTATCAGGAACAACAAAACTTAAGGATACTTTTTTAAAATTCAAGTTCATCTTTTACTACTCCTATCTCTAAAGAGGACCTAAAAATGTCAGTAAATAAATACATTAATGATTTCCAAATTCCAAGTATTGCAACAAATATAGCACAAAACGTCGATGAACTTAATTTATGTACACAAAATTCTGATGCAAAATTTCGAATTTTTAATATGAACATAAGGAGTATAACACACAACATTGATTACTTAAAAATACTACTTGACCAAATATGGTACAATTTTGATCTAATAGTTTTAACTAAAACGTGGCAGGTGGCTGATATTTCTTGCTTCAATCAGCAGGGATATGACACGCTGTATAACTTTGGCACTTATAACCAAAACGATGGCGTGATAGTTTTTGTAAGAAATAAACTGCAATATAATCATGATACATTCACTTTCACCGATGGAATCAAAATTTTAAACATAATGATCCAAATTAACCATAACAAAATTAAGGTATCTGCAATTTATCGTCCGCCATGTTCAGAACCCCATGAGTTTTTAAAGAATATCGAATTTTTTTTATCAAAATCAAAATAAAGTTCATTTAAAGCAACATATTTTCTTGGGAGATGTCAATATAAATATTTTGGACGATGATCCCAGCACAAATGAATACTTGAATATCCTATCAAGTAACGAATTTCTGTCCTATATAAACCTACCTACAAGGTCCATCAGTGGCACATGTATAGATCACTGCTTTGTGAAAGACCTATCCAACAAAATTACTTGTATACCAATAATCCTAGAAAGCGATATTACTGACCACTTCTCCACTATTTTACTGATATCTTCAAATGAAAAACATTCTAACATCCCTACCGTTAGTAACAACCAGGAAAATTACAAATTTTTTGTCGACAATTCAAAACTAATATCAAATGTCAAACAAGAATCCTGGGAACAATTATAATCTATAAATAATATAGACAAAGCAACGGGACTGTTCATAGAGAAAATAAAAAAACTAATAGATATTAGTACCAATAAAGTAATAATTAGTCACAAAGAGAAAAGCAGAAATGCCTGGATTACCAAAGGATTAATAACATCGGCAATAAAAAAGAAAGACTATATAATGTAATGAAACTAACGCCAACTACAGAGAATACCGACTGCTACAACCAATATAAAAATAAATTTATAGAGCTTGTAAGGCAAACCAAACGAAAACATTACCTAAATAAATTGAATAATAACTTAAATGATCCTAAGCGGCTTTGGACAACTATTGATGAGATTACTGGGAAAACAAAAGTTAAAGAGTGTGTCACTGAGTTAAATACAACATCGGGAACAGTATTAAAAAATACTCAACAGATATGCGATGAATTTGTACAATTCTTTACTGACATAGGCGAAAATTTAGCAAGTAATATACGAGCAAATGTACAAAATACTCAGCCTCCAAAAAGAACTTTGAACTCATTTATTTTGGATAAAGTCGAGCAATGTGAAGTATACACCACTGTTATGTCCTTAAAAAATCGGAAAAGTCCTGGGTTCGATGGTATTAAAAGCGAGCATTTGAAAATTATAGCCGAGGACATAACAGAACCACTCACTTACCTAATCAACAAATGCTTTGAATCTGGCATATATCCCTCAATTTTAAAAAAAGGTAATATAATACCGATACATAAATCAGGAACAAAAACAGATGTTAACAACTATAGACCAATATCAATAATATCCAGTGTAGCAAAGGTTTTTGAAAAAGTTTTATCTACTAGAATGATTCGATACCTCACAAAATTCAAAATTTTAAGTGAAAATCAATATGGATTTACAGAAGGGAAGGCTACATCGGACGCAATAACTAAAATTGTAAATGAAATACATCAAAATATTGATAACAGAATCCCTTCAATCTGCATTTTTGTTGATTTAAAGAAAGCTTTGATAAATCTATAATGCAGCGATCATATCTCTATTTAGCGCCTAAATTTTATGAAATTATACCTAAAGACTTAGAAGATTTACGTTTCGGAAATTGTTTCAAAAGAAATTTAAAAAAGTGGCTACATTCTATATCTAGGACTGAAATTCATAAACTCATAAATACGAACATCAACTAAATACATAATCTACTGTAGCTAATTTTTGTCCTTTTTTGTCATTTGCATTCTACAGTTTCAACTTAAATTTATTGGTCCATGTACAGGCGATGCCTTCTATTGGGCCTGTTTTGATTTTATATTTATTTACTCATATTGTTTGTTATCTTTGTACACTGAGTGAATAAATATTATTATTATTATTGTGGTTCCAGGTCACCTTTAATCTTCATCAGAGGTAACATGAACGCGCAGCGTTATATCCACGAAGTTCTAGAACCCCATCTTTTCCTATCTTGACACCCTGGCAGATCCAACTTTCCAACAAGATAATGCCCGACCACATGTTGCAAGAGTCACAATAGACTTCTTTCAACATAATGATGTCACATTGTTACCATGGCCACCAAGATCTCCCGACTTATCCCCAATTGAGCACGTGTGGGATATGATGGGTAGGAGATTGCTCAATTTGCAACGTCCTCCTCAGACTCTAGAAGCACTTCGAGAGGAGTTGGTGGTTGCCTGGAATGAGATACCACAGGAGGACATTGACCATCTGATCAGAAGCATGCCTAGGCGCGTTGGAGAATGCGTAGCACATCAGGGTGCATCCACACATTATTAAAGGTCAAAGGGCTTTAAAGCAGTGCAATCATTTTGAAATTTTTATCATTTACTTATTATGCTTCATCAAGTACTTATACAAAATTTTATTAAAATAAAACCATTTAAACTGGGTGTTCGGATTTATATGTCACTTCGTATAGATAGTATAATAGTGGTCTCAAGACTGATCCCTGAGGGACACCACAGTCACTAGATCATACATGAGGGTCTGAGTGGGACTTAACGAGATAGAACAGCAATCACTTTCACTAAAAATCCTGAAGTAACAAAAAAACATATTGTCAAGGTTATGTGCAAAAAGCCCTTCTAATGACCTATTTATTCAAAGAGAGATATTCGATACACGTCAACTTTATGCTTTCAACCTACTCTAATTTCAGTACAAAAACAGGGTTTCAGACCCGGCAAAAGACCTGTCGCATTGTTCCGAAACCAGAAAAATCGTTACTATTGAGGTCATGGACATTCCTTGGACCCCATATGTACAACAGTATTCCTCTACAATGTAAATCATTTTAAAAAAAAAGTGAAACAATGGATACATAAAATACCCAGGGCAGTTATCCACGACTACATTACCGCAAAAAGCTTGTACTTACCGACACCTTAATAAAACAATGATTGCAAATGAAAGTCAGACTGAATCGACAAAGTACCTAGTTTTAATTAAATACTCTTTAATCTGTCTCCTTTTTATATTTGATATTATGTCAGTTTCCTTTTACATTTTTGCACTTTCCTAGTGTTTATACTAATGTGTTTTTTTTTTAGTTTTACTTAGCTCATTTATCTTTTATAATGTTTGAATTTTATTAAAGTTATGTTGTTTCAAGGTTTAGTTTCTATCTATCGTTTAATGCCTAGCACAAGTTTATCTTTTTCGGTTTTTCCGTGTTTATTGTACAATTGTATTATTCGAATGTATACCTTTGTACATTATTATTTTCCTCTATTTCTAGGCGCATATTCATAGGAGAATAGCATGCCATGTTACTGGGTGTTTCCCTCATCCTGAACGTAAACAACAATTAGCAACATCCTCACATACTACTGCAAGTTAAGTCAATTTAAATTCATTTTACACTATTGTTGCTACTGTTATCAATGTAATTGCAGCTCCTGATGATGATGGAAAAGTCCATTGAAAGCTAGAGAGAATAAAAAAAGTATAAAGATCCTCCTTGCTTAAAATTTTTGTCGCGTAGCCAACAAAAGGCGGAAGCTTTAATTTTTCACCTATATATGTATATATATATATATATATATATATATATATATATATATATGGGTGTTTCCCTCAACCTAAACGTAAATAACATTTAGCAACAACCTCACATACTACTGTAAGTTAATTTAAAATTCATTTTGCACAATAGTTGCTATTTTTCTCAATGTTATTGCCGCTCGTGATGATGATGGCAAAGACCATTGAAAGCTAGAGACTAATAAAGTATAAAGAGTCCTCTTTGCTTAAATTTTGCCGAAGTACCCAACAAAAGGCGGAAGCTTTAATTTTCACCTATATATATACAGGGTGGCTTTGAAGTTGAGTCGTTAATTTTCAGATGATGATTGTAGAAGGAAGATAAACCAAAATATGTGTGTAAAAATAAAAAAAAATCATGTCCACAAGTTCAGCATTTTCGTAAACACGTGCCATTTTTGATTTCGTTTGAGCCACGCAACGGACACCACTATTCACTCACGCGTTACCGACTGACACTGACTGTATACAACTGAATAAAATAATTGTAAAAACATCGTTCCAAATTCTTTCGCTTTTTTGTTTCCGATGCGATGAACCGATAAGGCGGTTTATATCCGTTGTTGCCAAACACGAGCACATAATATTATTATTGAGACAGGGCGGTACTCAAACTTCCAAAGGGCTATAACTTTTTTACTTTAATTTTACCAGAAAAATGGTAAAGAAAAAAAACATTTCTTTTGATCAGATCTACTCACTGTTAAAATAAATGACTCAACTATAAGCTCACTTCGCTACAAATTTGTAATGCTCTATATATTTCTGAGGATCAATATTGAAACACTTATTTCATCGAGCTATATTTTACCTGTCGCAACCGTACTATTTTATTAATCTTCACCTCTCTGGAAACAGTTCCACCGCGGATGTTCCATTCCATTGGATAACGTAATTATGCACTGGACATCCATTTCTATTTGTATCCATTCATATGCGAAATGGCGGGTTATTTTTAAAATCTAGGCACCCTGCTGAATTAATATGAAATATGAGATTGCTACTTTGAGGAAGTGGCCAAACTTGATTACATTACCCTGTTGTCTCAGTCGAGCTAAAATCCCCGACATGTAAGTTTCTGGAGACAAAAATTCTAGGTATATTTAAAAAAATACAATAATTTCGAAAAATATCCGCATAAAAACTCGCATCCTGCATGAATCGGGTTAGTAGAACTGGTCGAGTATAAAGACCGCATTTGGGTGCTTGTATCTATTGATCTACATGTCTTTAGCATCAGTGATATTTAGAAGATTATTACTGAATATGCTGTCCATGAAGTTTATCTATTAGCTGGAAAGGGTTCGATTGATTTCCGTTAATCGTAAGCAACGCTGAAAGTTGACATCATCGGAGGAAAGACAGATAAGTTCAGACATGTAGGTTTTGTGGCAAAATGGATTGTAAAAATTAGGATTATCCTCGTCGAACCCGAGAATATTTTCAGAGCTGATACAGAGGAATCTATACTAAGTGACATATAAATCCGAACACCCAGTTTAAATGGTTTTATTTTAATAAAATTTTGTATAAGTACTTGATAAAAATTTCAAAATGATTGCACTGCTTTAAAGCCTTTAATAATGTGTGGATGCACCCTGATGTGCTACGCATTCTCCAACGCGCCATTCCAGGCAACCACCAACTCCTCTCGAAGTGCTTCTAGAGTCTGAGGAGGACGTTGCAAATTGAGCAATTTCCTACCCATCATATCCCACACGTGCTCAATTGGGGATAAGTCGGGAGATCTTGGTGGCCATGGTAACAATGTGACATCATTATGTTGAAAGAAGTCTATTGTGACTCTTGCAACATGTGGTGGGGCATTATCTTGTTGGAAAGTTGGATCTGCCAGGGTGTCAAGATAGGGTAAAAGATGGGGTTCTAGAACTCCCTGGATATAACGCTGCGCGTTCATGTTACCTCTGATGAAGATTAAAGGTGACCTGGAACCAAAAGCTATAGCACCCCAAACCATAACTCCAACAGTGTGATGAACATGTCCAACTGATAAGGCTGAAAAATGTTTCACTTGTTATTTACAGTAAGATTCACAAACTTTTATTAAAATAAAACCATTTAAACAGGTTATTTTATTTCGGATAATTTTCTGGACGCCGAAATACAGTAGATGATTGGCTAACTTCATGTAGAATACGCTGTACAACTCCTTTTTCATTTAAAATGTACTAACCTTGGCGCTGTCAACCGATCCATGACTGAGCGTCTTCACGTGATGCGGTCCATGGTATGTCGTAGCTGCCGGTGCCGGCGACACTTGTTGCTGAGCTTCGGCCAGCCTTGGTCTGCAAGGCGAGGCGCTTCTGCTGGAAGTCTTGCTGTTCCCCGCCATGCCGATCACGTGACTGCCGACGACCGCAGATGCAGATGGGGTGCTGGTCACGTGCAGGCTATCCATCTCGATCAATCTAGTAGAAAGATTTATTTAGCACATTTGGCTACATAAACAGAATAATTGTAAACGACTTAGAACTAGTAAATTCAAGCCATATGGTGTATGATGTAAATGCTGGGCAACCTATAATTGTAGATTTAACAGGTGATTTCTCAATTTTACTTTAAATTTTGTCAAAGTTTTCTGGTCTTTTATCTCCGAGTATAATTTATTATATTCAATCAACCCTTGATGGAATACAGATTTGTAGCATATGTTATACTTTTTGGTCATTAAATGGAAGTCATCTTTATTTCTGGTATTATGTAAATGATGGTCGACATTTGATGATGTTAAATTAGTTAGACTTGATGGAAATATATTATTTTTTACTTTATAAATGAATATCATTTCAAGATATTTGATAAAAATTTTTACATTGAGCCTTTTTTATTTGCTTAGCATTTGCCTAATTGGAGTATATTTATCTTTATTTAGTATTATTCTCATGCACTTATTTTGTAAAATTTGCAGTCTTTCAAAAATGGAATTATTTGCTAAATATAGAATAGTCGAACAGTACAAGAAATTTGGAAGAATGATGGTATTATAGATAATTTTTCTGCTATATGAACTCAGACATCCAGAAACTCTCCCACTTTACTACTAATCTTATTTATAATTTTTTCATAATGAATATCAAAAATTAATCGAGAGTCAACAAAAACCCCCAGGTATTTAAAATTTTCTACGAATTCAATATCTTCACCATCAATGTTCAGTTGAACATTTGTACATTGTTTTTTTCCGATTAACAATGCTTTCGTTTTACTTGCATTTAATTTTAGTCTGTTAGATGCTAACCATTTTGAGACAAGCTTCAAGTCTTCATTTATATAAGAGATACCAGGCTGAATATTTTTTGTACTTATTTAAATCATAGTGTCATCGGCGAAAATCTGAATTTTGCATTTTTTGACTATGGCAGGTAAATCATTTATGTATAAAATAAACAGAAGTGGTCCCAGGATACTGCCCTGTGGAACACCCCCAACGTATTTTCAATTTTTGATGAAATAGTGTCATTAACTTTTGTAACTTTCATCCTTATAGACAAATAATTTCTAAACCAATCTAAAACACTTCCTGTTATACCATATGCCTTCAATTTACCTAACAAAATATCTCTATCAATCGTTTCAAATGCCCTCTTCAAATCCAAAAATACTGCTATGACAACTTCTTCTGAGTCTATGGCTCTTCTCCAATTCTCAGTTACCAACCGGCAAGCTGTTTCTGTGGAATATTTTTTTCGAAAGCCTGCCTGCGCCTCCACTAAAATTTTGTTTTCTTCTACAAACTGCATTAATCGGTCATGCACTGTGGACTCTAATAATTTTTCAATGTCTGGTAACACATTTACTGGTCTCATATCGCTGCATCTTTTAGAATTTTTTATTTTGGGAACTGGTGTTATTGTAGAGCATTTCAAATTTTCAGAGAAAGAACTGCTTCTCAGCGAACAATTGATCCAATTTAATACAGGATATCCCAAAATTTCGAAACAGTTTTTCAGCACGTTTTTAGTAGTCATTTCGGCACAGTTGTTATTTGATTTTAAACTGTTTACTTTTTTTCTTAGATAATTCAATGATACGCTGTGAAATTTTGAAAGTGTATGCAACATTTCCCCCTAGAAACTGATTTTCATATAGTCAGGTGCAGCATTGGCAGTACCCACAATATCAACAATCTGCAACAAAATTTGTTTTTCACGATCAATAAGAATTTAGAGAACGACCAAAAATAAAAAATGTCCTTTTCAAACGCCTAAGATCATTAGTAATCTACAGAAGTTCCGGCAATAAATTCTTTTCAAAATCAAGATTTGGGGACATTTTTTCTCTCTTTTTATTTTCTATGCCAATACATTATGGGTCTGCAGAAAATCCGCATCGGTTGCATGAAGTTCAGCACCAAGGGCGTTGCAGTTTAAACGTGTGGTGTGGCATACTGGGAGGCAGAATTATTGCGCCACATTTTTTGGAGCAATCCCTAAATGGCAATGTCTTTCTTGACTATTTAAACAATCAATTACCGTTGTTGTTGGAAGAGTTGTCACTGGAAACATGGCCAAACTTGTTTTGTAGTATACTAAGTGACATATAAATCCGAACACCCAGTTTAAATGGTTTTATTTTAATAAAAGTTGGTGAATGTACTGTAAATAACAAGTGAACAAATTTTCAGCCTTATCAGTTGGACATTCCGGTTTTTATACTGCTTTTTTTTAATTCACTAACGCTCTAAAAATGAATATTTCAGCCGCAGTAAAGAATCAACGTTGGCGGATTTTGGTTCTTGACATCCTTTACGATCGGTTACGATGCCTAGAGTACGGAGACCTGTACGATTTCGTCAACTTAGTGAGTTTGATAGGGGCCGTATAGTGGGACTTCGGGAAGCTGGACTTTCTTTTCGGGCAATTGCAGTTAGAGTGCAAAGAAGTGTAGACACTGTGGTTAGGTGTTGTCAGGCATGGCTTCGAGAAGGCCGTACGCAAAGTGCACGGGGCACTGGACGCCGCCGTAGAACAAAAGACCGTGAAGATCGCCGCCTAAGATTATTGGCCTTAAGGGACCGTTTCTCCACTACCAGGTCCATTGCAAATGAATGGTTTGCAGAACACGGAAGACCTATTGGCATGCGAAGTGTTTACCGACGAATGAGAAGTTTTGGCTTGTTTTCATACCGGCCACACTGGGTCCTCCCTTTAACTCGAGAACACCGACGTAATCGCCTTGAGTGGTGCAGACAACGGTCACTCTGGGATCAGGACTGGTTCTAGAACCCCATCTTTTACCCTATCTTGACACCCTGGCAGATCCAACTTTCCAGCAAGATAATGCCCGACCACATGTTGCAAGAGTCACAATAGACTTCTTTCAACATAATGATGTCACATTGTTACCATGGCCACCAAGATCTCCCGACTTATCCCCAATTGAGCACGTGTGGGATATGATGGGTGGGAGATTGCTCAATTTGCAACGTCCTCCTCAGACTCTAGAAGCACTTCGAGAGGAGTTGGTGGTTGCCTGGAATGAGATACCACAGGAGGACATTGACCTCCTGATCAGCAGCATGCCTAGGCGCGTTGGAGAATGCGTAGCACATCAGGGTGCATCCACACATTATTAAAGGTCAAAGGGCTTTAAAGCAGTGCAATCATTTTGAAATTTTTATCATTGCTTCATTAAGTACTTATACAAAATTTTACTAAAATAAAACCATTTAAACTGGGTGTTCGGATTTATATGTTACTTAGTATAGGCCACCTGATTAAATAACATTACATTAACTCTTGCGAATCGTCATTAGTGGAGTTTTCTTATAGAAATTGATAAAAGTAAAAAACAAACATATTTGTGATAAACATTTTATAATAGAGTCTGTAGCATATAGTTTTCATGGAATGTTATAAATCTGTTGAATTTTCTGTTATTAATTTGACATAATGTACCTTATTTGTACCACCGCCCTTCAATAGTTATTTCCCTTTTCAGGGAGTGAAAATGGATTCATTGCCTTTCAAATTAGTAGATATGACCTACTGCAGCAACTCAAAAAACAGATTCGGACCGATTCGATGGGTACCATTTGCAAGGTGCCTCTATGTTTAGGAAAAATAAATCATGTTTTCAGCGTTTTCATCAATAAACAATAATTTACATACATGTGTAATGGTACGTTATTCGTACCACCTGATTTTTTTGGAAATCATACAAGAAAAGTACAAGGAAAAACCTAATCGCTAGTTTTCTTATTACTGTCATTCATGTATGTATGGGGTTGTCCAAACGCATATTAAAACAAGAAAGATTGATATTCAAATCAAGTTGGGTACTTTATTTTGAAGGTTCATTTATACCATTTACGTATGAAAAATAATATCGCTCAAATGTTCACCACGACTGGATTTACAGACGTCCACGCTTTGGTCGAAATTTTCAATGACATTTTGCAACATGGTCGGTTCTAAGGCATTTATCTCGGCAATGAAGTTGTTTTTGAGTTCTTGGAGGGTGGCTGGTTTGTTGACGTAGACTTTGCTTTTCAAATATCCCCATAAAACGAAGTCCAAGGGAGTCAAATCGCACGATCTTGGTGGCCATGGCACATTTCCTCTGCGCGAAATCACGCGATCACCGAAGAAGGACTGCAATCGATGGATATTGACGTTGGTTGTGTGGCATGTTGCACCGTCTTGTTGGAAATAAACATCGTCCATATCCATTCCTTCAAGTTGCGGCAAAAAATAGTCCTCTATCATCACGTGATATCGCTCAGAATTGACGGTAACGGCGTCGCCGGCCGCATTTTCGAAAAAGTAAGGTCCGATGATGCCTTTTGACCACAATGCACACCACACAGTCACTTTTTGAGGATGCATCGGCTGCTCTTGATACTCACGGGGATTTACGTTCGCCCAGATGCGGCAGTTTTGCTTGTTTACCGTCCCATTCAAAGTGAAATGCGCTTCATCGCTGAACATGACTTTTGATGAAAAATTGGCGTCAATTTGGCGGTGTTCAAGGAGCCAATCTGAGAACGTTCGGCGCGAAAAATGGTCGTCCCGAAGCAGCTCTTGCGTCAATTGGAACTTGTAGGCGTGTAGAATGAGGAGCAAACTGGTTCTCGAAATGCCCAATTCTTGGGATCGACGCGTCGTTGATTGTTTCGGATCGTCTCTCACACTCTCCTTCACAACAGCAATATTTTCCGGTGTACGAACGCTCCTTGGCCGGCCAGAGCCTGGCAGATTTGCCACAGAACCTGTTGCCTCGAATTTACGCACCAGTCGACCGATGGTCGTTTCGTTTGGGCGGTTGTTGCGACCGAAATGTTCACGAAGCGCGCGAAACGTGTTTTTTATTTTTGCACCATTTTCGTAGTGCTCTTGAATAACTTTAATGCGGTCTTCAATCGAATACGACTCCATAGCGATCAACGGTAAACATTCAACTAACAAAATGACATGTCGGTGACAGAAAACAAAGATGGCGTCTATGTCAAATTGACGTTTACTTTCCTGCGTCCCTATTGGACAACTTGATAGTAACCTGTATAACTTGGAAAAGTAAATAAATCAGGTGTGCCCCTATAGGGTTTTTTCCCTGCCTCTGAAAGAGTTATTGGAACCGGACCGCCCAACGTGCGTGATGACACTTAAGGATTTTTCTGACAATATCCCAAATCAGTGTTTCCAATTACCTAGTTTCGTTCGTGTGTAGGCAATCCGTTAACTTGGCTTCATTAGTTACATGGCCTGCAGTTTGCGCGCCATATTGTCTATTCCGATACAATTTCCATTTTGCAAACTAGCGAATTGCTGTTATTATAGATGAAACGAAGTTATTCTGATATAGTTGCAGAATAATCAGTGTATGGATGTTGGCGCGTGGCCATGTTTATATAAATGTAGATGTATGCGTACCATACGTGTACGTAACTTAATGCAGTTGTAAGCAAATGACTTCACTAAGTGATTTCATGTGTTTAATTTTGAATTTAAATCGAATTAATGGACGCATCGATTTAGGATGTCACGCAAAATTTGAATCAATTAAAAAACACAGTATATGGTTATGTACAGGGTGTTTCAGTTTATTGTTGCATAACTTTAAGATTCGATAGAACTTTTAAAGCTAATGCATAAAGTCTATATAAACATGGGTCGAAAAATGCGTGGCTTCCGAAATACAGGGTGTTTAAAATTACTTTCTAAAATAGTTTTTTTTAAATATTTCGAACAGTATTTGATGTATAGCAGTGAACATTAGTATACAAGGGTTTTTTGGTACGGCAAAACGAACCATGGGCATAGTTTTACTGTAGCCGCTAGAGGGCGCTCTCTACTGTACCTGTAGTGTATTAAAATGACCGAAAATTTTTTCTTAGTGCAATTTTTTGCTTTTTGAATAAAAATACTGATTCTTCGCGCTTTTCAACATAAAAAAGCGCTAGTGTGAGTTTTCGTTATAGTTTTAGCCGTTTTTGAGATATTTCGATATTTAAGGTTCGATGCATTTTTAATTATTCATGGGAAATAATATTTTTTTTCTCATTTTCGATTTGGGCATTACAAGTAATTAAGATGATCGTTTAGATTGTGTTTTTAAACACAGCAATAATTCCTAACTCCAAATAAACACAAAAAAACAGAATATTAATTTGTTTAATTTTCCAATATTATTTTTAACAACTTAAATTAATTATTTACAACTAAAATGCTATTGGATAGTTAGGACAAACATACAAAATCTAAAGTAGTTGCTCGAAATGTAAACCCAATTGTTCAATACACAATTCACATCTACGAATGATCGAACGTGGTATAGCATTATTCAAATAAGGCGTTATTTCATCACATGCATTCCTGATTCTGTCTATTAGCATATCTCTTGTGGTTACGGGAGTCTGGTACACTTTTTCTTTTAGAAATCCCCACACAAAGAAATCTAATGGATTTAGGTCAGGGGATCGTAGAGGCCAGGTAACTGGTCCTCCACGGCCGATCCATCTTTCTGGATAATTTTCGTCCAGCCAGTTTATAACTATTCTCGAATAATGAGCTGGACAACCATCAAGCTGGAACCAGGACAATCTTCTTAAATCTAACATAATCATCCCACATATTTGCATGTTCAGCCTTTAAAAATTCCAAGAAGGTCGCAGCATTTAACCTTGCAGGCAAAAGGTAGGGTCCAAATAGTCAAATCACCCTAAATTAATGCCGAAAATTTCTTTCCCGAACTGCATGAGGATTTTCATGCGACCAAATATGTTGATTATGAAAATTTACCACTACACGTCTAGTGAAGCATGACTCATCGGTCCATAAAACGTTACTTAAAAACTCCTTATTATTATCAGTTCTATCAAGAATCCACTGACAAAATGTGATTCTTCGTTCTCCGTCCCCTGGCTGTAGTCCTTGCACAGGTTGCAAATGGTAAGGACGTCTATGGTCATTTCTAAGAACACTGTGAACATGGCTTGCTGACATTCCCAAGGCACCAGAAACTCTCATAACACTTGTGGTCGGATCTCTATCAAACTCACGCAGAATCATACGGGTAAATCTGCGCTGACGAACATTTATGTTTTGATCCATTTGGAGATTTCCAAAACCATTTTCAATTATTTGGCGATGCACTCTTACAAATACTGAGCGAGTTGGATGTCGTCTGTTTGGAAATCTTCGTGCGTATTCTCTGGCTGCTTCTGCTGCGTTTCCATTTACAAAGCCATACACAAAATGAATATCCGCTAACTCTTGATTGGAGAATAAAAATGGGATTTTTATAAAAATTACAAAAAAAAACAGGTAAAAGAAACTAAATTTCGTGCACTCACAATTGCAAAAAACGTTTCAGGTTTCAAAAGACAACAAAACTAACTGTCAGCTAATTGACGTTTAACCTTATTCTGCTTTCAATTTCAAAAATATTTGCAGGCACAGCCTACTTCTAAAAATTATCGAGATACTGACTTTTTAACGTTATTTTATCATAAATAATTAAAAATGCATCGAACCTTAAAAATCGAAATATCTCAAAAACGGCTAGCTATAACGAAAACTCACAGGAGAGCTTTTTTATGTTGAAAAGTGTGAAGTGCGAAGAATCAGTATTTTTATTCAAAAAGCAAAAAATTGCACTTAGAAAAATTTTTCGGTCATTTTAATACACTACAGGTACAGTAGAGAGCGCCCTCTAGCGGCTACAGTAAAACTACGCCCATGGTTCGTTTTGTCGTACCAAAAAACCCTTGTATACCAATTTTCACTGTTATACATCAAATATTGTTCGAAATATTTAAAAAAAACTATTTTAGAAAGTAAATTTAAACACCCTGTATTTCGGAAGCCACGCATTTTTCGACCCCATGTTTATATAGACTTTATGCATTGATTTCAAAAGTTCTATCGAATCTTAAAGTTATGCAACAATAAACTGAAACACCCTGTAGAGTAGCACAAAATAATAATAAACCGTCTTTTATTAAAAATAAATTATAGATAATACATATATTACCTATAATGAAGTTCAGCTATAACAGTTATTCTTACACTTAACCATTTACTGCATAAAAATATCAGGTGGTAGAAAAGTACAGCTCTACTACATGTAGATTGAAAGGAAAATGGGCCCGAAACTAATCCTAAACTATCAAAAAGTGTAATGCTGGAAGAAAAACACCTTTAGAAAGCTTCATTAAGCAGAACAACTTTTAGATGTTATCTAAAACTATATAGATCTAAGGGTGGATTTCACCAGGAGTGTACAGCGAATGACCTTCAAGTTCCAATCAACAAATTTTAGCAACCAATAGCTATGAAATGTTGAAAACAAAATATTGTCAAAGTATGAGATTGACAGCTTGTCATTTAAACATCACCAGCTTATTGAATAATAAGGAATTACTTATGATTCAGTGAAGATTTAAAAAAGTGTTTGATTTTTGAATAAAATGCATGTTTTAATTACTATTGTTGATTTTTTATTCATGTTTATATTATTTCTTCAATTGATATGCGATTTTACTGTTTTAACATCACCTACAGTGTGTTTTTTCCTATAAACCTCTTGCAGGTAGCCATTAAGCACCTACTTGATTACAGGCTCTACCAAAAATTTCATAGATATTGCTCGTTTCCAAACATTCATTCACTTTATTTGAAGAAAAACTGATGAAAATTTTTGCATAAGTTAACGAGTAATCTTCTAAGTGTTATACCATTTTGGAATCCTTATTAAATGCGCCAACTTTTAAGGTTACTTGCCAAACTCTCGTACTACATTTTTTTCCAGTACAGCCAGTTAAAGTTGAGCAAAGTTTACTTTGGAATACTTGGTTGGGAAATAAGTGGCAATTTTTCCTGAACGAGAGAAGTTGGCAGTAAGGTTGAGACACCGGTTTGAAGATGCATTATTCATCATTACATTGTAAAAATAAAATCCAAAAAAAAGTTAATATTTGTAGTAACAGAAGTTGACAGACTGCCGTAGGGTGTGAAATTTCTATATTTTTTTCAAAGACCTATAATTTTCAAAACACATACATAAATTTTTTTTAAATATTTTTCTGATAGCTGTTATGACTTTGCCTATCACCCGGTTTCGGCTTGACGTCGACTTCTGGGACACCCTGTATAAACTCTTGCGACATTTGCCAGCAATGGCAGTACGAAGTGCATCCCACAATGTTAATTTCTGTGCTGAACCATTTGAATACTTATCCATAGACTCATTCAAAATTTGAAACCAATATTTTGTCACAGTTACTGATGAATTTTTCAAAATTTTATCAATATCCAATTAGCTCTATAAACGCAATTGCGTGCTATGATCCATTTCTTTTCATTTTTTGGCATCTCTCATAAATTTACTTGTGATAATGGAACCGAATTTTTTTGTCACAAATATTCGTTCACAACGCGCTCTAGACGTCACTGGGCTTATATCACCGCAAAATTACAACAAAATTACGTAAAGGATATTTAAGAAAAACGATTTTTTTTTAATTTTAACACCCTGTATATTAAGAACGAATATTTTTCCGATCTATGTTTATATGAACTTTTTGTCTTCAAATTACCCAAAGAATCATCTGTTAAATTCATGGTACATCTCAATTAATCACAGAGCATTCACAAATTCCTAAACTTGTCTCAACATACCTTAGTTTCTTCTCAAATTCTCTTTAAGTAACTTCTGGCATACTAACTGAATTAAAGAATGACTGCGATGTTAACGAGTCTCCAGTTTAAAAAGCAATTACGCTACCATGAATATACATCACTGAGGAATGATTCACGATACAAGGGGATCCCAAGATGGAAAAAAGAGAGAGATAAATACCTCCATAAATTCCATAGAGTTAGTTGAACCATGGCTCTCACAGTTGCAAACAAACGCACGCTTGTCCGAGAGGAGATAATACGCGAATGATTATTATTCTTCCTTTGATGCACAGCTTAGCCGAGCGTATGCTGAATGAAATCAAGAAAAGAATAAAGACTTCATCACGGTTGTCCAGAACGTGATGTTATGCTTTGCTTGAACCTGCTTATCGGCGTACTTGACTCACTGGTGGATGGCACCGATTTGTATTTTGTTGACAAATGCTGGATTTGTTATCGGGTTCTTTATCTTTCTTTCGATTTGCGACGTTCCTTTTACTATCACTGATTCTTGAAATGTAGAGCCGAAATATATAAGCCAACAGGCTACTGGACTGATAACTAAATTTCATAGAATAAATTAGTATTTGTAACAGGAAAATGAAATAAATCGATTTCAATTTTTAAAAGCGCAAGATGGATATATAAGTGATGTGACGTCATACAAATTGTAAACAAAGAAACGTCAACGGTATGTCATTCGTGGACTAACGTCTTAGCTTTGCTTATTTTCGATGACATGGGGGGGGGGTAGGGGAGTCTAGATGATGATGACGTCATCGGTAGTTATTTACTTTTTTACACGAATGGCAACCCTCACGTTGTCTTTGCTTGAAAACGAAACGCATTTTCGGCGATTCCCGCAAATAATGCATACGTTTCCTCTATCAGTGTATTGTTTCGTTTAGATAGTACAGTGGGTAGACGTATTGTAAGCATAGTAAAGCAAGTTAACATTTGTGTTACCATTGATTCCATTAGCCAAAGTTTAATGTTTAAATAAGATGTCGTTTCACATAGACAAGTTATACCAAAAATTGTTTGAAAGTTTAAATGAATCTCATACAAGTACGAAAGTACAAAATGTACAAAAGTTAGTTAACAAAGTGTGGCCAAATTACAAGCAAAATCCGACAAGGAACTAGAGATTATTGTATCTAAGAGAATCGAAGAAGAATTGCAAGCGGTGACTAAGAATAAATCCAATCTACTAAATTTTTTTTCTAAGGTGAGTGACGAAATCATTTTAGGTACGTATGAGTACTAGAAATATTAGAAATCGCCAAAAAGTTTCTCTTTACTGATTAGAAAATATTATGGCCTATCTTAAAGTATAACAGGTAATAAACATTATATTATAGATTTATTTGTTATGATTGATTCCGTCAATTGGTCACAAAGTACAGGATGTTAGTTTCATACATATATACAGAAAACTAACACCCTGTATTTTGTGACCGGAACGAATTGCTCGTTTAAACATATTAGATTTAAAGCCATAGGGTTTTGTATATACCATACTTTGTATTTATGTAGCTTAATAAGAGAATCTTTAGCGGAAGCCATAGAAAGTTTTTATTTTTAGGCAACCTGTAAACTTGCAGAAAAAACACAATTTATACAGTCAGCTTCAAATATTAGAAAAGAGGAAGAAGATAAAATAAAACCCGGTAATGAATCACAACAGCAATGCGAAATTAATGAAAATACAGATAAACAGAGAGCAAAACCTTCTCAGGAAGCAATGAAAAATAAGGTTGCTCTACTCGAAAAAAATCTGAATGCTTTGTATTCTGAAAGAGATAGTATGCCAAGCCGTGCTGAAGTTGATAAACAGATCACTAAGTTGCGCGAGGAAATAAAAACAGCAAAACAGCCTTTAAACAGGAAGGTCCGAAACGCAGTTGCCCAGAAGAAACACAGGGATGGTATGAAAAGAAATTTAGAAGATATTTGTCACGAAAATCCAGAAATAAAAAAAGACTATCTCCGAGAGATTCAGTGGGGCATCCTAATCTTGAAAGCAATCAACATTCACTATGGAAAACTGCTGATATAGCTTTATTTGGGAGTGCAGCAGATGATAAAGGACGAACGGAATCAATTCGCAGCGTAAAAACTGTTGATGAACTCACACAAGAACCACGTAATATAGGATTTTACATTAGTCGCAGTGGGACATATCTTCGTTTGATTCCCAGAAAATCTAATTCTGCAGAGGGACGAAGACATGTATCGACAGTCCCTGTTAAGCTCATTCGGGCTCAAACTGATCACCACAAGAGCCACAAGTTCGCTGAAACATCAATCCATTATTTAGAGAACATAGCTTCCATACTTGGACCAGATCAAGTATTTTTCATATCTCAAGATGATAAAGCTCGAGTCCCTATTGGCGTAACTGCGGCAAATAAGCAAGCACCTCTTCTAATGCACATGGAATATAGAATCAAATTGCCCGATCACGATTGGGTAATCGCTGAGCGTCATAAATTAATACCATCTATTTATGCTGGTATCAAAATCACTTCCAATATGCTAGGACAACCTCAAGCCGTTGGATATTCTGGACCAACATACATCGCTATTCGAAGTGGAAAGCATAGTTCATCTACTGCTAATACTCATGCTCAGGATTTCGAGACGCTTCTCGAACTTGAAGAGTTTCGACCATTAGCTAAAACTGACCATGGACTAGTAAAACCAGTGGTAATCATGATGGTTGATGGAGGGCCACATGAAAATCCACGTTATCAAAAAGTCATAAGGGTTTTCTATACAACACTTTAAGCGACATGATCTCGATGCATTGTTTTTAGCTACCAATGCTCCTGGAAGAAGTGTGTATAACAGAGTAGAGCGCAGAATGGCTCCTCTTAGTCAACACGCACACTGATAGGAAAGTTAGACCAGTAAGAGTCGGTGCTCGTCGTGCATAGAGTTATAATTATAATATTAAAAAAAACAATACATTAATTGACAAATGTTTACGTAAGCATGGGGGGAGGGAGTAAGAGCTTTGCTTACTTTTGCTGACAAGGGGGATGGGGGGGTAAACAATTGTAATAAATCTGCTTACGTAATACTTGAACGGCCCCTTAGATAATAGTAATGGACAATTTTTTACATAGAAACAACATGAGAAAATACACAACATTAAAGCAATTTTATATTTGTAATAACAGGATGAAATTGATGAGGTAAGAAAACATGATACATAATATGTATTATTGTTACCCAGTAATATAAATTCAAAGAGAATATGAGCATGTAAATTCAGTCCTAAAATGTCAATGAGTGGATATGATTTACTAATTAATCAAACGTGATATAATGTTTCTTGAAACAGATAAATTGTATTATCAAATCAAGATACTGCTTGCTGATTCATGATAAGAAAGGATAGCAAAATCTCACAGGATATTTTTGAATAAAAAAATTAAAAAAATGTGAATAAAAATAGGAAAATTAATGAATGATTCTAATATAGATGCAGCATTTAATGCAAAATTAAAAATAATAGAAGATAATTTTGCAGAAAATATGAATAAAAATGATTGAAAATATTGTAATAAGAAAAATATGTTGCAGTAAATTAAGAAATATAAAAAAATATACTACAAAATTATTTTAGATAATAATAATATGAATTCAACAAAATATCACATGATATTTTTTATCAAAATTTAATACCTTATCTCAATACACAAAAATATTAGACACCAATCCATTGAAACACCAATTATACCATTTGTGATAAACTATTTGTATTCAGAACCGACGATACGACGATAGAAAAAAAACACGATTCATAGGCCACACTCTTTAATGACATTTGTTCGTGTTATTTATTATATTCAACATAAATCACTTTATGGGCGCATTCGATAACACAACTGTTGAATGACAAATTTCTCGTTTCGATCTCGAAGTTCGGGGAGGGACTTTTATCTAGAAAGGCAGGATATTACTCACCTATGGGAACTTTCACCATTGTCTACGGTCGTTAAAATTGAAAAATCTCGTCAAGAAATGCACAAAAATGAATATCCGCTAGCTTAACGAACAACTTTCAATTGATTACATGCAAAACTGGGTGGAATACCGCTTGTAAACAGCAATCATTTCAAATGGTACTCACCTAATTGTACCTATTTGTCCATTTACGATTAAAGACAATAGATGCTGCAGGCAACACGCGACAGCGATTTTACGGGGAAATTAGCGTCTATAAAAGATTATTGTACACTTCTTAAACCGCGTTAGTCATTGTTGAATCCTGCGTTTCACTTATAATTAATCATGTAATTAATTGGTAATTGTCCACCGTACACACTACCCCACTGACAGGAATTGACAGATGATCGGCTGTCAAAGATCAAAGTGAAGTTAGCTGCGCAAAACGTCTATCAGCGTTGCCAGCACAACGTAGACAAATGTTAGAGATGGAAAGTCACTTCTATAAGCATCGGAATATTCCCTGCACTTGAAAATTTGTCTTACGCCCAAAAATGTTCCGCTCATAACTCCGCTGCTAATAAAGCGATTTTGTTAAATCTTCAAACATTTCGCAAAATCATGTTGTGAGACTGGGGGTAATCCTTAAAGATGATGGCGCTATTTAAAGTCACAAAGGACATAATTATATTTCATAATTTATACCTCATGCTTAACTATACTAAGTAACATATAAATCCGAACACCCAGTTTAAATGGTTTAATTTTAATAAAAGTTGGTGAATGTATTTATCTTACTGTAAATAACAAGTGAAAAAATGTTCAGCCTTATCAGTTGGACATTCCGGTTTTTATACTGCTTTTTTTTAATTCACTAACGCTCTAAAAATGAATATTTCAGACGCAGTAAGGAATCATCGTTGGCGGATTTTGGTTCTTGACATCCTTTACGATCGGTTACGATGCCTAGAGTACGGAGACCTGTACGATTTCGTCAACTTAGTGAGTTTGATAGGGGCCGTATAGTGGGACTTCGGGAAGCTGGACTTTCTTTTCGGGCAATTGCAGTTAGAGTGCAAAGAAGTGTAGACACTGTGGTTAGGTGTTGTCAGGCATGGCTTTCGAGAAGGCCGTACGCAAAGAGCAAGGGGCACTGGACGCCGCCCTAGAACAACAGACCGTGAAGATCGCCGCATAAGATTATTGGCCTTAAGGGACCGTTTCTCCACCACCAGGTCCATTGCAAATGAATG